TGAAATGCTCTGTTCAAGGGAAACCTACTGAGGCAGAACTGATCACAGCGGTGGTGATAGGAACCAGATGTCCGAAGCTTTAAATGCCACTAAAAGCTACTTCACAGAAGGCTTTAACAGGAAAATAATGCTTGAAACATTTTGAGAGGTAGTTTAGTAGTTTTGAGAAAATGTTTTTTATTTAACAAATCCATTCATGGTGGAGAGGTACATGCAGGCAAAAGAGAACCTAAAGACAACTTCTTTTTTTCAGATCCACTATTTTACCATTATAAACATCACACATAAAAACCCAGGAGACATGTGTAGGTTCACTGTTGTATGGAAAAGTAAATAAAATGGGTACATTTGCATTGTATACATTGTGACTCCTGGTTCCTATCACCAACACTGTAAAGAAAATCTGAACCAGTAAATTTCTCTACAGTGAACCAATTCACATCAAACCACCACAAACCGCCTGTGAGAAGCACAGAGGTTTATAGGTAAACGTAGCTTGAAGATGCTTGCAGAGGCCATAATGTGCACACCTCCAAAATCTCAACTACACATTACTGGACAGCTAAGGCAAACGCTGACCGGTAGCGCTGGGGCAGGATGAAACCCAAACAGTACAAAACCCGCGCAAAACCAAATGAAGAAATTTGAAGACCGATTGGCAGAAGAGGTGCAACACTAAAAACGTTTATCTGACCCATCTTTATGTGCAAGTTATGTGCAAGCATGTTGGCAGACACCTATACCAGCGGTGTCCAATCTGATCCGCAAAGGGCCAGTGCGGCCGCAGGTTTTTATTGCTACAAAACAGGAGCACACATGCTCAGGTGTTTAAAGACTGAGACTAACTGATTAAACGAGTGAAATCAGATGTGCTCTTCTTGTCTGGAACAACAAACTGGCACCCACACTGGCCCTTTGTGGATAAGATTGGACACCCCTGACCTATACAAACACGACACTCACACAATTTCGCAGATACGCAGGCGCAGAACTAGAATTCAGCCATTATAAGGAGTGTTTCAACCTGCTTTTGAATGAGGGGCAACACGGGAGAACACACAGAGAGCCAATCAGAACAGAGGTCATTTACATACATCAGTCTTAAAGGCACAGTAACAGAAGCGGTCAGTTTTTTATTCTAAGAAATGAAGAGAGGTTGGAAATGATCATGAAATAACTCATAGCTGAAACTGTCATAAAAACACACAAAATTCGTAAGCTGACCTTATAGCAAAAAATATATAGACATGAATATATATGAAATACGGAAAATGCAGGCTATGAGCCCTTTAACGGGCAGCCCAGGTCTAAATTTCAGGGGACAGCGGCTTTTCCAGCTGATATACGTGTGTGCGTGTGTGAGTGCAGTATCCACTGGGGAGAAACACCAGCCCCCCATGCTGCTGGTCGGCTTACTGATGAAGAGGACAATCATCCTCTAAATCCATCTGTCAATGCGCCTCGCGGTTTAAGGTGATGGCTACGTCATCGTGCTCTTATAAACGTTTAGCATTAAAACAGACTAATGAAAAACAAACAACAACTGATATAAAGCCACATTTAGAGAAACTTTACATATAGCCTGTGTTGTGACACAATAAATAAATAAATAAATAAATGTCTCATCCACACAGCCTATAGGCCTATAACGTTATCTTATACACTGCACGCGTCGACTGCACGTTCGTTAACCCGAGTGTCGTGTTAAAACACTGAGCTCTGCTGTGGCCCGTGAGTGAACAGAGGGGGATGACACGAGAAAACATGAGGTAAATATGACACACAAAACAAATAATTCTCGACGAAAAGGAGGTCAGTGTGTTTCGGCCCTCACAGCAGCGTTAGCGTTAGCACTGTAGCATCTCTACCTCTCTCTCTCTCTCTCATGAGCGACTCAACATAACATTGAGCTGTTCCGTTAAACGAGCTCTAACACACCTTACCACTCTCTCACACACACGCACACTACCTGCCCCTGTCCTCCACTCGCCTCTGGCCCTCGGGTTAATGTTGTGAGCTTACCCTCGGACAGCTCCAGGTCTAGCTCGGCGAGCTGCTCCCGGACCTCCGCGGGCAGAGCGGACACCTCCACAGTTCGCTCCGCCATGCCTGAGCGGAGAGGCGGCTAAAGCACTGCGCAGAGCGGTTCCCCACGAACTACAGCAGCTCCCCCGCTTCCAGCGAGCATAGACAGCGGCTGTTACACGGCAGGACGAGCTCCATCAGTGAAGCGCTCCATCTCCGCCATACCGAGAGAGACGGAGATCCAGACCGATGGAGAGAGTCACGTGACCCGCAGCCCGGAGGAGCGCTGCTGAGGATCATCAGGAGCGTTTCTGCTCCCTCTGCTGTCACGGGCTTCTTTCAGCATTCAGAGTCTGAGATGTACCACCACATGAACCTCTTTACAAACCTGATTCCTTTAATAGAAACCTTTATACACCCTTCACGTTGTGTAAGGTTTATAAACCCCTTCACAAGTCCATTTTAAAACCCTTATTAAGAATCTTTATGAGGCATTTTAAGGACCCTCTATAAATTGCTTGACGTACGTTTATGACCCTCATTATAAACCCCGATACGGATCTTTGTGAATATTTAGGTACCATGCATTACCTCCTTATGAATCCCTTCATAAAGTTTTCTAGGAACTTTTATGAATCCCCTTTATGAACCGCTACGAACAGTTTATTAATTATTTATGATTATATCATTTATGGAACTTTGATAAGGCCTTTGGGAACTGTAATGTATACAGTCAAGAATGAAAACTTATGAATCTTTAAGAACCCCTTTATAACCCTTGAAACATTTTATGAAATTTTCAGGAGTTGGTTATGAACCCTTTATAAAGCCAAGAGCAGTGCTAGTGTGTTGTTCAGGGCATACATAAACACATGGCGTAGGCTGAGAATGGAAGCATATCACAGGCAAACTACGAGTGAAAATCTATTATGTAAAACAGGCAGTGAACTGCAGAATTACATTTAAATTTCCCACTCATACATGCAAATTGGGGCCTTAAAATAAAATGAAAATTCAGTAAAGCAATTTGCATTGTGATTTCATAAAAAAGTATTATATCATTTAAACAGAGATTGGCATACTTTATTATTAATGATATTAAAATTCAATACACAGAAAAAAGCAAGCTGTAAGGTCTTGCCTGACACGTCCATCAGACTAAATTCAAATTGGTAAGAAACTACACAGGCTACAAAGTGAGAAGGTTACAATTCATGTTATTGTTCTAATTATATGTAGGTTATCTTGATTTACTGACTTACTGTTTCTAATATGTCAGTTTTTTGGATTCCACTGTAAGAGTGTGTATGTGTGTATTTACTTTTACACAAAGCTTTCATAAATGTAACACCAACTTAAAATCACAGTCCCAACTGCTGGTGTTAAATAACTAATGGTAAACATTGGAGTAGACTGTGAAGAGCCCCTTTTTGGGATAAAAGCAGTCCTTTGTGTAGCAATAGATGTGCACCCTAAAGCTAAGACATAGGTTCAACATTTAGCTGTGCAATGACAGGAGTCAGGGGTCTCAAGAAACACAAATATCTGATGACCTGCCAGACATGCATGACCGCATGGCAATCAAGCACTTACCATCCACTTCAGAATGTGTTTGACTGTGCTTTGTGTTCAGTTGTTTGATATCTGACAGATTCCCAGACTTCTGGGAACACTGGGCCACACAGTTTTCACAAAGATTCTGACATTCACCAATGTTTTCTTATTTGGGATTTGTTCTTAGGTAAGAACAGAATCTACACACATGCTCAAGAGCACAAAGGTGCGAACAGTTCCGTGGTTTAAGAACACGTCATAAATCTGACTTTTTCTTAAGATCTTTCTCAAGAACAAATTGAAGAAAAAACTTAAGACAGTATTGCTGAATGAGGCCCATTGGTAGTAGAAAGTGCTGTACTGAAGAGCTCAGTGACTTTAACATGGCACGGTCATAGGATGCCACTCTATCAGTTTGTGAAATTTCTGCCCTGCTAGATCTGCCCCAGTCAACTGTAAGTGCTATTATTGTGAAATGGAAGCATCCAAGAGCAACAACAGCTCAGCAAAGAAGCGGTAGACCACACAAACTTAGAGCAAGGTTACTAAGAGCTGAAGGATGTAAAATCATCTATCTTCTATTGCATCACTCACTTCAGACTTCCAAACTGCCTCTGAAAGCAACATCAGCACAAGAACTGTGCATCAGGAGCTTCTCAAAATGAGTTTCAGTGGCAGAGCAGCTACACCCAAGCTATGCACAATGCCAAGTCTCGGCTTGAGTGCCACGTGACGGATGAATCCAGGTTTGGCAGATGCCAAGAGAATGCTACCTACCAGAATGCATAGTGCCATTGGGAAAGTTTGCTCTGGGGCTTATTTTCAGGGTTTGGGCTCAGCCCATTAGTTCCAGTGGAGGGTAATGTTAATGCTACAGCATACAAAGATATTTTAAACAATTATGTTTCCACCTTTGTGACAGCAGCACAGCAAGGGTCCTTTCCTGTTCCAGCATGACTGTGCCCCTGTGCACAAAGTGAGGTCCAAAAAGGTTTGATGAGTTTGGCGTTGAGAAACTCCAGTGGCCTGCACAGAACCCTGACTCCAACCCCAATAAACACTTTGGAATTAATTGGATTGTGAGCCAGGCCTTCTTGTCCAACATAAAGTGCTTATCTCACAAATGCTTTTTTGACTGAATGGGCCCAAATGGAGTGGAGGCTGTTATAGCTCCAAACATATGCCCATGACAAGCTCCATAACAATGTCCATGAACTTGTAATTTGCTGCACGTGTTAAAACTTTTGCACAGTACTGTATGTCTCAGAGATGTTGAGTTAAATAAGTCTCATTAAATTAACATCGTTTGTGTTTCACAGCTCAGGCAAACGGTGTTGGCTCATTGCTGGTCAAATGACAAGCCACAGGAGAAAAGCCACTCTAAATACATTTCTCCAACTTCTCACATCTCACCTGAAGGCCTGATTCAAAACATTTTTATTTCATTGAGCATAACTGAAAAATGCTAGTGACTGCACGTCTTAAGTTCACCAATGATCAAACAACAGTCCTTAAATGTCAATGACATGCATCTCAATTTACCACACATTTGAATTCCATTAATGTTTAATTATTACAATATATCTTCAGGGCCATCTCATTTAGTTAATATTGTACAGACAGCAATGCTTGGACATATATGCGCATTTCATATTTAGTGATATTTACAGCTCTAGTTAAAGGGTTTGTCTGACGAGTTGCACACTTTTGGATCAGTTAGTGATACACACTGAGAAAAGCTCCTCTTTCACAATGTACTGCTGCAGGTGAGAAAGCACACCACCAGACAAGAACGGGTAGGCCTCACAGGGACTGATATGACTGCTGAGGAAAAATAATCCATAAACAGTAAACAAGTCACAAAAAGAAAACCAAAAAAAAACAAAACAAATCAAAAACAGGGAAGTAAAGATAAACCTGAACAAAACATAGCATTCAGGCTGGAATTATACCAAGGCAGTGAACATAATGTTGATACAATAATTAGCAGTTGTTCGATGATATCATTAAAATAGGACTGAAAGGAGGGGGTGGTTTGACACTGTGTTCAAGTGTGGGTTTTTCAGTCACTAAACGAGCCATATACAAAACATTCAATGACCAAGTTTCAATGGGAGGACTTTACAGCCTTTTCCATTTGTTATAGATCAAATTCTGGTGTAATAGGCATTCTGACTGATAGACCCCTTAATGAGAAATGTGCTACAGAATGATAAAACTATCCACCATTTTTAAGATCTCACATTCATACATATGTACAATACATATCAATGATACACATGCGCACAATCTATGAACTGCAAGAAGTGGGGTCATGTTGGTGCATGTTTGTGTTCCCACGTTTGAAACCTGACAACCTGAAACTTTTGGGTACAACCTCTAATGTAAAGGATTTTTGGCTTCTTACTTGAAGGAAAAAAATGTGATTCAACTGAGCAGATTATTTCCTTAAAGATAAAAGCAATCACACACTTGTTTGTCGTTAAGCTACCCGTACATCTCATACATAGACCGCAAAATGCAGACTGATAATGACATTCAAATATAAAAATATATTGCTCTTCATCTCCAGACAAGTCTATTCTGTGGCTTTCAGTTATTCTAACAAGAGGCAAGAGAATTTCCACGTTGACTACCACAGCCACACAGCAGGAGAGACCTGAGAGAAATGATTTTAGGTTTACCAAGACACGGAGAGAAAAAAATGTGAAAGCATTAGAAAGAGAACAACAGAATGCTAAATGTGTCTGCATAATGTGGTACTCATCTATCTTATGTGGTTTGAATCATGCAGTCAAATATTTAGAAAAAAATATTTTAGAGTCGATTAAAAATGTAAAATGAGCAACACCTGCAAACAACAAAATATCAAGTGAGCACAACAGTGCATAAGCGTGCTGAAGGACTCTAAATGTGTGTACATGGGTGTGAGATAACATAGCGAGTCTTTACAAGCTTTTACTGCAGTGCGTCCTAGTCTGTATAGTCTGCCAGCGACATCCTGCGACAGGTCACACACTCAGGCCACTTAGTCCAATGAAAAAAAAGCTGCAATCTCTAGCTACAGTAGCCCAAAGTAACAGGAGAGACTGTGATACGCTGAAGGTGAGAAACTGGGTGTGGTCAGGTCATAGCGATTGTTCCCATTTGCCACATACGAAGGGCATTTACAAACACACTCTGACTAACAGTTCCCGAGGGAAGAGATCTGACAATGGACTTCCTTCACAGGCCTACTTCCTCAAGACAGATGCCCTGTCCTTACAGGCTGAAGCACATGGTCATCATCTGGAGGTAGGCTGTGAGTGGGACGGCACGTCTCCAGCTGGACTGCTCCACTGGCCAGAGCCCATTCCAGCCAAAACGGCCACGGCCTCTGCTGCTCTCATGCTCAATCCGTTTACAGATACTGGAGCTGGAACCGAGACCGGCAACACCATCGCTGACACTGCACTCTCATCAACACCTGCGGCTAGAGAGAGAGGGAGAGGGGTTTAATGCTTGTCCAGGTAGAAGATGGAGAATAATGAGGGGAAAAGCAGAGCTGGCGGGATGAATTAAGTTGCACAGATGGATGGAAAGGAGGCATGATCTATACACATTAACATATGATTTTCACTGTTACTTTGCAATGAAATAGCACAAAATACCTGCCTTATCTAAGCGTCTTCATTAGTGTGAAGAGTAGATTTTGTTTAAATAACGCTGTCAGATTCTTTTTTTCCAAATGATAGTAAAAAGCAACTATTAAAATTTTGACTGGTCTGGTTTAAAATTTCTGCTTCAATACCAATTCCCAAACAGTGTATTTTAAATATCTTATTTAAATTGGAAAAATATTAAATTATAAACATTATTAAAAAATACATTTTACAAAAAGAAAATGACATCACATATGCATTTTGTACAAACCTATCAATAACTATCATTAATTTGTTTTTGTAACACATCCAGCATGTAATTTAGACAACCAATCAGCAGTCTAGATTTTGGAACAAACATGCTTACTGGCTCATTGATGCTAAAAAGATCAACTACTAGGTACTGAATTGTAGCACTGAATGACAAGTGTTTGATACTCTGTGGCATTAAAGTATTTGATATGATCCCATAAAGATATTAAATATTGATACGCAGTCTTAACTGACAATCTTTTGGCTCACAGGTGGTTTAAAGCTGGTTTATGAGTGCTGACATCACAACAATGCAGTATGGTATCACTACTAAGATAACACTTTAGCAGTTGCTCCTTCAGTTTTTGCAGCTAGGTGTCTAAATAATTTTGACAATGTAAATGGAGTGACATGATTTTCTAGGCACAAAGCATAGGTTGTTGAATAAGTAGATAGGGAGTGATATATAGTTGTATCAGCGGGCAGATAAATAAATGGATAGATTACCTAGGTAGGCTTTTTTCTGCATGGCAGTAACAGGGCAGTCCTTATGAGCCAGCAGCAATTCTTTCAAACGTGTCACCTCAGTCCTCAATAGAGACACTTCATTCTGTTGTGCGCAAACACACACACACACACACACACACACACGGTAACATATTAACACACACACACATATGCAAACAAATGGTACTAAGAACCTTTACGTTTTCTGGAAGGTTGTGTAATTAAAACCTCATGTGTCTCACCGTGAGTGTGACATTAGTTGTGGCAAGCTCCTCTGCACGCTTCTCTAGAGCACTGACCCACACTTTTCGCTTCTGCCGGCAACGATAGGCAGCGGCTCTGTTCCTTTCCAGGAAGCGCCGTCTGCGCTCGTCAGGTTCTGTCTCCTGCCCCCGGCGCCTGCGTCCACCTCTAGGCGGAGCCGGAGACACCTAAGGAGAGAATTATGAGTCATAACATGCCAGTAAAGCAAAATTTGTAACAACATTTATCTATGTGGCTGATAAAAGAAAAATATATTTGGTATGTATTTTTCTGTTTAATAATTCAAAAAACCACTTTAGACTAGAAATTATACAAGGGTATAACTTTTACACAATAACTGTGTACATTTTTACAATAATACTGCGGCATTCAGCTGTAACCAGTGCCGACCACCATTCAATGTATACCGTAACATTACACCTTATTAGTATGTCAGTACATACATTTACGTGTAGGCATGTGTTCATGTTTCTGTGACTGCACTGCACTGACCTGTGGTTGAGCTGGTGAAGGTGTCTCATTGGGTTCGGTTTTCTGGGTCGGTGTTGGTCCACTAACACTCTGTGGTGATAGTGCTGCCTTCAGCCTCTAGAGGGAGACAAAACGAACAAAAGCTGGACAAAAACGTTGGAAAACAAAAACACCCACACAGACCTACTTCTGTAATTTACTAACTGCAACAAATAGTGTGCAATTATCTAAATGAATATTCATTTAAGATGTGTATATTCTGACTTCATGAGCACTTTTGCAATCCTGCGTGTGCATGTGCACGTGTCGTTCTCACCATCTTGGCATCATTATGAGAACTGTATCCAGATGGAGAGGAGGAACCACTGCTGCTTCCACCAATAGGAGGGCCAGGAATGCCAGGGATGTTGGGCACCGTATTGGATGACCGGGCCAACTACACATACATTCATGCAAACAAAACTTAAACAGAATCTAAGTACACAGGTCAAAAAACATTGTTGTAATTTTTGGACCTCTTACAGATATGACTGATGTTTGTCCAGGGCTGGGAAGCAGGGGAACAGTCTGACCATTTGGAAGCTGCATCATCATAGGAAAGGAACCAGAGGGAGAACTGCAGAAAAGAGAGAGAGAGAGAGAGAGAGAGAGAGAGAGAGAGAGAATTTACGTTTTGAATGCTGATCAGGCGCCGAAACGTACTAAACACAATTCACAGTGGCTAAAGTATGGCATTCATAAGAAACTCATACATCTGCTGTTATCAAGATATCCCAGGATATGGCATAGTTGTACAGTTTATGATCAAAACTCTACCTCTATGAAAACATCTCCTGTCTGATGTATGTTTTCTCATATAATTTTTAATATATATATATATATATATATATATATATATATATATATATATATACACACACACACACACACACATACACACACACATACACACACACATACACACACACACACAGCACCATGAGTGTTTGCAAATATTTAGGTTTTCAGTTTTTCTGTTTTAACCAGCACTGGCTTACACTAACAGAGCAGTTCCTGTAGTAACAAAAACAAATGAAATGTCCAGAACTCGTAATTTGATGACCCATTTCACAGTACTAAGTTCTATGCAATCATCTTACAGTTACTCAACTGGGGAAAAATTAAGAAGGGGACAGATTAAGTCTTACATTTCTCAGAACGCTGTCATAGTCCCAGCAGACTAAACATCCTCTTGGGAACCAGTGCACTAAAGAGTAGTGTGTGTTGTACCTGAGTCTGTTGGAGGGAGGGGTCCTTGTGATGACAGAAGTAGGCGAGGGTTGAGTGGGGTTCATGGAGTCGTATCCTAGGTGAAGAGGGAGGGACCCTGGTCGTACTATTGTGGGTGTAGGTGCAGAGCTTGCTGTGGTCCTTGGAGGCATATCCTGTTTAAAACCAGAAACAGTTTTACAAAATTTTCAGTTAAACATCAATTAATTTTACCATTCCAGATTTAGAATTTGGCAGAAATATTTAAACTTATAGGTTTAGTCAGAAATATTTAATAAAATTTGTATGACTTTAGATAATTAAAATAATGGCACTTAAAAAAAAATAGGCAACAAATAACACCAGTAAGAAACACTGCCTAGACATCATTATTATCCACTATTAGCCATAATACCTAACACTGCTCCTTTGAATATTATCTTTAGATCTCTTCCTGCCAAAATGTGAGAATGCTTCAATGTGGGAAAAACGTACAAGAACAAGGGATTTACTATTTGGCCTACCTATTTTTTCTACCCAAATTAACCAACAGATGTGCAAATGTGACTTTTTTAAAAAGAAAAAAGAAAAAAAAAAAAAGGAGAAAAAGTCATAGCAGCAATAAATGACCAAATGTGGGAATTAACTCTCAAAGTCTCAAGACCATTCAAAGGGCCTTTGCCAACTAGCCAAATGGGATGATGATCTTCAAATGTAAAAGGTTTGGCACCACAACCATTCCCACTTCAAACCACCTTTTCTCAAACAGACATACCCGTTTCTTATTATACCCCCTTTAAAACAGGAATGTGAAACTTCAAATATCAAGTTCTTGCTGGTGAGCAATTTTCCTCTCCTGACTTAATAAGGCACCTACTTGGTCTGCCATATTAAAGCATCTGAAAATACTCAGACATTGTCAACTCATGAACTGCAACACAGCCACATTTATTATTAGACAGTGAAGTCGGAATGGGAACTTAACACCTGCCACCTGTCAAATGTTGTTAAATATTTCCAAGCTAGTCACAGTGTTACTGTTGGAAGAGACATTGGTAGGAATGCTACCCAATGAAAATGTAACAGGAAATGTCACAAGTTCATCTAGCACCCACACTCATAAAAGTTGTCAACTTTATGTGTAATGAGTTTCCTTTAATATGTGTGAGGTACAGCATAAACTGCAAGGCCTTTTTTGCTGATGCAGTCTTGGTGGACATGCTGAAATAATGTCATGCAACATTTTGGCAAACTGTGATGGTACTGATGCTCACTTTTTCAATTTTTTAATCACACCTCTAACAACAGTTTGTTTCTCATGAGTGTATGAGCTAAAAGCTCAATGATCTCAATGTATTTGTCCATATATACACACTTTAACCATTCAGCCTAACCTTGCTCTTCCTCAAGGCAATAGGCTCCTTCGTCAGAGTCACTGAGTCTTTGCTGTCCGTCATGCTAGAAGCAGATGAAGGGCTGTCAGGAGGTGAGGAGTCAATCTCCAGAGGTCCTTCTCTCTCCATTTCAGATGGAATTTGCAAAGCAGAAAGCTATGAAGACAGAAGACTCCACTGGTCAAATTACAAAAACACAGACTGAATAATTCAGCCAAAATCTACAACCAAATGCTGTATACAGGTCATAGGAGTAACATCAGTATGTATCAGTTGGTAGATAAAAACTGATAAAAAAAATTGCTACATAAGTCTCACCGTAGTCTTGGCTCTCCTCTCCTCATCCTCCTGTGTTTTGCGAAGCTCCTGTTCAAAGGAGCCATCTAGCTCACTGAACAAACCCACCTCCTCACAGTTCTTCAAAAAGCGGGTGGGAGTGGGTGTCTGATCTGTAACACATACACACAATCAGTATCAACTTACACTGCTCTATGCTGCAGGTGAAGGCGTCACTTGGTGCCAGGATGCCAAGTGTCACTTCTACAGAATCAGAGAACATCAAGCATGTTTGGCAGTCAGTGTATAGTGTGATATAACGTAAACAAATACCAAAATCACATTAAATGAAGCCATCTACCATCTCCAGTATAAAAAGAAATGATGTCAACCAAACCTGCAATAATAACAGTGTCAGTTCTAGTCTGTCCAAACTTCAGGGTCATCTCATGCTTATGTTTATGCACAGCCAGATGATCTTCATTGGTAAACCGCTAATGCAAAAAACAGACACAGTTTCATTTAGTTACATCTATTATTTGCTATTAACAGTAACATCATATCTTTTGAAAAACAAAATGGGTAGAACAGAAAGGAAGTTACGTAATTCAAACCAAAAGCCTGTTATTTTGATAATGGTTCATTCAAAAACAATGTGGTAATTGTTAATGAAACTATAACTAGCACTGATGTGTCACTAAATTGGTCGAATACCCAATGACTTCTTCCCTTTAATTGTTTTTGAACGATGTAAACGGGCAAAATTGGGTAATTAAACCGGGTAGTTTCTACAAGGAGGAGACAGAGATAAGACAGCAGCTGGAAAGGAAAGACTCAGGTAGCCCTTACCTGTCCACATCCTGGGGCTGAGCACACAAAAGGTCGATCGTCCCCCATTTTACATCAAACAGTTCCTGTGTCACTTCTACAACACCATCCAGCAAAAAGAACAGTTACACTTCACCGTAAGAGCGCAAGAATTCAGTAAAGTGATCAGAGTGATCAGTGGAATTCCTCTCAAATAGCTACACATAATGAAGCCATTTCTCACAGTACAAAGCGTTTCAGATGCGGACTTGACTTTGATGAAACAACATGCTTTATGTCCCTTCAGACATATGACTGTTATACACGGCGGTGATGCACACTGAAGGTCGCTATCTGCGATTGTACATCATGTAATGTGCGCACATTGCATTTCCGCCCGAGCCTGTAGGTTACAGTAAGATGCTAACTGTGTCGTACTAACATCAGGAGAAGGAAAGGGGTGAATTAGCCAGTCGGCTAATCTAGGATATCTTTCAAAAAGCTACCCGTTTGGTCAAACGTAATCACCAATATACTGAGATAAATTCGACGGTTTAAGTTTGTTGGTTTATATCGGGGGAAGGCGAGCCGAGACATAACGACATTTGCTAGCTAACGTTAGCTTAGTTATATCCTCACCAGCTGACAACACAACGAGCACATGAAGAAGACGGGCACGCTGACACACAAACTATTATTGAAGACAGCCACAAAAGTAGGCAGAAGGCAAGCACAGAACAGGTCTAGGGTGATGTGAAGAGTTTTACGAGTAACTATCTAGAACATAAACAGCGCCCGTGTCACGCTAACTAACTGTTAGCTGCTGCTTACATGGTCTGTTTCTGCTAGACTGAGCTAACGGGCTAATGCTAATTCACCGCCACCGTTTGTGCTGACGATTGGGATATTCGCGAAAGCGCCAATGTGGGGACCCGCTCGGGAAAGAGAGTGATAAAACGCTGATGGGTACTGCAGCTGTTATCCTCTGCAAGTGGTGGTGTTTGCAAACTCACCCCGCCACTCCTCCCTCTCTCTGCGCCCCTCTCTCTCTCCCTCCGCCGCTGCTGGCTTCACTGCTCCTTCATCCACTACAGCAGAAACCTCGCGATACGCTGCGGTGATACAGCCTCCAGATTAAACGTGTTACGTAACAGATTTACAGTAGAAGAGGATAAATCCCGAATCTCAGATTACTGTACATTCAAAACATTCACGTACAAAGCAGACACACAAAGGACAGACGGCAAGCCTAATCTTAAGAAATACTTTTTTGGACGGGTAAATACAACGCGTGTCCAAAAGTTTGTAGACACCTGTGTTTCTTCTGAAATCAACGGTGTCAAATGGAAGTTTGCCCCCCCCCCTTTTTCTGCTGTAACAGCTGCTCTTCTGGGAAGGCTTTACAGTAGATGTTGGAGCATTTCTGTGATGATCTGATTACATCCAGCCACAAAAGCATTAGTAAAACCAGGCACCAATGGTGAATGATTAGTTCTGGATCACAAACACCTCTTCAACTCATCCCATAGTTAGGCCTACCGGATGGAGACCCATGACTCCAGAAGACGCAGTCCCACTGCTCCGCAGTCCAACGCTCGAGAGCTCTATACCCCACTAGACACACTGCAGCTGCTTCAGATCATCCCATTATATTGGCAGTGCTCTACTATAGAGATTATACAAGATGCATGTGCACAATACAACACCCGCGTCAACCATAGGTGGATTTTAATGTACCTTAAAAGGGCGCCTGGACACTTCTGAGCATTTAGGTTCGGTTTTCCAGACAGGGAACAAACCTAATCCAAGACCACGCTTTCCTTTTAGTGGAGGATCTCCATTCAAATTGCACTGTAATCCATGACTCAGCTTAAATCCCTGGAAACCAACCCATAGGTTTGTGTGACATGCATAAATGGCACTGATCAGTATATGATCATATTCCAGCAAATTAAGACATACTGCAGAGGTCCACATGAGGATCCAAATACAAGTAGCATTTTCAGAAGAAACAGCAGGAGAAAAACAAGCAGTATAAGAAATATGCAAACATCAGATACTATTCTGATCAAAATGTATTAGAAGAGAAATGTTTTAAACATTGGTTTGTTCTTATCCCCATCCACTGTAAAGCAGGGACTCGTTTCCTCCCATCCTCTTACATAATGGCAGCATCCCACCACATCAGCACATTTACATAGATTATACCCAGTTATGTATTATGCTGCTACACATGTGGTGCTGCCAAAGCTAGCCCTTACAGCAGAGCTTACTTACTGCAAATGTTATGGCATATCTGTTAGAGCACAGGTTTCCCCTGAGGGTAGAAAAATGCAGATAAGTAAATGCAGATCATTTTATCATTTATTTTGTTTTTTCCTCATAATTTTTCTTAAACAGTTCTCATTAGACATCTACAACTGTGTGTCCTGCAACATTTCACTCACTCATGTACTATTCACCCCTCCCTGACAAAACACAAGCCCTGGGGAGAAAGGAAACCCTGACAAGGGAAAATAACTACAAAAGGGAAGGGAGGTCAATCTAATTCTAGCAATCTCACTACGAGAAACCATGTCAGGTTAATTTTCTAAAAAGCGCACAGCGTACAAGAGTAGAAACAAAATTAGTGCATTTAATTTTACAATACCACAAGCTGCTTTTAAAACAAAGTAATGAAAATCAAATTATAAAACCTGACTCAGATTGATTACTCTTACTTAGTGGCACATACTCTACATCGTTTGTAACCGAAATATTCCAACCCCCCCCCTCAAAATAAAACAAAAATAATAAAATTAATTACGCAGGACCTAATGCCAGTATTTAAAGAAAAAAACTGAACAGAATGCACAGTGTATTAAAGAAAATAGAATAAATAGAAAACATACTAAGACAAAATCTGCAGAGCTTTTTAGGTCTTGCAAATCTCAATGGATAAAAATACAATTGTTAGGACACACCATCACCTTCAGAAGGTTTACATATCGAAGTCTTTTTAGCAACATTCAGAATCACAAATACACACGTCAGCATTCTGCCTAGTCATCAACTTATCAAACCTATGAGACAAGCATCAATCACTTGAACTAACAGCTCTACCCAAGGGCTGAGGGTTAGGGCATGGGAGGAGTAACTGTGGTAAAACAGCACTTCCTGAGATTGTCTCTCTGCTGATTCAACTTTGGTCTGGATTTGTGCACAAACCATTTATACATGTGTCAACAATGAGAAAAAAAATATGATAAATCTGTTTAAAAGGCAGGGAAGAAGAGCCACACTTGATACTGGTCAAAACATTTAAACACTCAAATACAGTTTAGTAACTCAAAGTAAAGAAGCCATGAACAATTAACATTTGAATTCAAAAGGCTATGATAAAAATTGCATTACACTCAGGAAGCCATGGACGAAATGATTAGACACATGCATTCATACTTGCATACAAAACACCAATGATTTCCTCTTGAAGTCCTGAGCTCCTTATCCATTAGCAAATGACGAGACTGGCCGATGCCAAAAGGTACACCATATCGTATAGGTGTGCTACACTGTTACACAGGTAATCAATTACCTGAAAAGTACAGGTATAATGTAATTTATACTCATTTTATATTCATTAAAAAAGTACATCCTCATACTGGGCACATACGCAATGATAAGAAAGCAGGCATTAAAAGTCCTTCTCCATCAAGTCTCACTATTTTACAGCAGAGGACAATAAGAGTCACAGCCTCAAATCAACACACCTGACAGAGACAGTGATATCAGGGCTCAAACTCAGACAAGAGCAGGGAAGACATTCCATCACACTGCCTTAACTGTAAAACCTACATATTTCATCAAGTCTCTTTTTAGCATCACACTCTTCCATGGTCCAGCCCAGACTCTGAAAACACTTAAGAGCACAAAGTAGACACCACAAAAGTACAAAACAATAACTCAAGCCACTTTAGAAGCTCTACCCTCTTTTTTGTTTCAGGCAGTTCACAGCTCTTCCCTGAATCCTGACAGCGTTCCAGTTCAGCCTCATCCTGAGTACATCATTCTTCAGTTTTGTCCATTCCACTTATTTCATTTGTTGCTTTTCTTTTACACAATATAACATGTACAGTTTTCTGCTTTCCAGTTTTTTTTTTGACAGACACACACAGACACACACAGACTAGGGAGAAGCAGCAGTGTTGGACCATCTGGCCTCTTCTTGTTGCATATGGAGAAGCTGTGCTGGCTTGTCAGTGTACCTTCACAGGTATGGATAAGAAGCGTAGAGCATTGTACACTGGTGCCCAGGACCATAAACAACCTAACAAATGAGCTCATTTCACACTCATACACAGCCAATCAACTGCTGCAGTCGCAGACATAACACCATGTGCCATGGCAAAGTCATCTTTACGAGTCCTGAGGGTCCCTGCCCATCTTTGATTTTCAGTTCTTCTCAGATGCAGCTCATGCTTTTGGTGGCCAGAGCTGTCTGTCGTTCGTCAACGTAGTGCAACTCATCGTGCAGTTAATATGTAGATTTATATATAGACATATTCTCTTTTTACATATAATATATATTTATATATATATATATATTAAGATGAGTAAATCTTTAATATGTGTGTATGAGTACGAAGGCGTCATATGGATTGTTACTTTGGCGATCTTGGAGGGATGTTTTGCTCCTTTCCACTGTGCCTGTTAAACCCCGCTTGGGGGGAGGGACGTCGGCCCTGCAGGGGCCGTCTCTGCTGCTCTCTGAGTTTGAACCCCGCCCCCCTGCTCCCACCACCACGCTGATAGCTGGTCTGCTCGCGAGGAGGTCTGCTTTCACCTCCTTTCTCTACCTTCTCGCTAGGGCTGCTCTGAGGAGGGGCAGGGCCTTCCGCTTTGTTTACACGAAGCTCACGGAGTGGTTGGCTGGCGGAAGGTGAGGGTGTGGGGCTTGGAGATGGTGCTGGCGCTGATGCTGGCGTAGGGGACGGGTCTTTGGGCGGCTTCTGACATACCTCAGCATAGCTGAGCTTCCGAGGCTCCTGAGAAGAGGACATCAACGTCAAGACCGTTAATCCACATAATTAATCCACATTAATTACACATGCATATCTGCCTTCACAGACACAGTTGCTGTCTGACCCTCAGATCTCATAATCTTACCGCTCACAGGGACAGGAGTGGAAGCGACTAATTTGAGAAAAAGATAGAAGGAAAGAGAAAAAAGGGGGTAGGAAAGTGGAATGGAGAGGAAAAAAGGCAAAAGAATTCCTAAATCTGTCCTCCTACTACCTGGTCTCCCTCTATGCGCTTTGGTCTTTCTTCACAAGGCCAGACAAAACCATGCATGAATTATGTAGAGCTTCTCTTCTAACTAACAGCAGAACTTACCTGTACAGGTGTGATGGAGGGGGCAGATGGACCGGATGGATCAGGTTTGTGGGAAGGCGCAGGTGGAGCAGGAGCAGGAGCAGGAGCAGAGGTGATTGGAGCAGAACTGAGGGCCGTGTTTTTTGAGGTATGAGATTCACTGTCTGGTCTCTTCGCTTGATGTGCAACACTAAATAACAATTGATAAATCAGTTCTGATTATGAACAATTTATATACTGATCATTTTAAAAATCATTTTAAGAAAAAACAGAACCTCTCATGAAGGGGCCCCTTAAGGCTACTGCACAACAGATGTCTATATCTAGGGGCCTGTTTAAACCTTAGATGAACATGTGTTTTTGTTGAGATCATGTTCCGATTTCACTTGGGTGCAAGAAAAACCAAGCATAAAAGGAGAAACACTGAGTGATTGATCAATCAAACCATTTTAGGAGGTGGCCAAAAATGGATATTCACCATATTTAAAACCACAAGTGTAAACGTAATGCGTATTCGTTATCTATATATAAAATACATTCGTTGAAATGCCATCTGACTAGCAGATGAGAGAATAAACAACGAAACAAGCAAAGCTTGTTCGGTGGTATGGCAGCAGATAAAACAGCCAACAAAAGTGAACAAAGACTATGGTTTTGAATTTGACATGCCTTAAATGTTAAAGTTATTGACCTGTGGCAGACAATATTAGACTGCTCAGAAACTGGAAGGCAATTATTTTCCTATTCTCTAGTCTCCACTGAAATACGAACAGCTTTTAAAGACATACCAGGTGAGAATTTAAACAGAGGCCCCTCTCCCTGTAGCACAGGTATGTAAGCATGTTTACCTGGGGCCAGGTGTGTCCTGCGGTACAGCTGGGGGTTTTGGTGTTGGCGTTGTAGGAACAGGAGTAGGCCCTTCCCCTTGAGGAGACTGTGAATCTTTACTCACGTCTTGCTTACTGGATTCCAACTGTAACAAACAAAACATGCGTGCGATTAGTTCTTAACTGATTAAATGATGGAGAATATTTAATTAAATGGGGAGAAATATGAACACAGAAAAGGAATGATTTGGTACCTTGTCCCTGTTGATGCCTTTCACTACATCGGCCATGCGATTCTCCAGAACCGATTCAGACGATGTGATCACACCTCCTGGCAAACGGCCAGCCACTCCCCCTGGCAGCGGTGGGAAATTGGAGGCTGCCAGGTCAAATCTGGGAGGTGGGCTTTTGACCTCAGTTAGTGGAAGAGGCCTCTGTAAAGGGCATGAGAAATTAATTTGCAAAAAGAGAGAAGAAACAAAGCCATATGTTACAATTAACGAAGAGGCTGTCTTACCGTTCGTTCATCTTCCCTCCTGCGCCTCATTCCACGGTAACTTCCTCTCCTAAAATTACATGACCAAAGAGGTTAACACAAACAAATGCAAATACACCTACTACTTAACAGAGCTTTAACTTGAAACATAACTGAAGATTTATGTCTACATTACTGCTATCGATGTCTGACCCTCAGATCTCATAATCTTACCGCTCATCGGGGCAGGAGTGAGAGTGACAAAGGAGAGAAAAAGAAAGAACAGATGAGGATGAAAGAGTAGAGGAGAAAAAGAAAGCCAGGCTCTCAACACCTGTTCCCCCCTCTGTGCGCTCCATTCTATCATCACTGGGTCACGTAAAGCATTAAAAAAAATTCTAAGTTCTAAATCTAGAAGACACACATTTGTATACTCAGCAGGTATGAATACCATCAGGATGTGGGTGTACATCATTAATGGTTGTGACTCAATGCAGAGATATGGAGAGATGGGCATGAAAAACTATTCAGTGAGTCAAAACAGACTGAAAGGTTGAGCTTTGCACAGATAGTGTTTTTTTATTTTAGATATTTTTTATACTATTTTTAAATAACTAACGTGGCTGCTTGAATTTAACATTGTAAATCAGTGACTGGCTTGAAACTTAAATTTATTACTCTTATTAGAAATTACTCAACTTAATCTATTTTCATGGACAAACTGCCCACACCCTTTGTTGGCTTCAGTAAGTGGCGTTTGACTATTTGAATATTAATCAAAGAACAATTTTATTACTGATAAATATTAAAAATGCTCTTCCCTAAACGAATACCACTTCATAAAGACAGACCTGGCTCGGCTGCTGCTGCCCAGGTCAGAGTGATTGTTCTCGTTAGGGGAAGGTGGAGGGTCAGACAGGCTGAGAATGGAGGGATCTGAGCTTGACACTGCAGCAGGGGTTCGGGGGGCCTGGGGAGTGCTGGAGCCCGAAAGAACTTCAGATTGAGAAGTTCCATCAGCACGGGACTGCGGTTTTACATGGTTCCTACAAACACAACATCAATGCGGTTAAAACACAAGTTACCTTGCATACAAAATTCATCAAGCACATAGAACCTTCTTCAAATAAACATTATGTCTTTGCTTATATTTGCAGTGCAAACTTGAGCTAATAAACCAAAGACATCATTTCATTATGGAGCTGACTGTAAATGGAATGGAGATGTTATGATACACAAGGATGACTGTTCCCTTGTCACAAGCTTTATGATTGATGAGGTGTAATAGTGAAACACAAGGACAAAACTCATGGGAGGTAGTACATTTATGCTGACGCGATAATGGGTTTTTTTTATGCAAACAAATAGACAGGAGATGAATCTGGTTCTAGCATTGAGCTCAGGCTCTCTATCAACATGCATCTGAAGAAGGTTTTTGCTTAAATAACACCTACTGTCACCCACCAAGGTTCAGCCCAGTTTTTGGCCTAAATAATCATATATAAACCACACCATGGCAGTGAGTGACAGTGTGAGATGACTATGAAAATGGAAATACAGTGACATATGCAACAAAATGTCTACCTGAAAGTATTGATAACATTCTTTCTTGAATAAAGTGGAAGGCTGGAGGGCAAAAATAGTAAGGTCAGTAACACAAATAACTGTTACAAATAATCTGAGAACGCAATTTAATCAGGTTTAGCATACAGTTCTATCTAACAAGCTGTTCTGGATAAAAATGGAAGGTACTTTCTTCCTTCATGGAGATAATTACAGAGGTTTCAGTTGAAACTGAGTCATCATATGTAACAAGTGAATACAGGCCATATTGAACGCTTACTTTGGTTACAGTATTTAATTATTTCTCAGGTAGACTGTGGTCTGAAGAATAAAACTGTTGATTTTAGGATATAATGAAAATACTGCCTAATTCCAACTTGACGTATGTTGCTTCAGTTTCCTCTCTCAGCTCCAGTCTTCTGCATTTTTGAACTTCAGTCTTAAAAACTCATCATTACGCTGTTCCTCTGTCAACCCCTAGGAATCATTCATACCAATGAAACATCTCTACATGTTTTCATGAAGCGAATTCTCTTACTGAATCTCTTTGAAATATTAGCGCTGTACTTTATCAAGTGAGCATAAGACTAGGTAACGAATCCTTTCAGAGTCTCTGTATACGTTTGCATGTTTATGTATCTCTGCCAACTCAGTAAATATGTTTATTATTGTTTTAACCAAGATTCAACCAAAAACAACTGACTGCAATGATTGCTGAATACACAACTGTCTAGCTACTGTTCTGCAAAGTGTAGTGATACAGGGAGAGTCAGCAGTCAGTCTAAACTGACGGAGTGGTCATACCGATTGCGTGGAAAGTGACGTGTAAGGCTGAGTGGAGAGGAGCCAGTCTTGTAGCTTCCTGCAGTGCTGAAGCCATTAACAAATGTACTGTTGGGAAATGGAGCCTGCACAGAGAAGACACAACACAAACACAGGTCAGATATACAGAACAAGCTAATTTAAAACAGTTTCACTCTGTACTACACAGACCCTCAGATCTCATAATCTTACCGCTTAAGATGTAATCTAAAATCAAATGTTTTGGAGGCACACAAAAGACTACTTAAAAATAAGAATCTTATTTTTAAGTGATACAATACAATATGATGGATCATGCTTAATAGGGGACCAGAAGCACGAACTAACAAGTGTTTCTTAAAAAAAAAAAAAAGGGCAATTTTTTATTTCAGTTTGACTAATAGAAACTATTTAGTTCATTTATTTGTTTATAAAATTTAATACAAGGCATAACACACCAATAACAAATCCCATTTGGCTGCAAATATATGTATTAATATGCCAGTGCTCTACTAATTAGTAGCAAGTTGTATCAATACAATAGTAAATAAATAATATTAAGGGCCTACATCCTACATTTTTCCTTGTTTATATTTTTCACTGTGATGTACACTTATAGCGTTAAGTGTGGTTTATGTACCAACAACCAACAAGTCCTAATTAATTTTTATGTGAACATTTTTCCAACCTGTTTTGGTTCCTCAGAATCAAACAGGCTGTTTTTGTTACTGTGTCTTTAAGACTGATATATGTAAATGAGCTCTTGCGCTGCCCTGTGTAGTGCCTCATTCAAAAGGAAGTCCAGGCTGAAACATTCAGGCTGAATTGATGCAGGATGAACAGGCTGATGTACGTAAATGTGCTGGGTTTTGTGACACCACAGAAATAATGAATTCAAAACAGGACTTTTTTCACATCTTAGTTTTCACTCCTCAGCCCATACAGTCTATATAAAACTATGATTATACACAATATCAAACTATTTTACAACAAAACAGTGGAGAGATTTTACTTTGCCACAATATGGGCCCTTTGTAGTTGTGTTCAGAATCATGAATGGAGCAAACATCCAGAATGAGGTTATAAAATTAATGTCTACAATGGCAATCAATTCTTATGTTGAATACGTTGACAAAAATTATAGTACAATATTTATCATTTAATCTTTTGTTGCTCCCAAAATAGCTAAAACAAACAAAACCTCTACAAATACTTTTTAGTGTTCTGATTATACTATTTAAGTTCACTTTGTATAAGCTGTTATTGGGGAAAATAATCGCAAACCATTCCAATCTTCTGAATGGAAGCATAAATAAGTCCCCAAGTATGCAGTTCTCACCAGAGGTGTTTCAAAGTACGGAGTGGGTGAAGGGGTCCAGGCCTGTGGCAGCAGGCTGTAGAGCGGGTACTGCTGAGGAGGCTGGTACATCTGCTGCAGGTAAACTGGAGACGAGTAATGAGACTGAGGGCTGCCAGCATATACAGCAGAGTCCACTGCACTGTAGCCGTTTTTAGCAAAGAAGGTGTTAATGGCCTTAATACGAGCCTGTAGACAAACAAAAGGTTTCAGTGTCAGTAAATGTCACACAACAGAGAGATTTATTTTAAAAACTAAGCCTGGATTCTTGTATATAGTGTTTTAAAATCCCCTCAGATCTCATAATCTCACGGTCATTAGGGCAGAACCACCTGTACTGAGAGAAGGAAGAGAGAAACAGGGTTGAGTGAGGAGGCAGAGAGAGAGAGAGAGAGAGAGAGAGAGAGAGAGAGAGAGAGAGAGAGAGAGAGAGAGAGAGAGAGAGAGAGAGAGAGAGAGAGAGATATATCTCTACAGCAGCAAGGGCTCTGGATCCTTCCAAGCGCGATACTGATCATCACTGGGGAAGCTAGAACAATTAATATGTATGTAAGGGTATGCAGAACATTTTCAAAAGATCAAGAAGTAATAATGTGAGAAAACATTCCTTTCTTGTGAAAGCAAATATGTAGAACATGCCTACAGATTTATTTCACAGACTAAATATTGGCAAAATTGCTAGTAGAAAAATCAGTCATGCCAAGAAATTCTACCCTTTTCTATATGGGTACAGAGTACATAAGAGAAGGAGTGGTCTGTGGGTTGATTGAGTGGTTGAGGAGTCAGTCAGTTTTTACTGTTAGCCATATTAGCAGTTTTAAGTGAAGCTAACTTGTCTTGGGCACTTTTATAGGGTAGAAACCTACATGATATACACTTACAGTTAAATGACTAATACAGATGTATGTAAACAAACAACAAAACACCCAAGTTAGCGATAAGAGACAACACCACTTCAGCGTGAAAAACTTTGACCTGATTATTTGTTCCACCTCCATTTTGTGTGGTTTAAATGCTCTAATTTGATCACAAAGGCACCACAGGCTTTGACAAAAGCAGCCGTGAGGGCGCACGTGTCAGGCGCATGTCTCAGTGCTGTAAGCACAAAGAGAGCAGCAGCCTATTCACACCTTCCCCTTGTTTCTCTGCTCACTGCAGTCTAGTGTGTAATGCAGGAATTCATTTGTCCTCAAATCTCCAGTGTGACAGAACAGAAAGATCTTGTTCCCACATTTTCAGATTCTGCATTCTTCTGCCAATAATGTTTCAGCCCAAGCTGCTGTAGCCTCACTTTACAAAGTAAACAGTGAGCTGGCTGCTTTAGCTAGCTGTAAGATTTTAACTAGGACTTCTATTTCTCTTTCTATAAGAAATACAAATTACAATAAAGGAAGAAGAGTCTGTAGGGTTTTTCCCCGCTTGTCACATAATGACTAAACTCATTTTTAATAAAAGTAGTAACAATGTTATAAGAATGTTTCATGAAAGAAGGCAAACTTTTTTTTAAAGGGAATTAAAGCTTTAATTTTGCCAAAACACTAATTTCTTTAAAATGTCTTTACAGTCTGTCACTGACAAACTAATCACCATCAACTAAAGTTGGATAATCAAAAAACATACCCCAACTGCACCACCCATGTCCTCAGCAAGAGCACCACAAAACTCACCATGATCGGCTTTCCCTGAAAGGTTTTCACTTCCTCACGTAAATACTTGTAGGCCTGTGAAATGTATAAAAACCATGTCATTATGAATCGGAATGAAAGCACTTAGAGCAAGCGTTTATGGTAAACAGATTATGGGTAAAGCTGGAAGTACACTACAAACCACAAAAGAACTAATCAAAACTGAACATGCTGTTATAAGTATACTTAAAAAGGCCCCTGTGTACGTATCAGCACCACTAGAAGCTTAGTGCAGTGAACAAGTCACACTCATATAGAGGCCTTGGAACAAAATATGATTAGAGGTTCCGTTCAGCAAATAGTACACAATGCACCACCATGTCATTTTGGCCCATAAGATGCCTTTTACGTTTGAAGTACAATGCCAGCTTAGGGGTGAGTCCTGTAGCGAATGTGTCTCATACCTGTTGGGCATCAGTGTCAGACTGGAACGTGATGTACCAGTTGTTATTATGAGCAAACTCGACACTGATGACCTGTGGACACTTCTCACTTTTAAATAGTGCCTCCACCTCCTGAAAGAGAAACAAACCACTAAATACACATTACTCTTGCACATTTTGTGACTAAAATTGCACAATGGGGTCAGCTAACTTCAGATTGAGAACTGAAGAACAAAAACAGAGGTGGTGGGTTGTCCAGAGAAGAGCAGACAGCTTTGTTTTAGCTGTTAGTACTAGAGAGGCTGTGTTTCAGCAAATTTAAAATAAAACTACGTCATGAACCGCAACCTCAAATTGTCCAAGTTTCTCCCGAGAACCCTGAATGTTACAGTATTTTGCAGTTCGCCTCTAGTGATAGCCCACACTAAGCCCAAAAAAAATATATAAATAAAATAATAATAATAATAATAAAAATTAAAATATCACACACACACACACACACACACACACACACACACCAATATCTGAAAAATGAATACCCACCAAACGATTAAATATTCAAAAATAGTTGAATATTTGTGTTCAGCCCTCGTATTTACAGAAAAGATTTGGGTGACGACTCCAGAGCTAAACTAAAGAAGCAAAACTTTGACACTAATGGACTTGGACATGTCTTGGCTTACTGACTACATCTGGGGTAAGAGGAAAATTGTTAAAACATGATTTTTAAAACAAATTTCTTTAATGATTGTATACTTAACAGCCATGGTTTTGTAGTTAAGACACGTTCTCACCTCAACAGGGGTGGTCTCCGGTACTTCTCGAAGAATGATGATGCAGCGCTTATGATTGGGCCGAACCTTCTCGCCCTTCTCATCCACTTGCACCATTGGAGATGCTGTAAAGTCCATCAGGGACCAAGAAACAAGAGAACACATACAGACTACTCTTAGGACAAAGCTAAGATGAAGTTCGATATTCTAGAACACATCCAAAACGGTAGCTTAATGCAACTGAGAAAACAGTGTGCATGCAAGTCTTCTCACAAGAGAATTATTAGGTCTACACCCATAATGTGAATAGGCTACATAGTTTTACCTCGCAGCACCTCCAGTATCAAGTCCATATCAGTAGTCAGTAGTTTAATGCCCTCCATGCTGGCAATTGTCCAGATAGGCACAAACTGATCACCATCCATCTGAGATATCAGATACAGGTCTTTGGAGAGGTTCTCCCTAAACATACAGAAACATTGTGTATTCATGGAAAAATCTTGAATTCAGATCTACAAACAGTAAAGACTGTGAACATGCTATACAACTTAAGGAAGAGTGTAAGAGGTCAGCTCAGTAAGGCGAGTTTATTACCTGGAGAAGCAGAACTCCAGCTGCTTCTTCAACGACTCCCTCAGACTCTCCTCAGAGAGGGGCTGCAGCTCCTCCATCACTTCTTCCTCCACTGTGGACAAGCACACGCACATTTCAGCCACATTTAGAGTCTGTCATTGTATCTATTCACTTCTGTGTGCATGCAAACATCTGTGGAGTGAGCAAGTACAAGTGTGAGGGATGAAGACTGACCTGGTTCATATATTGGATACGTAACGTCTGGTGTGTCTACACCATTTAGCAGACCACCCTCCACATGAGGGGCTGACTCAGAGTCACCATTGCCAATACCATACCCCTTACAGCCTAAACATAAAGAGAAGGTGATAGCACCTCCACAGTAATACAGACCTTGTATTTTCTTTGTAGGTATTCACTACAGACATATCCCAATATAGAAAACGATTCCCTATTCAATTTCCCCTGTGAAATACCAGCTGCTAAGATCAACAAGCATATCTTCTGTGTGTGTGTTTGGGAGGGGGGCAACACTAGCTCAAATGTCCCCCACCAAAAGAGCTGGATTTAACTTTTACTATTCTAAAAATCTGATATCATTAGCAGTTATTTTACAGAATCATAAATAAAAACTGGACACCAGAAAGCATTTTAGATGTGTTAGCTAATTAATATGATTACCTACTTACATTAAATTCTCATCAACGTATTCCCCTTGACTTAACTGAAAATACTTTGGCTATTACCGCATTAATCTCAAAACATACAGCTTTCGCATTCAATTTGGAGTCATCTACAGCGCCATTCACCATTTGTGAAACATTTACATTTATTTTCACATTACTTAGAAGCTACATTACACCTTTACTGCACTACGGTATAACTCATGTAACATCCTTATTTTCACAACTATACAGACTATACAGAATGTCCACAGACATTTATATCTGCATTTGTACAGCTAATAGCATCTCTTTTGCAACGTTCACACTGGCTAATATTCTTTTTCAATCTTCATTCTATTTATTTAGTTTGTCCCTTAGTTAAAGATCTGTGAACAGTCTGTTTACCTGTCTGGTCTGTTCAGTATGCTACACATCACACATGCATGCACTTACAAAACCTTGTATGTGTAATATAATTGGCAAAATAAAGTGATTCTGATTCTGCATTCCAACATCACATAAAACAACAACAGTAAATATATGTAAGTATTCATCCATTTTTTAAACGACAACCGTCTAGCCCTACATCATGGACTTTTCAAAGTTGAACTGCCCAGCGGATGCGAGTAGGTGTTTTGTTTTGTTTTTCTGAATTCAGATCACAGCTCTAACAGCTGCTTACCACTTCAGAACTACCCAACCGTCTCCTTAATCAGAATAAGAATAAAGTGAGATTCCATCTGCCTTACCCAACAAGGTCAATCACTCTGCTTTCACCCATCAAACCACACTTTACTTCATTTCAATGACTATACCATCGACGCCTTTGCCAGTCACTCCTCTCACCTTCCGGCTGCTCGGTGGGGGTGAGGTCTGCCTGTGGCCAATCAGCGCTTTCCATGCCCTCCTCTGGGTTGTGGGCGGGAGGAGCAGAGACTTCCTGCCAGACTTTGGCATTGGGATTCAGACCGGCCCCCTTTGTGGTCACCTTGAAAACAAGATAAGAAATAAGTGGGGGTTATATAGGTGACCGAACAGAAGCTGCTTATCTACCATCATTATGACTCTCACTAGCTTCACTGGCCTAAGATTATTTTAGTAAGCTCGTTGTACTTAAAGAAACTTGCAACATCTCAGCACAGCTGATCTTGGGTCACTGAATAGCTAATCAAGCAGCCAATGTGAAAGCAGCTGAATTTATACAAATGGAGTTGCTAAATAGTGGAAATTCAGAGTCAAGTGAAAGTTAGGAAGCGTAACCACGATGCAGAAGAGTAACTGAATCACACTGCTTGAAGAGGTGTGAACTTCTGCCGCACTCTGAGCGTCAACACAGCTTTTAATGAGGAACTCCGCGCACACGCAGCCTCCGTTAAAAGGTCACAAATGTGGATTATTTATCGCTGATATCTGACTGACCCCTCTATATCCTTCCCAGGGACTACGTGAGCAAACTCATTATCGTTTATTTAGCTGACAGTCTACTCTGGGTTCACCTTTGACCGCAGCCTTGCTACGTCCACACAGCACTGCTGAAGCTCACGTTCATTCACAGGCCTGATTATGAGTCTGTCCGCTAAAATAGCCTTTTCACACGCTTAATCTGATCAGCCTCCAGCAGCTCTCATAATGCGGACCGAGAGCGGCTACCAACGCGCTACAAACCCGCATCTAAAACCATCACCTGGCTGACCTGACCGCAACCCGGCGGTGTTTAATCTGACCGACGCTATTTTCAAACCGCGGTGGAGAAATTCGCAAGACTGATTTATTCCTTGCAACCGGCGGCTAAAATCAGTGAAATGTTATCTTAACCTTTCCGTCAACGGAGCTAAATATAAGCCAGTCATGCCGGCCTTCAAGGCCAGCTAACGTTAGTCTCACTCACGTGGCCTTGTCGTTCTGCACACTATCACGGTTAGCTTTAAAACGCGTTGCACTTACGACGTTTCCGTTCCGCGTAATTTAACAGCACCAAACATTTTCAAACAGGCCAGAAAAGACGCGTAACTCCGCGCAGCTCGGAATCGGAACTCAAGCAGGCCTCATCGCCTCTAAACTCGAGGCGCCCCATCGCCCGAAACGAAAAACCACGCCGTGTCGATTGAAAAAAAACTTATTCAAACTCACCTCCACAAACAGCAGCATTATCCCTCTCCCCGGCGACGCTGCCACTCACCACACACTCCGTGAATGAATGAATTAATCTAGTTTAAGAGAAGAAGTCTCCAGGTTTAACTTTATTTTCCTATTTCAATCGAAAGCGCGGTGCAGTTGTAGACGAGTTCACAGACAGCAGCGCTCTTGCACCAGCATGGCACAGGCTAGAGCAGCGCCGTTCTGCGTCTCAGATTGGCTGCAGCGCTCCTCCTCGCCCCGCCCCTTTAGAAGTCACATGCGCCGGCACGCTTTGAATATTCTCTACTCTCATTCATAGATTCGTCCGCACTAAACCTAGCGAATTGCGTCACGCGAAACACCGGCTCTCATTGGGCCTCGACCACGTCCATCATACAAGCTCAACCGGAACCGGGGCTCACCGCCGAGCACATGGCGAGAAGAACATATCGCACGGTTGCACTCAATGAAACCGAATACAACTACCTAAATGAATGAATGAATAAATAAATAAACGCTGAAAACTAATAGTTTGTCGTGCACAGTAAATCAACATGTACACAAATATTAAAAATGGATGCCTTCCCCCAACTAGCATCATGCATTTCACCAAGCCACGTCTCTGACCACACATTAACCTATATTCTAAGTGCATTTCTGTATATGTAGGCCATTTCCTTAGACAGTGGGTATGCGTAGCCCGGACCATACACGTCTACACCTAAACTAAACAAAAACAAACCTTTCATATGATCATCTCACTTCCTGAGATAGCCAAGACACTGCTCCTAAATGTGGCCCTCTAATGACACTTCGAAGGCCTATTGTTACGACGTATGTAATATTAGATACCCAAATGCTGCACTGAGCCATACAGTTACAGCTAAATTTAAACACCATAGCTTGAGATCACTCAGGTTTAAAACTGTTCAAACAAATCTATTCATAGATCAATTTAACTTTATCCTCATATCTTTTCCAGCTCAGCAAAACTCAACAATACTACTTCTGCCAAACTTTTGGAGAGGCAGCTTTATTTATGAGGAGGCAACGCAGCTTTGAACTAAACACTTTTAAAACGCTTTGAATACTAATCAAGAAACATTTAAGATCCTATATTAGAACAGTCATCAATAATGACAAATTAGATTGCCACAGTTTGTACCGTAAAGCTACTAAAATCGCTATTTCTCTTTATAACGCTGCTCTTAGCACTTGCCATTACTTGGCAATAAAGATAAACCAGTATACAGAAAAGTGCTTTATAGTGTATACTGGGCTCTACTTTCCAACAAATAACTCTATATAAATGTTGTGGTATAGACCAATAAAGGTATTTTGCCCCAGTTATGTAGCCAATTTTCAATCAAAATTCTTAACATAGCCCATTAAATGGTTTTGTGGTCCTAATATATGAAATTATTGAATCACATGTACAATAAATTTGTTGAAGGGCTTGATAATGAGCAGATTAATTGAAAGCAGTGATTGAGTTGAATTTGCTGCTTCCTAAACATCTTAGTAACTAGATTAGTGGGTTTTTTTGTCACTTAGGTGGATTTTGTGCATTGAAGATGTGTTTTCCCTGCTATAATACACCTGACTAAAGCTGCTGGACAGCTTGATAGACCAAATGTCCAAAGGTCTGTGGACCTGCTCATCTCAAGTTCCTTCTGGTGCAGTAACAGCTTCTAGCCTAGTGGTAAGGCTTTATTCTAGATGTTAAAACATTGCTGTGAGGATTTGCTTGCATTCAGCCACAAGAGCATTAGTAAGATCAAATACTAGTGCTGGATGTTTAGTTCTAGTTCACAAATGTCCCTCTAACTCATCCCAAAAATATTTGAGAGTGCTCAATCACTGAAGAGAACACAGCTCCACAGCATAACGCTTGGGGGCTTCATATTCCTCCAGCCAACACTTGGCATTGGACATGGTGACCTTTGCATCATGTGCGGCTGCTCTATAGTGTCTCATTTGCAATGCTTTTCTATGGAGATTATACAAACTACAGAAGAGGTGTCTAACAACCATTAGACATATAGGGCAATTAGCTTATGAGTTAAACCAGGTGTGTTGCTCTTCAGAACTCTAGTCGTTTTAAGCCATCACTCAATGTTAATTTTCTCATCTGGTAACAAAAGCAATGATAAAGATATTAAGAATGAACATAAAACTCCACGGTTGGGTTGGCAAAGTTTAACAAAACACCTATGAGTTCTCATGATTTCATTAATACCCTGTTAGTATCTAGGATTTAAAAAAATATAAATAAATTATGATCAATGTGGGTTCCACCAAAATGTCCAAAATGTAGAGTGAGGAACTCACCAACTTCATAATGTCGTTCAAAAACCATCACCCAAAAACATGTTATAACGAGGATTTATGACAATTGTCAACTGCAGTGCCTTTGAAATTTGCATCTTTGGTTTATACTAACACTATTTTTAAAATAAAAGTACTACATTTAAAATACACGTAAAACTCCACAGGCTGCTATTTTGACCCGGTATGCAGAATGTAAACTCGTGAGCGTCATTGCTCGTCCACACTGTGAAACAAAGGTGAATGTCTTCGGCAGTGTCAGTCATTTCAACAGGTCACTCTCACTGAGGAAGAACAGCGACCACATGGTTTAATTCGGTTTAACACGAGCCAAACCGCGGTGTCCAGGCCATGAGGCGGCTTGTCAGTCTGAGCCATATGTTAATCCTTCACAACTAAACCAGCTATTTAGCTAACAAGTCACATCAAACGGAGGGATCAAAATCGATTCCCACAGCAAATGATTTACATTTCTTCGATACGAAAGGTAGAAATACCGTAGTTAAACCATGTTAACCGTGTAACGTTACTGTCTGGATTATCTGGGGCCATTTATTAGGTCAACAAGCCAAACACGCTATCAGAGACGAACTCGCCTTCCCTTCCACCTCAGGAGTTACGGAGTTCATTTATGCGGCAAAGTACAACTCGAATGGAGTGAGCTCAGGAGAGCAAATTTGGAAAAAATGGCATAAACGTGTACAATAAATAGACGTCTCAAAATGAATGCAGACAGACAGGCTTTGGTTGAAGTACGTGGTGTTCTTGATCAGCCTAACTAACTCGGACCGGTTTGTTTGCGGTAGCTAAGCGAGCTAACCGGGCTGTCTAAGCCCTCGTTAATCTAACCACACGTCAGTAAATTGGCTGCTAGCTTTAACTGTTAGCCGGGTCATGTAACAGCAGTTTATCTGTTACGCCACGGCAGCATGTAAGCGTTTAACTTCTGCCACGCTTGCTTGCACCCACTACTTTACATGTTCCTTCCAAAAATGGAAGTGAAGCACAGATGGTATGTTGCTAGTTAGCTACCTAGCCACCCTCATGTCGCTGCACTCTCAGCGACATGGATGGGAGAGGGGAGAGGGGAGAGGGGGGAGGGGGGTTAGTGGTGGGTCTGTAGTGCCGATTCAGCACACACAGGCCCATACTCACCATGTCGCCTCGGTCCTTCCCGGCTTCAGGTGTTCTGCTTTCGTTTTCTCGGATGACTGGGCTCGACTCGACCTCCTCCGTCTGCTGTAGTGAACCGCTATTCTCTGAAGTCATCGGCCGCCTTCGCCGCTGCTCCGGCCGGTCCGGTCCGGTCTCTCTCTCCCCCCCTCACCTTCCTCCGCCTCTCCTCGCCGGGTGGACGCAACAAGCACTTGCTCGGACTAGTTTGCGTCGGTTTGTAGTTACCTTCTATAAACGGACCAGAAAGAAAGCTCTTGACCGACAGGTTATAACTTATTATTTACTCGCAGTGTTATTCCTCGACTCATATCCGAAAAGGGCTTTAAATAGCCGCGACGCTGAGCACCCCGAGCTCACCAGGCGTCTCTGACAGTAATTCGCACTCCGCCACCGTCCCGACAGACAATGCGATCACCGATGATGTGAACGAATCGTCCTTCTGAACCGGTTCTTTTTATAGTAAATCATTCGAACCGATTCACACAACTCCAAATGAACGGAACTTTTTTTGCACAATGAAATGTCGATGTCACAGGGCGTCTTCCAATAAGTTCATATAACAATCAGATTTTACCTTATGAAAACATAAAATACCACAGTGTAACAGCAGCAGAAGCCTCTTTGAATTAGCGTAAATCAATCTGTAGACGGTTACTGGTTTCCACTTTCTGATTGTGATGTGCACATTTCAAGTCTGGTTGCAATTAGTGAACAAAAGCAGCGACATCAGAAGACGGGAATCAGCCCGAGGGACAATCAGACACACTTTGGGCATCTAGAATTAGCTATTTAAAAATGTATGTTTTGTTTTTGTTCTGTATATGAAAATCTGTGTGCGTGCATGTGCACATACTATCAACAGAGCATCAAAGATAACGTGATTGTTGCTGCAGGAAACATCAACATTTTGTTTCATTATAACGGTTAATACTACTTAATTGTGTGCTATGTTGTATTTGTTTTGACAGTACTGCACACAAAAATGCATTCTTGCCGAGAAAGCACACTGATGCGAACCGAATGACACTGATTTGTGATCAATGAATCTGTCAGTCGATTCACTGAAAAGCAGAGTTGGAAAGAATCGGTTCGGTGAACTGATTCGAACTTCCAATCACTGAGCGACCACCCCTCCTCCTCTTCCAGCGCGCATTCGCTCTCCTCCCCGGCAACAGTGTGCAACACGCCGCATAGCAACCAGTGGGCGCTCTCTCCGCATAGCGACGGACGCGCAGCAACGACAGCAGCCAGGCAACCGCCAATCATGACACAGCGAATAACGCTTTCAGCAGCTGAACAGCCAAATTCGTTTACAGCTAAAGTTTGTTTAAAAGCAACTTAAGTGACAGTAGAGCTCCTAAGTCATTATGTTTTTAGATTCAGACAGCGGAAAACTGCCCGTGGAAAACATTTACAGTATTAGATGATAAACTGAATATGTTATCTACAGATGAAGTGTGGCAAAGTTTGCTGTGTTTATTTTCCCAACAAACGGGGAGCTGCTTATTTCCAAACAAGACCACAGTACTCGTCAGTTTATACAGCTGTACACAAAAAAGCAGGCCTGAACTGCATGTCTGTTTCAGAATAAAAGCAGTGAAGACAAAATGTTTGCTACATTTTAAATAAAGTATGGAATCAGTCATTTTACTGACTATCAGTGTGAACCAACTACATGATTCACAGCAGCATCTGCCCAGGGCCTTCCAGAGTACTTCTAAAAGAAACAAACCCACTCTCAACAACTTCCTTCCAGTGCATGGTTTGCTGTAGTTCTGAGACTAGTGTGTATCAAACTTCTCTCATGTAAAATGAGGCTCAGTGAACTCATAAAGTCAAGCTATTCCTTCATCAGCTTTTACTCTGTACAGCAAGAACTTTTCAAAACAGAAGAGGCTTCTGTATGTTCCTGTTTTTGCTTAATCATTATGAATCTTCTCCATGTCTAGAGGCTTTTTTTAATAGCCCATCGTCTCTATAGCTGGTGTTAGTGATACAGCCTGGGAGCAGTACTCAAGATATCACGTAGTGCTGATTTAGAATCAGATTTCCCCTGTGTACACACTGCCACGTTTTACCTTGCTGCAAAGCAAACCTGCTCTAGAAGCAGCAGTCTCACTCTTAAAGAGATACAGCAACATTTTCACATTTAACCCTGTTTTTAATACCCAAACATGATGAATGGAAGTACATTAGAAAACAGGAGAAAGATCTTCCAATAATAAAGCTGAGTGCCTCATGTTTGACACATTTTTCCCAGCAGTAACATTTACATACAGACATCAACGTATAACAGCTGTTTTTGGGCTACCTGTTCTTAGGGCTCTTTTTCAAGACAAAATATTCATTTTATGCAGCTGCTGACAGTTTTAGGTGGCCCCAAAGCAGGCCAAGGAGATGTAGTGCCTAGCAGTGCTTGGGGGGAAACTACTGGAATATTAAATCCTTTAATTTAAAAGCAACATCAGGCAGCACACAGAGAGAAACTTTGACATAAATTAATGAATACTATGTTGGTAACTAGATGACAGAGTTTAATTGCCATACTGTTGAACTACATCTGTAAAATTAACTGTGAATACCAAAGGACAATGTGTTTACATCACAACAGTGGTCTGCAGAATGGTCAGCATGACAGCCCCTTAGATTATATTACAGAGTAGTGAAATGGGTATGTGTGCGAGAGAGAGAGAGAGTGTATTTAGGCCTTGGTGGTGCCGGACTGTGACGTTTGTTGGCTGTGCAGTTGCTGTAGCTTCATGTTCATGACTTCAACCACAGCTGTAAGAGAAAGAAATTAGAAATTGTTAATAAATGTGAGAAAGACATTGAAGGCACAACAGGTTACTGATTCGTTGTTGTCAGGACAGCAGTTTCCTTTTAAGTGTTTTGCAAACAAAGAAATTTTTTTCCAAAAAAGTCGTTAAAAGAAAACGGATGAGAAGTAAACAGTCATTCAGAGTGTTTTGATGTGAAACGGTGCATTTTAGAGAGACTCAAAGATTTCTTTACTGTGGTGGTGACAGGAAGTAGGGATTGCAAGGTCTAAAACACTCATATAACCATTTTATTTACGATCCAAAATGATCAGTGAATCTACATGTGCCTTCTGAATTTTTTTATATAATTTTGGTGATAAACAGTGGTAAATCTAGGAAAAATTTTCTTTGGGGTCTATTTTGCCTTAAAACGCCTGTATAGCGCATGCACCTCTCTGCTATGAATATGTTTTTAAAATTACATTTTCTATAATTAAAACTATTGTAAAACAATGTTTAAAGCATTAGGAAGTGTATCTGTAACCATGTCATATAATAACTTTTTGTGCAATAGCTTTTAGAGACAAACTCTTCAGACGTTTGGTTCCTATCATTACCACTGTGATACATTCTGACTTGGTAAGTTACTCTAGAACAGCACATTTCACAATAAACCACTCTGTTTGACACTGTTTTTATTTTAACCAGGTAATTATGCAGAAATGCTGCCCCACTTTGCCATCACCCACCAAACCCCTGCGAACACCACCACAGCAAACAGTTCTGATAGGATGTAGTGCCAGCTATACTTCAGCACTCATGCCATAGGTTTTTCAGATTTCTCTTTTATCAATAAACCATCTTTTCCACCTTGTCCAAGCTTAAAAATCTTTTATCAGGATTTTTTTTTTAATTTCTAGCTTTTCCATCCAGGGTTTAATGCACTTTTTCAAAATTTGCAAAAAAAAAAAAAACAAAAGAGGTGGATGGAAAACCTAGAAGTGTGGCAGTGTGAATGCATTTATCAAGCCCCTCTGTTGTAATCTGCTGAAGTGCTTTTTTTTGCACTAGTATTTATAAACAGAAATTTGAATCTATTAAACAATGTCTGAGCAAGGGACACCTCGGCTTCACATAGTTGTCAATTTTTGTATGTGACATACAGGACTTTGTTACTAGCAAATTAGCTAATTCAAGTGTGTTATTCAGAGAAGAGCATCACCTTGCTTCATAGCATGTTTTTCTTGAAGAGCAGGCTGAATCTTCTCAATCTGTTTTGTGAGAAAGTCGATTTTGCGCTTAAAGAACTCTTTACTGTCCTCCACATTCTGAAAAAAAAATGCAGCTGACTTGAGTTATGTCTTCATACAAACTATACATCTGAACACAATCAGGCTTTAGCAAAATACTCTCACTCACCTTCTCTACAAAGTAACCCGTTCCCACATCTACCAATACATGTTCTACGTCATTCAGAGTTCCAGGAACATACATCTAAGGACGGCAGTTAAAGAAAGCAACAGAGTGTACTTGAAAACGTTTCTTTCTCTCTCTCTCTCTCTCTCTCTCATACACATACGTACGTGCACACACACACACACACACACACACACACACACACACACACACACACAAAACAATATTTTCAAGACCTCAACACTACTCTGAACTACCAATCAGTGAGAATGTCCTTTTCCACATCTGAAAATGAGTTCTGACATTTCAAAGTAACCCCCATTTATTCACCTTTATAACAGAAGCTACACACACAAACACATACACACACACACAAAACACAATTCAAGATTTGATAACTTTACTTTGAACTGATTTACCAATCAGTGAGAGTGTCTCAGCTGGTGAAAGGATACAGAGCTGGTAAGAGGGACAAGCAACTCTTTTCCTGAAAGAAAGAAGGGAACATCAAGAAAATGATTCAAAAGCAATGAAGACGTTGTATTATGTACTCTTGCACAGATTACATAAAGAAGTAGTTCCCAACTCTGATGTCCCCTGTCCAGCATATTTTAATGTTTTCCCTGCTTCTTACACACCTGATCCAACTTATCAGCTGATTGACAACCCCTTCCTGTGTTTAAGTAGGTAAGTATCAGACGAAAAACACTATGTGCAGGAAAGGGGTGCACCAGAACCAGAGTTGGAAATCTATGAAATAAAGTATAATAACCATTTTACAGTGTAGATTATAAAGCCTCACCTTCATTACTCTTTTTGAGAACGTTGAGACTGTCCTTGGCTTCTACATATTTCGTTTGAACTACTTTCAACTGAGCTATGGATGATGACAGAAATTCTGTTTCCTAAAAAGCAAAACGAAAAAACAGTTATAAGAATTGTAGACTCTAACAAACACTGCACAGACCTTTAATACACTTTCACTCACTGGTTTAGTTAATACACTGGTAAACAGGTGTGATGGCAGTATATAGTTTGGTTTGAATGCTGTCTGGACTGAAGCTCTCATCACCTCATTTCCCAAACAAGCTCCCACCTGCTACTGTACTCCTCAGCAAGGCTCTTATTTCCTACATCTATTTAGGAATTGCAGGAAATATGTAGTAATGGTAGGCTCTTTTCAAGACTTTCCAAACTTTCAGTGTTTAACTTGCTATACATTACAAGGCGATAGCAAATACGTTAGTTAGACTGCAACAATGCAGAGAAAAAGACAACACCATTTTTCCCCTGAAGCAGGATTTGAATCTTATGTCTGTGTTATTTTCCCATCAGAATATCCACATTTGTACCTACAACATGTCCTTTTCCAGGTCTGGCAATGAGTTCTGAAATTTCAAAGTAACCCCCGTTTATTCACCTTTATAACAGCATCTATGCCTGGGTTGTAGCTGCATTAACAAAACCCTAGATCTCACAGCTCACACAAACATTAGAAAGCTCTACGTTTCAATCTTTTTACAGGCAAGTGTGGTCGCTGAGGCTGCGGCTCATTCAAATGCAGTTCTGCGCAGTGTTACTATGGTGAGTTGCGCATGGCACTGAACAGACGAACGCTGGACTGTTCATTATTAGATTATTAATTTTAATGAAAGTCATTTCTTCTCCGTCACGCACCCATCCTGGAGGAGCTTTAGCCGGTAGCTAACAACAACGTGACGGCGCTTTATGACGCGGTGGGCGACACAGAGTTCTACCGCGACTGAACACACGAACCGAATTACACTCAGTGTTAATCTGCACTGGTTTAATGAAAGTGACCGCGTTACCTGCTCGAGCTGAGTCTTTAAACCTTCCAACTGTGGAAGAGACAATTCAGTAAGATTCACCGCCATGTTGGGAAGAAAAATGACAATAAGGAAAGCTTCCGGTTTAAGCGGAAACGAAGTCTTTGTAGATTTACTACAACTCGATTTGTACTAGTAAGAAATTAGAAAAAAAAAAAACATTAAAATGAATTAGTTTTTACTTGTGAAAATTGAATCCTCACATTAAAATTATGATAGTAATAAAAATGTTCCTTTTACTCTAATTAAATGGACAGAGTTCTTACTGGTGATAGCTGAAATTATAGGCATATGCAACACCCTCAGTCAAACTGCACGTTTTGTTGTTTTTCTAACCTAAGTGAAAATAAGAACACAATTTCAGTATATATTCTGAATTTAACATATTGGGTGAACAAAAAACAAAATGTGCCGTAGGTTTTGTTTTAGCCGGAGCCCAAGCTGAATGGAATGGAATGGAATTCAGGAGCGGGGAGAGGAGCCACTTTGGAACATCACAGGCTCCATGTCGAACGTATCGAAGTCGAGAGAGGCCATGAGCTGCTGCTATAATTCTCTGGATTGTTATCTTTAGATAACAAGTAACTCGTTATCTCAACATAATCCAAAAAAATGTAACTACCTCATGGCCTCTCTGGACTTCCGTACGAACGTGTTCAAACGAGTTATGGGATACAACAACCATACCAGCAAGAATGAATGAATGAACGAATTAAATGTTTTATTATTTTTATTTTTCCCCTTTGGAGCAATTTCACTAATATGGAATGATGTAGTAGTTAGAATATAGTTAGGGGAAAAAAGTCACAAAGCATTTTCATTTTTGAATGAATTTAATATTGCTTATTTGTTGCATGAACATTAAAAACAGTAAGAATAGCTTGCAAGTTAAAAACAAATTTACAAACTTTCAAAATACTTAAATTAAAATATAACATACAAAATTAAAATATATCTAAAAAGTGATAAATTCTAAGGGAAAAAATTACACCAAACATGTATTAACAAGGAAAAATAATCCAACATGAAGCTGGAACTGTTAAAATAACAATTCATATAGCTCTGTGATGGTAAGTATGCATCAGCAATACTATATGTAGAATACTGTATATAATATAAAACAGGATTATACATAACACTTCACTCATATCACTAAAACTGCATATTTTGACTGGTCATTGTAAAAACACTAGATATTCACACTATAGCTGATGTGCTAGCGCAAGTGTACAGGTAGGCCATATGCAATGGGTGCAGCTCCAATCATATGTTTGAGATGGGTGGCATCACGTGATTGGATAAGGTGCTGGAGCAGGGAGGAACCTGAGCCACTGGAAAGCCAGGATTGCAACAGGGCAGATGTAAATCGATCAATATCACGATCTGTTACATCCCACAAGTTCCCCAACACTAATGGGCTAAAAAAGGAAAAAGAGAGGCAGAAAGAAGTTTACAAAAGGGTTAAGAAAGAGGCTGTAATTGGAGTTTTTGCTAGACCACAACTATAGCTACAGTTTCTCCTGTTTAGTGAAAATGTACTAATCAGCTAAATAACAGGCTTAACTAATTCAAAATTCTTAAGTTTCTAATATGCCACCAGGCTGTTTGGGATGCATCTTACTAAATGTACTATTTGAAATCCAAACAATCATCTGAAACATTGAACATTTCATTTGAAATAATAGCAAAAAATGTCAACTAGGTCCAACTGTTTAGTGTAGGCACTTATATTACAGGCTGTAGGTTAAAGATGTAGCATTCTACATTCTCAATTAACTGTTAGACTCGCTGCTAATGACTGTCCATATATTACCATCCAGCAATGAGATAGCTGAGGATGATGCCAGTTCCCTCAAGGCAGCCCTGCACACTGAGTGCAGCACTACTGCATCCAAAAAGCAGAGCCACTGCTCTCACAGGGCCCTTCAGGACCCTCTGAGCATCCAGGAAACGTGCCCCAGCTCCATGCCCAACATAACTTAAATCCAAAGACAAAAAGACACGAGTTATAAGTCACAGTTTGTTGACCTCATGGTAATGAAATATCTTTGCCTAAGCAACAGATATTGCAGTACAGGAAAAGCTCACTCACATGTATAAGTCTTTGGTGGTTATAGCCTCCTGCAGTTTATCAGGGTCAGGAGAAGCTCCACAAACTCCCTGCCATGCCGTCTCACTGAACAGCCAGAGACAAAGCAAACATTACTAAATTAGGCAATGAGAGGCAGAGCAAGCAGTGAAACGGCATGGGGTGTACGCATGAGACACTAACCCAGTAAACCAATCTCTAAAGCGCTTCTCGGTCTCAGGCAGGTTTCTATCTGGGTTTAGCACAAAATAAACCTGCTGGGGATCAACACCACGTGATAACACAGAGTCTGGATCCACCTGAGAGTGAGAGAGAAAACATATACTGATTTAGGTAAAACAGTCAGAAGAAATCATCCATTAAATGTGCCACATTATGTAAGAGTAGTGTGTACATGTTTAGCAAACAAAAAAAAACAAACAAACAAAAAAAAAAGTGTCAGTACCTCTTGGAGATAACTGTGTCCCAGTACAGCGTGTAATGAAGGCATACGTGTGACAGAGCGAGACTTCATGCAAGAGATGTTCTCCCATGGCAACCTTTGAAGGTACTGCTCAATCACAAACACAAATGTGTTACTATGTTAAAAACAACTAAGTTTTTAATAAGCCATTTATGGAATGACACTAGCATTGTTTCAATGCTGCAGTTACAGCATGGGATTTTTTTTTTGAATTTGAATTTACACTCATGACCATTGACACTGTGTCAACAAACCTAGGTGGCTGTCAATAGCCTTTTTGGGGTAAACATTGCAGTTATATTGAGAGAATGCTAAAATGTACCTTGTCTAAGATTAAGACAGTGTGTCCTTGAGGTTCCTCCCTTCCTCTCAGTTCAGACACACACTTCTTTAGCATCTTCAGAAAATCTCCCTCCAGACATGCACCCTCAGCCAAAGAGTGCAGATCTGAGTGAGAGAGCAGAGGAGCTGCAGACAGAATCACCTGGAGGCACGAAAACAAAACAAAAAGATAAACACAAAACTGAGGAGAATACATCACAGAACTACAACAGTACAAAGAAAGTACAGCATGTCACTGACATGAGAGCTTCCATATTATTTGCATTTCAGGTTTGTGTGGATGGCTGACTAAAAGTGCATTCAGAGTCTGCAAAGTATCCTTTGTTTGACTTTTGTCCATTAACTAAACACCTTCACTGTATGAATGAATTTTTTAAGGCTACATAAAGGCATAAGACTTCATAAGACACCAGTGTAATGTTGCTGGCACCCCCAGGAGACACAGACCTTCAGCATGTTCAAAGTGATCTTTCCTCCCATTGAGGGGTGGAACCATTTGAGTTGAACTGAGAGCTCAGGGTCAGATGTCAAGGGGAGGAGTAATGCCCGCCATACCCCTAAAGCCTCCTCCAACTCCTCAAGCAGTTTCTAAGAGCAAGAGAAAGACAAACCATTTAGACGAACCACAAAAGGACCACAAGGCAACAACATTCCTAAACTTAAATTATGCAAATTTTTTTCTCTAAATGTCTAAATACAGAGACTAGCATTAAAGAGAAAAACATCAGGTTGTAATCCTCTTCACTTAGACTTTCTACCAAAAGCTTCACTTTTCAGCAGTCCCCTATAGCCAGAGTGGCCACACAGATCCCCTGACAGCTTCTCTTCTCACCTCCACTCGAGCATCCAGAGCCTTCCTGCCATCCCACCACTGCACCTTATCTGCCACTCCACTCACTTCCTTCTGCCCCTGCAGTACTCCCTCCATCTCCTCCAGCAGAACAGGCATCGAGCGCTATGGAGAGAGACAGAGCATGAACACAGGGCTAGGTGAAATGGACAAAAATATCACTACTATTTTCTCTCCACAATTACAACACAGCCAGCTACCTATCTACTATTGGTCATGCTGATTTATGCTGTAGCAAGTCAATAGCCAGACTTTTTTCCTTCCTCATCTAGTGTTAAAAGGTGCACATCGTGGCCTAATATGTCAAAGTAGCAATTGTTCAAAGTTCAAGCCTCTGCTGCTAATACTGGTTTGAGGTAGCTTAATACTTTTAACAAAGCCACCTCAAAATTGCATTATTGAGAAGTATTAATGTTTTATGACAGGCATGGTTTGAAGGACAGAAACACACAGATAGAAAGTTGCTCATACATGTCTGTGTTGGGTTGGGATTCTCATGGTGATGGGAACAGAGTCACGCTCTAGTCGCGTGAGGAGAACAGTACTGCCAATCTCACCAGGGTACACCCCCACAAGAGAGAGCAAACACACAGTAACACCTGCAGAACACAAGAGAACTTGTTAAAGTATTTGCATATAGAAACAAACTAAGAGTAAGGAACTGAGGCTACCTGATTTAACTGCTGGAAGACCTAGCTTGGCAATTTACTTCTCACAGACTGTACAAGTGTGTAATTACCTGCTGGCAGGTCTTTGAGCTGCTGTGTGAACTCTTGGCAGTGTGTTTGGGGGAACTCTGCTGGCTGTGTTGAGGTGAACGAGTAGATGCTCTCGAGAGCAGAGAGTGTTTTTGTCTGTGGCTGAGTGGACGATTCCTCCAGGCTCAACACACTTAAACTCTCTGCTACATCACCGCTGGACTTTTTCATTTTCCTGAGAAAAAAACAAAGGCTTAACTTGTCAAAGTTGATGCCAACAAAAATTATACCTGAGAATTCATAACAGTAGGGCTGTGCAGTATCAACATTTTCATATCCTTTATAAAAAGTTACTGAAGATGGGTTTGTGTTGTAAATAACAGAACATGGTGCAGCAGTTAACATTTTAGATTCCAAAAATGTCCTATATTGGAACGCATGAAGCACGCAAATGAGTTCTAAATTTAAATGATGAAAAGTACACATTTATTTAAAAAACAAATAAATGTATTTATGAAAAAAAAAACAAACAAAAAAAAACACAAGAATCAGGTGAGCAGATTTTTTTACACTTTACAAAAACATACCAATCAGTTTGTAAAGCAGAAAAGAAATATTAGCAATCAAAAACCTACCACAAAAAGAAACAACCATGTGTTTGACATACCTAAGCCGATTAGCCAGGTGGCGAGTCATGTGATGGCGAGTGGACACGCCCAGTGATTGAGCATGCAGCATGGCTGTAGTGACGGGATCAGAAAGACCCAACAATTGGGCAAGCAGTGAGCACAGGTGAGGGTAGAGGGACGGACTTGGAAAATGATGGAGGAGGAGCCAAGAGGAGCGCAGGAGAGACCGGACCACCTCTACAGAGAGCTCAGCTACGTATAAAGCAGACAGGCATGTCAAAATGTGAAGTTATAGTAGTTGTAATTTTTTGTATGTACTGATCTTTCATGTAGATGCTTTCAGAGGGAGACTGCAGCTAGAGGTTACTAACAATTTCTCGTGCTCTGACTGAGGCTGAATCATTCTAAATCAGCAGAACAACCTTTGGAAGCTCTATATTATAGGATTTCAAAATTCCAGTAGGAAACCTTTGTGTCATATGCGGATTTAAATCAAAAGCATTCCATGCACACAGATTCACTGGTCAATAAAATGCAGTTCAGGAGTTCTGAGGGAAAGTCTTAATAATAGAACTTAGTTGAATAGTGAAAACGTGCCAGAAGCAAATAAGGCTTTTGTACATTATTTAGACAGCATGCAGCTGGTTAACGGTTTAATTCACACTTGAGACAAAATATCTTAACAAAATATAGATTTGAACAGGTTAATATACTTTGTTTTACTGAACTGAGGCACAACATTATGTCCAATAATCTACAAACATGCATTGTGTGAGCCTTTTTCAACAGGTTTCTTTTATTTCCTATAATTACTTTGTGAGTGACTCTTACCTGGTGCTACATGTGTGTGTGGTAGTGATGCATGTGTTCCTATGCCAGTCTGACCAACACTTTTGAGCTCATTCACACAATCTCTGCTTAAATCTGTTCCCAAGTCTCTCCTCAGTACCTCCAAGTCAGCATCAGGAGCATCTGCAGGACTTTCTGCACACAAAACCAAACACATTCAGGGTATACAGTATCTGTATTTTACAGATAAATCAGATTTAAATGTCAGTATCCTGTGTCTCATACACAGCCCTACCTGTGTTTAGTGTCTCAGAGTCAGATTCTTGGAGGTCCTCTAGGCTGATGTCTAGAACTTCATCTTCATCTTCCTTGATCATCCTCATCCTCTCTGGTTGCTCTTGATCATTTGAATTTTGACCTTTTTTGGACCGCCCCCGTCGTGGCCGTGTTTGAGAGGACACACCCATTTCATCCTCGGAGGAGGGGCCACTGGCGCAGAGGGCTGTGCTTTTCTTACCAGTTCTCGTCCTTCTGGGCCCATCCTGCTGAGCAGATGGATTTAGAGGGAATTTGGAAGCTGGTATTGGTGCAGCAGAGGTTTTAGATGTGGACATGACAGAGCGTTTTTTCTCTGACTTTTTCTCGATCTCTACAGCAGGGGGAGCTGTGTCAGCATCACTCTCATCACTAAACTCAACCTAGAGGGAGAAAGAAAAAGAGAGAAAAGGGGTGCTTAAGCAACAGTTTGACACCAAAAAAATAAATAAAAAGTAAAAACAAAAACACACAATCTTCCCCTTAACTCAAATGCAGTTTTGCACTGGAACTACAAGGCTACTGTTCCCAAAAAGTAAGCTTAAAGCCCAGCAATTAGCACTGTGGAAACTGCATGCCTAAATGCAATTTCCATTAAACAGCATCAAGCAATCTCAAAAAAATCTTAAAACAGACTTTCTTATGCAATTGCTGACCATATGAAACTTATCTATACAAATACAAAAATATGAATACAATTTAGAATGGCTGGGGAAGCACATTTCACAATCCTATTCCTTTCATGTCTGAAGGTAAATTTTGTCCTATTCTTTTAATTTCAGTCATTATACAGTCATATTCAGTTATTATATCAGATCTCAGTCAGCAAGAGTTTGAAAGTCATTCAAAAGGCACTGTTCAAACCTTAAAGCGTGAGCGTTTCGTCCGTTTTGGTGCAGCTGGGACAGTTACAGGTTTCTCTTGTTGAGGAGAAGAATCTTCAAAAACCTGGAATGAACTCTTTGCTGTGGTTTTTGACTTAGTAATGCCAGAACGGCTAGCACCTGCAGCTTTGGCTGCTGTCAGTGGGGTGGAGCTTACAGTAATACCAGGAACCTCACTGGTGAAGTCAAACGCACTCATGTCACTGGTTATACCAGCAGACACTGCCACGGAGGCAGATTTAGGGCAGGGGGTCCTGGTTGCTCGCGGGGTTTTGAAAACCATGTTAGGTTTTGTGATGCTGATTTTTGACACCGGGTCCTTGGCTTTCTTTGGCAAAGCTGTGGATGCCTCTCTTGTTTTATTAATCCCTTGCTCTAAAGGTGCTTCTTTTTTGCTTGCTGGGAGGCTCTTGGCAGATGCACCTGCCACTGGAAAAGGTTTATCACAACTGGAGCTCTTCAGTCTGTTCTGCTGTTTGAGCTGCGTTTTGATTTTGGGAGCCACTGTAGTGAGCAGTGGAGTCCAGCCCCATACATCGGAGATTAGATCATCAGGACTACATTGCTTTTTCCCAGCCAGGGCCAAGCAACAGGCAACAGCTTTGGCACCCAGCAGAGCGGCCCTTAGAGGTCCCAGCTCTGCACAAAGGGTCCCTTTAGACTCCACAACCTGTAGCCCCACCTCTATCTCTTCCCACAGAGCAGCAGCCTTTCCCTTTTCTCCAGCCCCACAGCGGAGCTGAGTCAGCACAGTGCCCAAATGAATCCTGCCAACCTCTGCCTGTAGTACAGAGGGGGGCAGGCACTGACTGGGGCACAGTTTACAGGACATTAGGGTGGCCAGGCGGGTGTGTAGTTTATCTATGATGCTACTGCAGCGCATCTTAGCATAATGGCGTAATCGACGTGAGCTTTGCGACTCTTTCTGAAGATCGGCCTGCACCAGGGCCCAATGGATGCTGACACGAGCCAAGCCAGGCTCAGTGCAGCACGGGCAGGAGCAGCTGTCTCCATGAGTCAGGCAAGACAGCACATGCTGCCGTTTAGGCTTCAGAGGGGGTGATGCATCCCGGCCTAACTCAGACAGCCCCTCTACTGGCTCCCGGCCCAGTGAGCGAGAGCTCAGGAGATCACTAATATCCTCCTCTTCCTCAGCAATCTGAACGGCAGAAGTTGGTGCAGCTGGTCTGCCTTTGCGAGGTTTTATTTTCAGCTCAGATTTTTGTTGGTGGTGCTGGCCAAAATCTACAAAAAGCAGAGATCATAGAATTGCAAACATGATTTCTGAAGTTCATTTATTACATTTGAAATCCAGCTAAAGATTTATTGTGAGGCATATTACAACAAAACAGCAAACAATTAATTTACTGCTAAAACATTTTTGTGAAAAGCAACCAAATTCTATGAATGTCAATATTGCATACTTATATGATACAAAAAAACAATATTAAGTCCAGTCTCCCACCCAGCCCAACTCTACAAAAGACATTTCCATGAAGCCAAATTGAAGGAAGCTGTAAGAATTACCTGTACCAACATCCAGCAAGTGTCTGACCTGCTCCAGATCTAAAGCACTGGCCTCACTCGCTCCTTTCATCAACTCCAGCTCAGCCTTCAACACCAGCAGTTCGGCACAGCTACACACAGACATGCGTGACCAGGAAGTTATGGGCTTAGAAAGAGGTCTGCAATCCTGCACTGTACCACATATGCACACAAAACTTACTGGCTGAGGGTGTGTAGCTTGGTGGCGAGTTTAAGGGCCTCCAGACACTGAGCTTTGGCTTCATGGGCCGCTCCACCGCTGCTCCTGACACACACCATCCTCTCAGAGCAGAGTAACACCTCACTCAGCAAAAGCCATTTAAACACCACGCTATCTCCTACAGAGACAGAGAGAAAATGCAATGTAATGTGCAATAGTCAGAAATCACTCTTTCATTCAATTTCCACTTTAAATGGCAATCAAGTACAAGTGATTCATTGTTCCTCAACAACTAAATACATCAAATTTTCAGTATTTAGTGTGGACATTTTTTTAAATTACAGCTTCCATTCTTTTCAGGACCTTCTTCCAGTTATTTGATATCTGATTCCAGGTATCTGAAGAGAGATTTTTCCCACACCTGCAAAGCTTAGTCTTAGAAGCTGGTTGAATTTTCTGCTTCTCACAATCCAAACAATCCCAACACATTCAATGACACTGAGGTCTGTTTTCATTCCAACAAAGCAGGTGCACACATGATCAGTTGTTGGAGACTAAGATTAATTGATTAAACAAGTAGAATCAGGTGTGCTCATGTGTGTCTAGAAAGAAAACCTGCAGCCACAAAAGCAATTTGTAACCCCCCTTTGATTGTTGTACCACCTTAAGAACAAATTCATTTTAACATTTTGTTTCTTTTTACCTTGGTCTACAAATCGTGTGTCCACATTGGGAGCAGGTGCTCCATAAAAGCCATTTCCCAGCAACATCATTACCAGACTGCACAACAGCTTCAATCCTTCATACTGGGCTGTGTCTGGAGTCTTCAGACCTATAACATACATGTACACATTAACACTTAATAACAGCCAGTAATCCCCATGTGTCAAACATTAGGCCTGTGAGCCTTAACTGACACAATCCTTTCCAGTCCACAAAATTATTTTAATTTCTATTAAATGCTAGCCTGTTTCACAATGCCCTGCACTACAATCCCCAGCATTCTTTACAATAATGTGCACTCCCACCACCCTCCCACAACGACAATCTATGGGACAACAGTAACACCTCAGTTCTACCACACCAGTCATATCACCAAACAGTCTAGCGGTGTTTCAGCTTCAACTGCAGTTCAACCAACTTAGCTTAGAAGCTCAGAAATTGATTCCAAGAATGAATGAACGAACAATGAGTAGCAAAGATGCCAGGTTTCCAGTTCAAGCAAATAGGTTGGTTTAAAATATGATTTTTAAAAAATATTTCAAGTATCCATGTAATATATCAAGGTCTACTACAAGTGCCCATACTTTTCTATTGACATTTTGCCTTATTTTGAATAAACAATAGCCAGTTCAGGTTATGGCAAAATATTATTTAAAAATGAACTAAAAACAGAGAAATGAGATTTTCTAATATATCCCTTTTATTGGTGTTTGGCATACCTGCAATAATCAGTAACTAAACATATCCCCATTTGTGGATATACTGAAAGTTATTTGTAAAATGATACCATGCTGGATGATGGTCTGGCGGAGGTGTGTGTAGAGTGTGTCTGTGTCCAGACTGAGGTAGGCACTGGCTGTCTGTAAGGCTCGAGCTTTCAGCATGTACCAGCTCTTGGAGTGATGCTGTGCTGTCTCCTTCAACACCTCACATAGACTGCGCACACCACGCTCCACCTAAAAGAGGGAGGTGTTGAGACAGAGACTGCCATTATGTAATGTCCAATCCCTTTGCATACGTGCAGTTATCTCTGATTTAAAAAAAAAAAATAAATCTCATCAAGTGCACAGTTGACCAGAGCAAAGCTAGCTTATTGCTTCAGACATGTTAAGCTAGATTGTATACTCCTCCAAACTGTTTAAATGTTTAAATGTTTCAATGACTGGCTATACATACTGAATGACTGAGTAAGAACATATTAGCCTTTACCATCTGATGTGCCAGCAGCTGTTTAAGAGGGCAGAGTTAGAAATGGCATCAATCCCAATGGGATTAAAAGGGAAAATATATAATTTAGGGAGGTGTGCGCATATTACCTCACGTAAAGCATAGCAGAGTTGAGCTCTCAGCAATGTGGCTGTGACAGAGATGACCGTAATAGCCTCAGAGCCTGGCTCAGTGGCCAAACACTGCTCTGCTTGCTTCAGCTGCACCTGAAAAACGCAAACAGACGACAGTCATTTAGAATCCAGTATAAAAATGATCATTTAAAAAAAAAATAAAAAATCTGAAGTTGACACTGATAAAAGTTTTAGATAAACAGTCCAACAACTAGTGATATTTCTTTACAGTGAAAGAACATCTGAAAATGTCACATATTTAACTGAATGTTCAACATGTTAAACTCACAGCAATATTTAAAATAATATCCCCAATGTTATATCTAATCCCTAAATCTCTATATATCTAAATATAAATGGTTTTCTCCATTACTATTACTACTATTACTATCTAGCTGTTTATTCCATGGTTACCTCAGCGAGCTGAGGAGAGCCCAGGTCCAGCAGCAGTTTGGCAGAGTGGCAAAAGGCACCAGCACTATTTTGGCCATCACCAAGGAGTCGGAACAGATGTGCAGACAGCTGATAACCCTCCAGAGCCTGCAGGGTCTATATGAATATACATGAATAAATTAATATAATGAACAGGATATAACATCTTAAAGGGATGGTCTCTTTAGGGGTAATTAAGAGACAATTATCCCTAAATAGCTAAGACATGTCAAGACATGTATAATCACCAGTCAGCATTGTGTACGTCTGAATAATCACATACTTGCCTCAAAACTTGTCAAGTTTTCTAATCTTAAATAGATTTACTTGTGGTTTCTAAGATTTATATCTTATCTAAAAATATAAAAAAAGGACAAAAGGGTCCAATATAACAAAACAGGTGAAGCAACCTTAAAGGGGAATCCACAGCTTTATCAAAAATTATGCATAATTTAATCTTCGAGATGTAAATAGCTGTTCAGAGCAGGCTGATATAGAGAAACACAGTGCCACATTTCATTACAATTGTGACATGAACCATGAGTCCGTGTCTACGATGCAAACATTTTATTTACTATCCAAAACATCCATGTTCAGAAGACTACCTGTGTCTTAGATTTTGAATGTAATGCTGATAATGGTGAATTGGGAAAAATCTTAAAAATGTGTGATAATTTTTACAAGGCCCTGCTTGTAACACTCCAACCTAAAATGTTTACTTTAAAAATGTGTTTCAAGCCAAAACCTTACCTCAAAAGTACCATGAAACAATATCTCAGGCATCAGACAACATATTTATAACAGTATCATATAATAACTTCCTGTGAGGAAGCTTTTAGTGATAAACTCTTCAGATGTCTCATTCCCATCATCACCACTTCGAACAATTCTTGTTTCTCTAGAACAGAGCAATTTTTGTCCATTTTTCTAGATGGCAGCATGTCACAGTTTCATTGTTTTAAAGCTCTACTAAAATCATAGCCTTCCCCTTCAAGAGTCATGCAAGAGTGTTTACCTTGCCCATGAGTGAGTAGAGGGCAGCCATAAGAGAGATGGAGTAGGCAGTGTGTTTGGGGTCCCTCACCACAGGTACATGCTCATCCTTCAGCAGAGTCCTCCAGAGTAATAAACACCTATCCAAAGGCTCGCTACGTTCTAACAAATACACAAATAGCATTGATAGTTCTCATATACCATGTACGTACAGGGACAAGATGTACACAGACCGTCCACTTCATTACGTACACCTTCTTGTATTTACACTTTGTCCATTTCATCAGCTCCACTTACCATATTGGTGCACTTCATAGTTCTACAATTACAGACTGTAGTTCATCTGTTTCTGTGTATACTTTATTAGCCCCTTTTTACCTTGTTGTTCAGTGGTCAGGACCCCCACAGGACCAACTATATAGTAAATGGAAGTGATACAAGGAGGTTTACCTAATGAAGTGGCTGGTCAGTGTAGAATATAGAGCAATAAGATCAAATGTTTATAATTCTGTTGGCACGTTCTCATTCAGTCTGCTCATATTTAGGAAAAACATTTCATTCACAGTTGCACTGTGTTTTGTGTGCAAGATCTGCCCCCCTTCTCACTATTTTGTGCTGCCAAATTGAAGCAGAGTCCATCATACACCAGCTGGCTCTCCTGTAGCTTCTGTTTGTCTTCATATTCCAGATCATTAGTGGGAACCGGATCCAAATTCCCAGTAGCCTTACTGCCCTCCTGCACCTCACGCAAACGCTTCTCTGTATCCAGTGCCTGACAGAAAGATACGATTAAGAAAAGAAAAATAAACAATCCCATCACTATACATTACATCTTCTGCTATGGTTTAGTATTAATAAACAACAAATAAATAAATAAATTAGAAAAACGGACGTCTGCAAGAACAAATCTGTAAGCAGTAGCAATAAAATACATAAATAAATAAAATAAAATAAAAGGAAATGCCCTGGAACTAAATTTACACAATTTTTAATTTAAATCACACAGTATTGCTGTACAACACACATTACAATCTAAATCCTACTGTATTCTCAGTACTGCTTAGTCATTTTAATTTTGCCCCTTGTTCTTTTTTTGGTAGTGACAACATTTGACTTGACAAGTCAGTTTCTAGCAAAACAAAACAAAGAGAAGAGTTTTCCGAATAATTTCTGAGGCATGTTACTCACATTTGGTTACCTCAGAGCTACCACGTTTGTATCTGAATGACTCCCTCTTTTTGACCAGGGTCATTATTTATAGCTTGGAAAACAAAGCTACTGTATCACTGACCTCCTGAAGGTTGGCCTCAAGTGTGCAAATGTAAAGCCACAAAGATGCGTGTGCTTTTTCATCCTTTAGCCTATCAGCATTCTCTGCTGTCTCTTGCTCCTCTTCCAACAACCGCAGAGCCTCATGGGTAAAATCAACTGCAGAACTGAACAATAAAACAATGATAATAAAACAATTTATAACAAAACGTAAGTGCTTTAACCAACTCCCTTACATGTTAGTGTGTAACATTAAGAAATCTGTGTTCAAATACATGTATTATTATGTGTATGCCTGGATATACCAGTCTGTCTGTTGACTGAAGTCCTGGTAACACACCACCTGTGCCATCTCACACAGGTAAGAAGCACGCCTAAGAGTGTGTGTAGTGTCTTCATGGCAGATATCGAGCAGGTCGCACAGGGCGTTATAGCGCTCCTGGGCGGTGTCTCCAATCTGCTCCTTATACATACGCAGCTCTTCTTCCAGCAGGCGCACCAACACCTCCTCATCTACTGAAGATGCTTCCAAACCATCCCTCAAAGTCCTGACAAACAAAAAGAGCACAAGATAAACAAATATTTTGAAAATCCAACCTAGCTGTTTGTAGACTACTAGAGAAAAAAAAATGCCATAATCATCAGTGGGACCGAGTAAACACACATTTGCTGTAACAACTTTCAAAACAAGAGGTTTGGGGAGGAAAAAAAAAACAAACCAAAAAAAAAAAACTACTATTTATGTGATTCCCAGTAATAAACTTCTTTAAATCAGATAATGCCAAAAAGTGTGTAAGCTATAGACCACATAGAATGTAGCTGCTGCAGACTGTGTTTGTGTCTCACTGTTTATCTATTTTTGATTTTGCCGCTTTACTGTAATCTAATTAAAATGCTTTTGTTTTCCTCAGCCTTTTTTCTTCTTCGCTGGAAAAACTGGAAGTGCCACATTCATTCAAAATTTTTTTCAGCACATCCTTACTGACCCTTAGCCATCTTCCTTCTGTGCTGTTGATCCTTAGTGACTCCAAACTGACATCAGACACAATGCTATGTCAAATATACAATCAGTACTCACTGCTGTCCTATAAACTTGTCAATCAACATCACTCACTGCTGATCTCTAAGGGCATCATTGCACCTGTAAGAATTTTTGTTGTTTTCATAAGACCCATAACATCAACAAATTCATTTTAAATTTATGTATTTGTTTCAACCCACCGCGCGACCCAGAAGGATAAGCTGTTTAGAAAATGTGTGTGTGTGTCTCAACTCAACTGATGGAAACACAATTCACATTCTGTTTGCTGCAACATAAACTTCTGACTGTTAAAGCTAACAACTGTGGAAAACAACTAGGATCAGCTTGAACAACTGTGATCAGCTTTTATTGAAGAGACCAGATTTCACACACATGATATTTCACATACTATGATATTTATTACACACTGTAACAGTGTACCTTGATATGTGCCCCATTCAGTAAACTGCTTTTGGAATACATAAAGTATATATGTAGTAGGTATGACTATTTAGATTTAGACTTTACACTTTTTGCATGTTGAAACACTTGCCTGTTGCTCATTTCCCAGGTGATAAATCAAATTTAATCACGCCAGAACTGAGAACGTATTTTCGTTACCTAAGGCGTGTGTCTTCCTCTCCTGCACGGGCAGCATCACACTTTGTCTTAACCCACAGGGAAACTGGTTCCACAAGGTGATCCAGAACCCGAGCACCTAGAACCTGAACCCAGCGGACTACCCAGTCCAGAGCTCTCTCCCACTGAGCTGCACGCCGACTACACTGCACGGCCAGCACGAAACAGCGATTCACCTGAACATAAGCACACATACATAACTTAGAAACCTGCACAACTAACTGAGAGATCAAGTCAGAAAGCAAATCCTGTAAGAGCTGATGTAGAGTCAGGACTTACTCTGTCCACAGGCAGAGAGACAGGACAGTCCTTACTTAACTCCTGACAGATAATCTCAGCCAGGCCAAATGCTTCTTCATACAACTTTCTGTTGAATAACTCATACACCACATTATTCACCGCACACACTAAAGAGAAATAAAGAGACACATTTGTTACCTAAAATCACAAATCTAATTATTTTAACTTAAAACTAATTTAAATTAAAATCAATTAAACTTAATTTGAATTACAATGCTTTTTAACTATTGTATAATTATTATTATAATTATTATAATTTACCTGCTTTCAGTAAGAAGTTGTCATTAGACAGTTTGCGTAGTTCGGTCATCATGCGTCCTGCTGTTGCCTGGCAGTATAACAGAACTCTGTCCAGAGATTCAATAACTGACTCCTAAACATATACAAGTACACATGAACACACAGAAATCACATTTCAAAAAAGAAAACACTCAACTTATGTTACATAGTAGTCCATAAATTGATAAACACAGTCCTGCGTGTGAGGCAGGTGAGGTTTACCTGTGAGGAACGCATACTGTCATACGTGCTGATAAAGCCTTGGTACAGACTGAAGCACAGTGAATACTGAAGTTGTTGTGAGAATGAGCTCTGAAATAGAGACAAAGTAGGACAGGACCGTCATCTGTAACAGTACACTAAGAAACTGACATACTATGAAGTTGCTGTTCAGGTTTATGAAAAGCTTTTCATATTTCATAGATGATTATTTTAATTAGGTAATGGTAATTAGGTAATGAAAACAGCAGTGTTCCATTTTCAAAGCAGTTTGCTTTTAGTTTTCTTTCCCATTCTATTTTCAGTGCTTCTCTCATGCTACAACCGACTGATCTAGGCTAGGCACCATATAGGCCAAAAATGGACACCACTGATACTTATTTACACTGATACCAACTGTATACCTGCTGTCCAAGACCTGACTGTAGTAAATATAATGCTGTAAGTTCCAGGTTACTATAAAAGAAGAGTTTATAAGCCATATAAAAAGGCCCATATCATTTAAAAGGCCCTTTTCACTTTTTTTTCTTTTTAAATAAAAGCATACAATATGGTAAACACTGTTAAAGTTGCAAAGCCCCCACCCAACTCTCACTGAAGTATGAAGAGAGTTTCAGCCCAGACTGCTTTTTGAACAAGGCACAAGACAGGACACCCAATCAGAACAGAGCTCATTTGCACATGTCAGTCTTAAAAACCTAGCAAGAAAAACAGCCTATTTAATTTCTAAGGGATAAATAGAAGTTGGGGGAAAATAGTCATAAAAATGAATTTTTGGCACATAAAAACACAAAAACCTTGTAAGTAAACTTTAGGGGAAAAAATCAAATACAAGAATAATGTAGGATATGGGCTCTTTAAATAAACTGCAGGTTTCCTTTCAGTAAATGTAGTTTGTTTCTGGTTCTCTACAGTATCATTTCTGAAGAAAACGAAACAAAACACAGCACAGTGTAGCAGCACTCAGGAAGAATGAGTACATAACATTTATAAACACTCTAATACAAAGATAGAAATATTTGTACTGATATCCTGATTAGTTGACTCTTTCTCTCGGGAGGCCACCCAGGTGCTAGTTCAGTCTCTTCTCAAGGCTTGACTACTGCAACTTGCTCTTGGCTGGTCTTCCTATGCAGGCTATCAGGCCCCTGCAACTCATCCAGAATGCAGAAGCACAGCTTGTCTTGAATCTTCCTACATTCACTCATGTTACTCTGCTGCTGCACTCCATTCACTGGCTTCCTGTAGCTTCACGCATCAGATTTAAAACCCTGATGCTTGCTTACAAACCCAAAATGAACCAGACCCTCCCTACCTAATGGCAACGGTCAAAATTTCAACTGCTGCTCAAGCCCTTTGAGCTACAAGTATAGCTCAGTTTGATCCTCCATCCATGGAAGACGAGCATCAAGATCCTTTTCTGTCCTGGCATCCAGCCGGTGGAACAAACTCCCGCTGGCCGTCTGAACAGCAGACTCTCTCGCGGTCTTTAAACGCAGACTCACGACACATCTCTTGTCACAGCACTTAAGTGAGCATTAATGCAAGTACTTATTGAAGTGTATTGTACTGCATTTATTGAAACGTATTGTATTGCACTGTTTGTTTTTTTCTCTACATATCAACACTTAGTAGCTTAGTAGTAGCTTTTACTCTAAATCTATTTGTACTAGCTAAAATACATTCTCTGAGTTTACAAAGCACTTCTGTTAGTCGCTCTGGATAAGAGTGTCTGCTAAATGCTGTAAATGTAATGTCCAAACTCAATTAGAAGCTCAAAAACAGGGACTATGTTCAAAATGGTCCCCTAATCCCTAGCTCCTTAGATTGGAAAATCAGTAGCACTACACAGAACACTTTTAATCACAAATTGTATACCTATAAAGTAAACGATTCCATACACTAACACTACATGGGTTTGCTCAACATTCTGCCAAACATGAGTCCCACCTGAGAGCGCACTGTATAAGGAATAAGGCAGTGTCAGATATAGCCAAAGGCTTACCTTTTGCTGTTTGAGCAGAAGCTCCTGATATTCCTCCAAAAAGGAAAAACAGGCCAGCAGTGTAGTCCTGTCCATTCCTTTTGTTTGTCCTGCCTCTGCTGCCCAGACAACCAGCTGACAAGCCTCCAGGAGAGCATGGCCATCAGCATCTCCCATAGCATCAGGCAGCCCTCTAAGGATGCGAGCACAGTCTGTGAAAGGCTTGCTGCATTCACTTCCAGAGCTGAGGGCACAACGCAACTGCACTGCCCGAGCAGCAAGGCCGAGAGGTAAGCACAAAATGTCACAATGGCGCCTGATCCCCTCCAGAGCTCTGTCCACCAGCTGTGCAGCCTCAGTCCAGAACTTGCTCTTGCACAGCAACTTGCACACCTTAAACACCACCTCACATCTGACAGCCAGTGAAGAAAGCATCAGCACGCAGTCACCACCCGCATTCTCACTGAGCAACGGGCTGAGAAAACGCATCTGTAACTCAGAGAGTAAAAACGCTGCGTCGTCCTGAGACAAGCTCCCACTCGCTCGCTCAAACTCGCCCACTGCCTCCTCCACAAAGAGAGGCACTTTAGACGTGCTGGACGATCCCTCCAGCAGCCGGAAGAGCAGAGCTTGCAGCTGCCATCGGAGTCTGTCCCTGGGAGGGAGGCTGGATGCCTGAGAGCCTGAGGTCAGGAGACTGTTCCAAAGCACTGCGAAGCAGTTCCGAACCAGGACACTGAAGTCTTCAGCCTGTGGTCAAAAATAACGGCAATGTTTTAAAATAATTACTTAATAATTAAAAATGATAAAAAAAATAAAAGAAAAGTAAAAAAATATCCCAAATGGAGTCAACCAGCCAAGAGCCAAAATTGCTGCTTGATTTCTGTCCTAAAGACTGCTGTCATAATTTAGGTACCCAATTGTAACGTCTTATCTTTGGAACACTAAAGCCATTTGCATACCTCTGTGGAAGAACACTGCAGTCTGTGATACATGATGTCTCCAAGCCGACTAGCAGGACCATGAGCTCTTTGAGTAACCATCTTCTGCAAGATATGGAAAATTATTTTCTCAAGATAAAGCGGGCATCCTGGTACTGCAGGGTCAGGGACCAACCCATACCCCTTCACAGCCAGCTCCACTAGATCCACTAGACATTTTTGATGCTCTGGCTGTATAGCTCCACTGCCAAGCCTCTGATTGCATGCTCGAATGATCCTATCACATATTGTCCGACTCCATGGGCCAAGATCATCATTTACATGTTTCTGCAGCATACAACACAAAAGGCCAACTCAAGATGAGGTGCAATGTATATGAGAAGTTTAGCTTACGTTACACACATTGAGCTACTACTTAAACTCAAGAAGTCTTTTTCTTACCTTCAAATCATCATGAAGTAGAACAGTGTCCTTCATAGATGATATCCGTTGGACGTACTCATCTGTTTTTAGACATTTCATTCTTCCTTCACCACCTTTTTCTGAAAAGGTTCAGTAAGCCAGATAATAAGTACATTTCAAGTTATGAAGATTATACAGTTCAGAAGAAGAAGATGGCCAAATAAAAACTAGCAGCAAGCAAACAACACTTTTACACATTCGGTGCACTTACAGTGGAGGAAAAAAATACAAACATTGTCAAATATACACAAACAAAAATATATACAATTAATAGCTTTTGAAGACTTTAACTTCTCTTGTCAAATCATGTCCCTCTCTGTAAATAAAATGTCTTTTTGGGCAGTCCTAAACCAATCTGCCCCAAAATTAACTCATGCTAATACAGTGTGTCCGGGCTGGGACGTAACAGAATTTCAAGTATATGGGAATATGGATTTAGAATAAGAAATTCATTATCTGTATTCAGCCCAAGTTACATTTTGAAAAGGCCTTCAATGTGTTTTTTACTACTAACAACTCTAAGTAGCAAACATGCTAATTTGAAAAAAATCTAAGGAGAACCTCAATTAACAGCTTCCTTACAAAGGCTGAAGCCTGAGTAGACTGATGAATCTGGTGATGAGCCAGTCATTAATCTCAGTGTTCCTGAGCTCTTTTAGGGGATGATCAAATCTTCTTAGTAGTGGACATGTTTGTGAGTGACAAATTTAGTATCCGTGTTGTACTGTACTGCTCGAAGGACTGTGGGAGCAGCATTGGACTGACGCAGGTGGTGAAAGAATTTTTTTTTTTGAAACTTCATTTAAATGATAAACAAATTTTTCATGAAATATTTTAATAGAATTATTACGAGAAGAAATCTGCCAACAAGTAACAATGAAGAACAGTATAAATTAAGTTTTAAAAAAATCCAATGTGCCTCACCAAGATGTATCCAAAATGTGTTCTGAATACGTTACTTTTTAATGTATTGTAATGAAACAACGTTACGTTACTGAATATATTTAGGACAGTGTATTCAGCATTCAGCCATCACTTTTTTTCTAAGTAATGTAGTAAAGCGCTGTAGGCGAATATCAGGATTATCCAAATTTTGTACGATTTAGCCGTGCTGGCCTACACAAATGTCAATCATATTCCTCCCTGCAAATACAAAGAGTCTGTAGATCGATCCAAAGTGACATTGTACATAAAAACTGTTGACGCTGTGACATATTAAAAAGTCACGTTTTACTCATGAAGCTGTGTTGTGCTGTTGAACTGCTGCACTAGAGTTCGGAATTAATACATGAATTTGCTTAGCTAAAACCGGCTAGCATAAGCTAGCTCTCAGTTTGGTTCAAACATCTCACAAAGCAACAATGTTCGCTATATGACAGTTAGTATTAAATGTAACCTATGTTTTTAATGTAACCGATGTATTAAATTTAACCCACACGTGGTTAGAATAAGTCTTGGAGGTTTACAAGCGAGTCTAGTAATAGTAACCTAACTAATTAACTTAACGGTAAGGTATACTGTGACACACAGCTAGCGTTACCCCTCGCACAGGCACACAGAAAAGACAGCTAACGAACTAAACCAGCTAATATTCAGACCACGGCGAGCAGTGATGCGATGTGGCTAACTGGTCACTTACAGCACACCGAAGAAATGACCTTCGTTCTGCGAAAACTATTTCAGTATTTCAGCTGTTTGTGTTGATAAACTCTCCAGCGCTGCTGTTGTAATTCAAACTTCAACCCGTGAACTGTACGAACGAGGCGACGCGCACTTATTCAAAATAGCGAACAGCCTATCGGGAAACGTCTACAAAGCATTGTGGGAATTGTAGTATATAAATCGTACATTTTTTTTGACGCAAGATAAATTCCGCTAAAGCCAAGACTTCTGGCGAACATCGGAATAACCCACTAAAATCCGCCACTCAAGTAATAGTTTACTGAGCTGCCAATATGTATGTCTATGCGGAGTGCACTTAATGTAAAATGCGCCATGCTAATGAAACCTACCAAGCCAGAATTGCTCAAGGTGGTAGTGATGGGAACCAGACGTCCGAAGAATTTAATGGCTCTAAAATCTACATCACAGAAAGCTATTACATGAAATAGCTGCCTGAACATTGTTTTACGATAAGATTTTGCCTTTTTTAAAAAATAAATTAATGGCGGAGTATATTCAGGGCGTTGTCAATCAAAACAATACCAAAAGAAAACGTATTTTTAGATCTAGCACTATTTTACTATTATCAACATTATATATCAAACCTCACAAGACGTGTGTATAGGGATAGTTATAGAGATAAATCCTTTTTCAATGCTCCATTATCAAAAGCTGATAAAATATTATAGACACGTTGGGAATATTTTGATCAATGTCAATACCTATTTATATTTAAATAAAAGCACAGGTATATATAATTTTGGACAAAACTACAGCCAAAACATTTTAGAAGAGGAATGCCATGATATTTTGAAGATGCATATAATTTAAAAAGGCAGCGAAACCTACAGATATGATGTCTTATCGATCAAACCATTTATTCATATTTAGCACACTTCCATCTTAATGACATTTATACACATTCAGCACACATACAGCAACACTATTTCCTCAAATTCAAGGTTAAGTGTCTCGATACTTGAATTCACCCTATGTTTCTCTGAGACTTTGCAGAGACCAAGTATCATTTCACTGGTTAAATACTAATAATGACTGAGGAAGACTGGTCTCATTTTCACATTTCAGTCTATGTAACTATGTAAATGGGAGTCCTATCCTTGGACCTGCTTACATTGTAATAAAAAGTAGGTGTAATAAACATAAGCATAAAAATAAACATTTTAATAAACAATACGCTAATACACTTCTAGGTCCTCCATGCATTTGTTCTCATGCTGTGCAAGAAGCATATGTACAGATGTATTTAGATATAAACACATTTACATTAGTCAAAACACAAATAAAAGATTTTCTAAAAAAAATATGCCTACACATTTTGAAAAATCAGAGATAATGAGATAAAACCAATGTACTAGTTCCCACAGGTGTATGACAAATACAATGATAACCAGCAAAAGAAAGGAAAGATACTCAGAGCAGTGGAAAAAAGGTTGGTTTTTTGTTTGTTTTTATGGACATTTGATATAACATAGACATATACATAGACATCTTCAGTGCTCTGAGCTTAAGGCCATGTGCATTTAAATTTGTAACTTAATATTTCAAACTAACCTCCAATCGCAACCATAAAAATGTCACTAAATATAATCATTTATGTTTATGAAAATATACTGTCCACATACTACTCTGTTATTTAATCACTGTTAGAAACATCTATTATTTATTTATAGGATAAAACCCTACAAATTATAATACAATCATAATACTTTGGCTACACTGATGTAGTCCAGTTCCTTCTTTGCAGTTGTGACACTTTAAGAGTCTTGTGAATGCAGAGGGTTCAGCACTGTCGTTGTGGCTCCTTGGAACAGTGGATTCTGGGTCTGAAAAAAAAGTGAAGGTCAAAGGTTAAATATCACAGGAAAATGCCCCCAAGTAAATCTAAACTGAATATGTGCCATTTAATGGTTTGAATGACTGCGCTAGGATCTGCACCCTTAGCTTGGAATGAATGGAAGTAAATTAGGACAGACAGATAGTTAAAATAAAGGCAAAAAAGATATAGTATAAAAACCTACACATTAGGTAGCATGTAAGTCTTGGACATTTTGCTACAGAATGGCTTCGCTTTCTTATAATGACTACATTTCTCAAAAACATGTTCATTAAAACGTTATTTAACATTAAAGATATGAACTATTTCTGGCGAAATATATGCCAAATGCAAAAATAATGGCTTTCTACTTTCCTTTCTGAATTTAGTGCAAAGACACTTAAATGGTGTTTTGACATTAGTTTAAAAAGGTAGTTGGTGCTTCACAGTCACTAAAGTTGGAGAGTGCTTTTATAATTTACTGCATGTTTATTAAGCTCACAGAAAAAAAACACAGATGTGTATTGGCACAGATAAAAGCCTTCCTCAGTGTGCTTATGACATTGAAGCTACCAACCCACTAAATACTCATGGAAAACGAATTACATTTACTCTGGTTGCAGTACTTGAGTTCATTTTGGAGTAGAATTAAATCATAGTACTTTAACTTTTACTTGAGGTCATTTCTAATATAGCTCTTTTACTTTGCTACTAAGTTTTTATATGCAGTACAACCAATTAGAAGAAAGCTAGGTTAAATTTAAAATAACTCAGTTCTAAAAGCCAGTCAAACCAGAGCCGCTCCAAAAACTTCTGCCTGATGAGTTCAAAGATGTCAGGTTTAGCAGAGAAATAAAGGTGAAAACGTTACCAGCACACACAAGTATTACACAACATATTTAATCCATCATACATTATCCTTCATTCGTTTTTAAATGAACTAAAGAAAATGACATTATCATCAGCTGACAAACACACCTCCCGAAACCTGCTGATATCTCTGCTTTTCACAATTCAACTTCCACTCTGAGGAACCAGCGGGTTTACTGACTCCTAGCTAAACAGGTATTGTGTCACTATTTTCTTTTTCATTTGTTGTTTTATAAACAAAATAGAACACTTTATAATTAAAATAGTGGCTATGTATTAAACTTAAAAGCTGTGGTGTATGTTGTGTTGCAAGTGTCTGTCAGTTACTTTAGTTAGGTGTGTCCACCCATACAGTTTACTCATATAAAATATGATTATGTCACGATTTTGGAGGTATATGGCCCCTATAAGTCTGTGAAACAAGAAATCTAGTCTATGTAGGTTCCCTAGAAACTCTGGACAACAATAGTGTCGAACTCAAATCCTGTTTTTTTCAGGACTTACTAGCCTAATAAGTAATCTGATCAGACTGAAGGTGGTGGGGTATGAGCATAGATATACTGATTATTTTGTCGGACATGCTGTACACAGGCAAAACAGATACCACCTTATGTGAGTCACAAGCCTAAACAAGAGTATATGTAGTTTATACACCGACCGGCCACTTCATTAAGTTGACCCACTTCCTCACACCAGAAGTACTAGAAATATAATACACTATATCTTCAAAGCACTCCCATGCTGATGTTCAGGAGAAGTATAAGGCTGTGTTAGGGATGTGTGTGCACCTGACAGACAGACCTCTTTCCAGTCAGTTTGCTCCTGCGCCTTGAGGAAGCTGCGGTATTCCCGCAGATCATACAGCTCCAGCAGCACTTTATAGACGATGATGATGGCGATGCCAATCAGAACGATAGCTGATACTGAGGTGCCAATGATCACTGCGGTCTTATCAATGCTTCCTATGAGCCAGAGGAACAAAGGCCGAGATTCAGAACAGTTGAGAATTTAGCTGTGTGGAATATATGTCAGATAGTGACACTGATTACTGCGGCATAATCACAAAGAAAGTGCTCATGTTAAAAACACTCAAAAAAGGCCCTTGTACTCAAAGTGCTGTTTTTGCAGGGCACAGGCAATTTTTAACCCTCATATCTCAGAAATAGTATCTTTGTAGGAAAAGGAAAATTGTGAGATTTTGTTCCAAGTATTTTGGACCCTTTCTATTAGTCCATCTAAATTAGATTGGCATTAGAGGCAGGCTTAAAGGTAAAAAGGTATTCTAGGGTATTGCAAGGCTTTTACAGCACAGTGTGAGCTTTGTAAGTGTAAAAGTGTGGGCCCACATACAGGACCTGAGGGCTGAAAGGGGTTAAAGCTGAAAGCCTTTAAAAACTGGCAGTACTTACGTGGCAGATCGGCGTACTGAATCAACACTGTGCCATCACTGTTCTGTGTCACGTCGTAAACGACATCTTCATGTAAACACTGCAGTTGATGATTGCCTTTTAGCCGGGTTAGCTTAGCTGACTCACACACCAGAGAGCAGTTATCAGTAGAGCGGCCGTAAAGCTCGGCCTTAACTGTACAGTCCACACACGGTCTAAACACAGCAGAAACATGGTTTAGGACAGAGTAGTTTGCTCATACACACAATAGAGGCAATTCAACAATAGTGGAAAATACTTGAGTGATTTTAATTTATTACTATGTCTACTTAAGTGTTTTTTGGAATATCTGTATTATGCTTGAAAATTCTATTTTCATATACATCTTCAAAGCGCTTGTTTAAAATCTCAAATCTAAGAAATAAAAATTCTCTTGCCAATCAACTGAGTTCTCACACATTTTATTATTTTTTATTAAAGCTTGAAGTAATATGTGAACATTGTTGTAAACATTGTTTACATTGTGTACCATTCACTCCCATATATGGAAACCATGCTGCAAAAACAGCCTGCTTTGAATTAACTGTATCTATGATGTCAGAAGAACCAACTCATTTACATAGTTATATAGTATTATAAGTTCTAAAGAGTGTTTCAGCCCAGACTCCTTTTTGAATGAGTCACAATGAGAGATGTTGGAAATTATTGTGTAAAAATGAATTATTACTGTTTTGCTGCATACAACTAAACAAACGTTATAAGTAGACCTCAAGGGAAAAAATAAAGTACAAGGAAAATTTAGGATACAGACCCTTTAAAACGAACGAACAGGTCCACAAGAACTAATACTGCCCAATAGTTTAACTTACCTGTTAAAATATTTATTTTATACATGATTGAGTCTGTTTAATTATAAAAACGTCTTTTTTGTTTTACTCAAGTGTATTTTGAGTTCTTATATACACTTTTAATTCAGTAAAAGTTTGACACAGTAAGTACAGAAAATACACTTTTACTTAAATTCAGCTTCTCAGTACTTTTTACACTCCTGTAATTTAGTATTTGAATGACATATCTTTATCAAATGCACAGCAAATACTCAGCATATAATGTAAAAGAGAAAAGAAGGTGTAACTGAAAAATATATGAACACTTACTGATATGTTGAACATGGTTTGAGGAGCTGGGAGCAATCCTTTCCCCCAAAACCGTCTTTACACTTACATTGGTTACACTCACACTCCCCATGGCCGCTACACTTCTTCCCATTCTTATTCAGACACACAGTTGTGTCTGTAGAGCATTGACATGCAGTGCCTGTGTAGTTTGCATTGCATATACAGGTGTCACATTCACATCTACCTTGCCCTGAAACACAGACACACAAAGAGAGTCCGGTGTGTAGTGTTATGCATTCATTTCCTATGCTGACACTATCCTTGGTTAATCGGAGCATGCTGGTTAATTTGAGGAATATGCTAATGTTTTTTAACCTAATCCAAGGATTCGAAAGGAGGGGGGCTGAAAGCGTCCAGTATCTCCCATAAGAGAGACAAAATTGAACTTTGGGGGTCCCATGTATTTCCTCATGTATTTTGAATAAATAAAATATGAATAAATTTGGATAAAATGTGAATAAAATGTGAATTGTCAAAATGAATGCCCTTTTGACTTTTGACAGCATCAGCCATGAAGACATAGAGAAAATAAATGCCATTAGCAGCCAAAAGCCAACAAATATGTTTTTTGTTGGCAAAGAGTTTTCATTTTAGGCTTTTGAGCACGTGATGGGTAATGTTCACATGAGCCCACATCATGAAACAACACCTGTTTTTGTGCAACAACCAACATCCACAATTTTACCCATTTGCTCAGCAAACTGAATCATTATTTGGTCTTACTTCTTGGGGGAACCACTAAACCTGCCAGCTGATGACATTTTATATTACTTAAGTAATATATTCTAATTAGAATATATGAAATGAATAATATATTTATTTAATATATTCTATATACCGAAATAATATATTCTGTCTAAATTCTCTATATTCTTCTATATATTCTGTATGTTGTGAAAGTCATCATAGTAATCAATCAACATATAGCTCACCTTTTAGCTTGACTTTCTGCCAGGGGACCCCTCAAAGACCTCTGACACAATTTGAACCCTGCCTAATCCCTAATCTGCTACATCTGTATCATACAGTCAACTATGCTGGATGATATGTTCAACGTGTTTAATCAAAGCGTCTCTGTCTTTAGGTCAGTAGATCAGATGTGCTCCAGTTTGGTTGGAACAGAAACCTGCAGCCACACCGACCCTTTGTGGATTAGACCATGGGCACCCCTGCTTTAACAAAACTGATTTTAGGAGATCATCTGTAATTAGAATGTATTATTCTCACCATTGCAGACTTTGTTGTTATGGCGCTCACAGCTGGCGTCATCACACTGACAAAAGTTGCCTCTAAAATGGCCACTGCATATGCACTGGCCACACTCACAGCTACCGTGCCCGCTGCACACCTGGGACGTCTCTTGTGGACGACAGTACTTCAGCATGGCATGTGTGGAGTTCATATCACTCTGACGCTTACACTCACAGTGCTGACCCAGGTGACCTTCATTACAACTGAGACAAATAAACGTACATAAAGTAGTGATGAGAGAACTGGACATTAACGATGAAAAGAACATTGAACATGAAATAACTGAATAAATGTTAACATCAGATGTTAGAGGCCACACAATTAATAACTAAATACATTTATGGAGGCTTTTTCAAACATAAAGTTAGGCAATGAAGGATTTAAAAAAATAATAAGTTGTGATCATTATTGATGAATACTTAACATGCGCTAAGTTATTGTCCAAATAAAAAAAAAGGGCTATTTTTAAACATAAAAATGAAAAAAAGACTGCATTTTACTACTTTGGTCATTTGTATTCAGTGTTTTTCTACAAATAATTAGGAATTATACCACAATAATAACTTAAAAAATATAATCAAATCATAGTTCAAAATTTTAGGTCTTGTATCATCTCCAGAAGAATTTTATCAGCTGTAACATTGAATCAAACGGTTTTACACCTCCAGACATAATGTAAGGTTTGTAATTGCATGCTTTTGCTATATAAACATATTTGACAGACATTATTTCTAAAATCATTCAAATAGGGAAGGTTTTTCGGGTATATCGTGGTAAGTAGTGTGTTCAGTTCCATTCCGTTGCCAGTAGGGGGAGCTGCAGACTGTGAGAGATGATAACCTACCTGCAGACTCCACAGCTGAGTGTTCCTTGTCCTTTACAGACTTCTGAATTCTCCTGCTTGTCCTTACAATTACAATCGCACAGCGTCTCCACTGTCACCTTCAGGACCTCCTTGATGCCGTGCATTCGAATCTCAAATATCTCAGGCTTCTTCAGACACTCTGACGCGTTCAGACGGACTTTGAACTCCACCTGCAACGAACGAAATAACATTCAGGACACCTAACGCAAACGTTAAAGTGAATAGTTGAGTCTAGAACATTCAATTCCAGCTGTTGTGAGATTTGCAACAATGACTGAATGCAAAGAAATTTCCAAAGTTTCTCCTGTTGCCTCAAACTGTTGTTCAGCCACCCTATTTCAGGATCAGAATCACAATGTTTAAATACCAGGTGTACAAGGAATTTCTTTTGGGGTGGGTGTCAACATAAAAGATACGTTCAATAAATGAAATATAAAAAAAGATACTCTATATAAACATAAAATAGACAGTACACAAACAAACCGCAAGTAAAAGGATGAGAGATTAGAGATGTTTTGTCTCTGAAGTTTCTAAGTTGGCCTACTAACTTTCTTATGTGGTGTTTATCACTGTTTGGAATGAAGTTATCTATAAGCACGGACAAAAGTGCATCACCTATTTAAAAACTGTACCTGCAGCCATTTTGAAGCTGGACATTTGGGGGTATATTCGTTCATTTTTACAGATAACCTTCTTCAAGACAGCTGCTATTACTGTTTTTTGCTATGTACTTTTGTGTATGACAAAAATCCCACCCTCTTTATCTTCTCTGCTGATCATCAGCGAAATCAAATCTGGACCCACTTACTAACTGGCCATGGTCTAATTCATTCTTAAAGTTTATTTATACGACCACCTCTTATTATTATTAGTTATTCCACCAGATAATATATTGTGGTTGTAGGGAGAGCAGTCCCTCAGGCAAAATGGGGCAAAATGCAATGGCCTCAGGAATATTATTTAGAGTTTTACAATATTATTCACTAGAGTGTCACTGACTAGCTAGCATTAGTGTTACAGCAATCAAGAGCTGGAATTAGGCAATTTAGCCATCTTGCTGGAGGTGAGTTTGTATGTAACTTTTGCAGTTTGGCAGAGTTACATCCACATCTTTATATATAAATATTTTCAAATATAATATTTTTGGTGTGGCAAGATTTTTTTTGTTTGTGCTATAAAAACTGTCCGCTGTTCCAGTTCATTTCCCCTAACTGTGTGTAGTTCGTCATCATCCTGTATATGCTACGCTCGCTTAATGTTTTATCTAAACAGTACATGGACATTGTTCTTAAAGGGGGTTTCCCCAGTTTTTCCCTTAATAATAACAGCGTGCAATACAGTGTCAGAAACCACACAACAAAGCCCAAAGAAGCAAACTTGAGACATTGAACATGTCTTAGATGATCAACTGCACTTTTGGGTAAAGACAACATTGTGAACATTGATTTTTGGTCAAACTATTGCTTTAAGCTGCGGAAAACTGTGAGTAGCCTCAGTTGTAGCCTGTGTTGCTACTGTTGCTGCTGCTGCTGCTGCTGATGATGAAGGTGACAGTGACAGAGCTGACCTTTTCGTTGACCTTGATGCCAGTACACTCTCCCTTATGCTGCCACTCACTGGGTACTCCAGGGCTACAGTAGGACATGTAGGAGATATGCAGGCCAGCAGGGGTGCGGTCCTGTTCCAGGTGCAGAGTGGACGTTAGGTTCTGCAGACAGTACACACACATTCAGAATGTGCATATGACCTTTGACTTCATTTCTGATACTTGAATAAATATAACTGTATGACATTACATACATACCATAGGTAATATATACAATTGTATGCAAACATTTGGGTGCCCCTGGTCAAATTACATGTTTTGTTGATTTTCCATGTGAAAATAAGTTAACACATCCTCTACAGAGAACACACATTTAAATGCACAAATATTGTTTATTTACTGAAATTTCACATATAGAGAAAAGTGAAACATAAAATGTGGCCTGTGCAGAAGATATGGCACATTTTCTATGTTATATTTTGTTTTTTCTATAAATTGTGCACTGACATTAGCAGAAAAATGTCATATTCATGCATTTTATCTATACAGGATGTGTTAATTCATTTTAAAACAGAGGTGTTTATGCTTTGGCATATGACTCTATGACTATTTTTACTTGTGAAAAACTACATAAATAAAAGTTATTTCTAATTTACTCTAACAAATCATTTACTACTGCTTAATTACAACACGAAAAAATCCAAAGCAGTATGTGCATGTGTCATTGTGTGTTTACTCAGAAGAGGACATTAAATGTCTAAAGATCAGTGAACCACATCACTTACACAGATGTACACACACATATAGTCATAGTTTCAGTTCATTTTTTAGAACGGTCTGGTGATGTGGATGATGGGGATCATGGGGAGGAAGTGACTAAGAGGTTGTGTAAACTGTCTATTTCTCAATTCTCATGAACAGATGGGAATGAACCATTCTTGTGTTCACAGGTATTCAAATTTGCTTTAAAACAGGATTTTCACTGGGCCGGTAGTCAAATCAACAGGCTAGCCTAAAACACATCTATTGTTTAGTGCCGTTCACAGTCAAAACCACCAAGCTCGTAAAAATGACAAAACCAACAGCATATTTTACAAGAAACTGCCTGAATGAGGATAATCGTCTCAGACAAAGAGTGGTGAGCTGAACATTAGTCCACTGCAGCTGTTCAGAAAACAAGGGCACAGTACAGGCTAACCTAAGACTAATACTAATTACTAATTTCTCTACACTTTTCAGTTGCAGCACATTTCTGGTGATTTTCACAGTTCTAAGCCAAAACAATGAAAGACGTTTCTTTACTGTGATAATATTTGGAAAAATAGTCACAAACACTTTTAAATGTGCAATTTAAAAAATGGATATTTTTTTTAAATAAATTTATAAATAAATAAATTTAAAAAATTTCTTTAAACTCTCAACAACAGCTATGATAATGGTTCCTTTACTTGCCTGCCACTAGCAGTGTTTTGTTTGAGGAAGGATGCAGTCATTGAATGCACCAGCACTGTTGTGAAAGTGTGTTTCCTGCAGTGGTACTAGAAAGACCCACCTTCTGTTAAGCTTCAATTCATAGATTGACCCTGACATTCTCCTGTAGCCTTTCCTGATATAATACAGAATTCTTAGTACCATCAAATGATGGCAAGCCATCTTGGTCCCAGTAGCAGTAAAACTGCCCCAAACCGTGGTACTGCCACCACCATGTTTCACAGTTGGAATGAAGTTCTTATGCTGGCATGCAGTGTCCAGTTTTCACAAGACAAAAAACATTTCTCATGTAAAGTTCTATTTCTGCCTAATCTTTCCACATAACATTCTTCCAGTAGTCTTTGGGCTCATCTAGGTGACCTTCAGTAAATGTTAAACAAGCACCAATGTTCTTGCTGGTGAGTAGTGGCTTCCTCCTTGTTATCATTTTATGCATACTTTTCCTTTTCAGTGTTTTACTGATGGTAAAGTAATTAATTAACACTGACATTAGCCAGCACAAGAGAGACCAGTGGATCCTTAGACACTACCCTGGGGTTCTTTGTGATCTCCCAGAATATGCCTCACTCTTAGAGTGATATTTGTTGGACAACCACTGCTGAGAAGGGTAACAGTGTTATTGTATTTTCTCCTTTTACTGTACACTGTCTGACAGTGGATTGGTCAAGCCCAATTTGACAGCGACAGTTTTATAAAGTGGACAGGTCACCCATACTCACACTTGATTGTCATACAATTCATTCCTAACCTCCTGACAATAATTATGGCCTATATTGAACTGATAATTCTAGAGGTTCACATTCTTCTGCAAACAAAGACATTTAATGTTGAATCACATTGTTCAGTAAATTAATGAAAAATATAAAGTGCTTTGCGAAAGTATTCAGCCCCCTTAAAAGTTATCAGATTTATATGTATTACAAATGACACTTTCATGTTTTGTGCCATCATATTTTATTTTAATCAGAATCTCTATATTTCACCAAGTATGTTATACATACAAGGAATTTGTCTTGATAAGTGCACACACTGAAGGCCTGAAGTCCACCACCATCTCTACAGTCCTTTGTATATTGAGCAGCATGTGGTTGCTGCTGCACCAGGAGAACAGCTGCTTGACTTCCTTTCTGTAGGTAGATTCTTCCCTGTTGGTTATGAGGCCCACCACAGTGGTGTCATTTGAAAAATTAAGGATCTTCACAGCTGGGCTGAGACACAGTCAGAGACTGAAGAGAAGGGGTGAGAGCACACAACCTTGTGGTACACCAGTACTGAGGATCTGACTTGTGCTTTCCTAGATGCACCCACTAGCATGGGTTCCAGGACTGTTGAGATGCTGTAGCTTGAGGTGCAGGGTCAAGTTGACTGTGTCATCGACAGACCTGTTAGCTCTGTACGTGAAATGCAAAGGATCCAACAGAGGGCTGGTAATGGCCTTCAGGTTAGCTAGGACCAGGCGTTTAAAGACTTTCATGACTACAGAGGTCAGGGCTACTAGCCTGCAGTCATTTAGTTCAGTAATGTTTGTTTTTTTGGAGACAGGAATTATGGTAGATGTCTTGAAGCACATGGGAACAGAGCAAAGTTCCAGTGATCTGTCGAAGATGGTGGTGAAAGCTGGCAGTAGTTGGTCACAGCAGTGCTTTACGGGTGGATGGAGAGACTTCTTCTGGCCCTGGAGCTTTTCTCACCTTCTGTCTCCTGAGGAGGGCAAGGGACTGGCAGACAGAGACTGAAGATTGTCCTTTGTGTGTTCAAATCTGCAGAACAGCTCTTTGTAGAGAATTCTGTCCCTACTCTGGAATGCTGCCTCCTTTTTCTGCTGAAGCTGTCTGAGTTCAGTTGAAAACAATGGTTTGGCAGAATGTAAACAGCAACCAAAATGAAAGAAGAAAACTCTCTAGGAGAGGAGGATGGTTTGCAGTTAATGAAAAGTGACTCTAGATGAGGAGTGCATTTTAATAGTATGGTGACGTCCGTACACCAGCGTTCGTGGTGCAAAAGCAGATTCCTCCTCTTCTGGTCCTGCCAGCTCCGTGTCTCTGTCCGCTCTACAAACCTGGAAGCCAGTTAGGTGCAGCGTGCTGTCCGGGGTCAGCTCAGAGAGCCAGGTCTCCATGAAGCAGACGGCAGATGTTTTTGAAAAGTCCTTGCTGGTTTTGTTAAGCCGCAGTAGTTCTCCCAATTTGTTGTGTGGAGATCACAGCTGGTAGAGGAATATAGGTGGTATAGGTGTAGGAAACCCATTACTCCCACCTGCCTCTCAGCCTTACGATTGCGCCGGCCCTTCTGCCTCTCTTGCGCTTCATCGCCAGTTTGAGCAGTGCACCCGTTATAAGGACACACAAATGGAGGGTGCAAAATACAAAGAGACACTGCAAGACAAGATGCTTCACTCTGCTAAGGAACTAAAGCTTGAGCGAAACTTCACCTTTCAGCAGAACATTGATCCCGAGCACAAGGCCAAAGCAACAAAGAAGTGGAAAAGGTGAGTATTCTACAATGGCCAAGTCAAAGACCAGATCTCAGTCCAATCAAGAAGCTGTGGCACTATTTGAAAATTGCGATCCATAAACATCATCCAACCAATCTGAACAACCTGGAGCAAATCTGCCTGGAAGAATGGCTGAAACTCTCTTCCAAACAGTGCACAAAGCTGGTAGAAATTCACACTAACAGGCATAAACCTGTTTTTGTAAAAAAAAAAACTAGTTCCACCAAGTACTAGTCTAAAGGGTTGAATACTTATGCAAGCAGCATTTTACAGTTTTTAATATATTTTTAATCTGCTTACAAATAACTAATTTAGACTCCCGTACTTTAAGAACATATCGGTTTACAACAATAATACTAGCTAGAATAATCTGTGTAAGTGTCATTTGTAATCCAGTCAATTCTGATGACTTTTAAGTGGGCTGAGTACTTTTGCAAGGCATTGTAATTGTTTATTTATTGGTTCTCTTTGTCTATCACAGGTGGGAACAACTCACTATGTTGTAAGTAACAAGTCTTCACACTCAAGTCCCAAGTCAAGACCTAATCTTTGAGTCCTAAACAAGTCAGTATGCATTCTTCAGTTAATTTAAGGCCATAACACTGAATAATGGTACTATAGCCTTTTAATGACAGCACGTTAGTAGTGTATGGCTGTATACAATTTTTTTTAACCTTTCTGACTAAAATACAAAATCCATGGTACATAGATAACAATGACAGGCATACGGGCATACACAAACTGTAGTGCACTACATATGAAAAGAATTTTAAAAGTACTACTGAAAAAAACCTTTGAAGATTATTTTTGATGATTTTTGGGAACAATGGGCACATATGATTAAAATAAAAAAAAATAGCTCAGCCAACTAAAAACAACCGCTAGTTTGAATTCACATGAAACCAAAATGACCGAGGTGAACAACGTTTACAGAAAAGACAGAAAAATGATGGTGAATGTACGAAGCTGAAGTTAACTTTTTTTCACCAGCAGCTTCTCATTTGAATTTTCCATTCCACCTTAAATGGTGCAGCAGTTACGTTCTGGTGCCTCACTGCTGCACTATTTAAGGTGGAACAGAAAATTCAAATATGAAACTAAAAAGTCAACTTCAGCCTCATGGTGAATGTTGCACTTTTTTAACCTGCAGAAGCTGTTAAAATCTGTCAGAAAGAGAGCTGTGTCTCTTTTGTTTTGCTACCATGAGGAAAATGGTCAGTTCGCCTGGTAAGTTTATCCAGTAAGAGTTAAAGTGCTGAGCGAGGGCTCACTGGTGCTCTTGATGCTTCGCTTGTTTCCAGCTTATGGAGGCAAACTTGAGCTCAAACGCTTCTTTTGTCTTCCAAAACAAAAAATAAACCAAGTATAAACACAATAACAGACATCTGACAATGTTGCTGTTTATTCAGTTTATGGAAGGAAACGAATCCATTCACCTGAAAAAAAATCGACTGTGAAGAGTCCCGTCTGCAGTCAAACTCTCTCCATGTTTCTTCCACTTTGAGTCTCGAGTCTTTCCGTGTCTTGACACTCAAGTCCAGGTCAGAGTCCGAATCACTGGTGTTAAAGTCAGGTCTCAAGTCTTTCTCGATTTTCTCAAATCGAGTCTAAAGTCATCAAATTCATGACTCGATTTGGACTCGAGTCCAAGTCATATGACTCAAATCCACACCTCTGTTGTCTATTGTTATGACTTAAATGAACAGTAGATCACATTTTAAGTGAAACTAATGCAAAAATTCATGGAATTGTAAAGGGTTCTAAAACTCTGTAGCACTGTTTGAATGTAGGAGATGAAAAATACTGCATGGCTGGTAGGATTGCTTGCCAAAGGTGCTTACTGACACTGACCACACACAGAGTCTATTGTAATGGGTAAAGTGGCTGGTAAAGCACACTAGGTAACAATGTTGTTCTCCACATGAAAGGCTGGTGCTTGAACCGGCTTTGCCATGCTATTAAGAGCTCTTGAGCAAGATACCTAATACTAAAAGACTGCCAAATAATGTAATTGTAAATGGTCTCAGCACAGAGAACCTGATGTCACTGTAGTCTTGAAAGGAAAGGCTTAAATTTAGAACCAGAATGTCTGGAGACATCCATTAGAAAATTGAGCTACATGCTAACAAGCTGGGTGTGGAATATCTAAACCAATTCAATGTTGTGAATTTGTTAATATACAAGAAAATATAAGATTTTTAACACAAAAGTGTGTTTTTTTTATTTTGACAGTTGCACAAGATTGTTTAATATGAAGAAAGCTGCAGTTGTGCAGTCTGCTCTATTTCATCACAGCCGTGTTTATGAAGCAGGGGCTTCGCACTGCTCCTCTTTCATCCCTTATTGCTCGCTAGCAGCTCAACACAGTCACGACATTTCACAAACAGAGAGCCAACAGTGTCCCAGATAATCTGATGACAGAGTTACATGGAAAAGCATTTTATTTTATAGATAATATGACATTATAGGCATCTATAGACACTAGACTTTTGACTTTAATCAAAAAGGAATGGAAAGGGGTATGGCAGTTTTTCAAAAGGGATGACTTTGTCTTATTTTTTAGTTCCAGAGTTTTGTTCCAGCCCTAATGTAACCAATTAGGTGGTAAATGCAGGGTGGTAAATGTCCAGGAATTGGACTGGATATCCCTAGGACAGGACAGTACTGCAGTAAAGAGAAGGCTCAGTACACTGAAATTCAGAAATTTTGTACTCACCCCGTAGGCATCAGCGATAAGCCGGACCACATTACTGGAGTCCTTCTTCAGCTCAGCAACCACTGACTGAGGAATTAATGCACTCAGTGCCTGTATTTGTGTGTGTGAGAGCAAGAGAATGAGAGAAAGAGAGAGAGTGTAAGAGAAATGAAGAAAGATGAAATTTTAACTGTTGAAAATACTGAAAAATCTCAGACAATATATATGATTAGCATCTTGAACAGATTTGACCTCATAAGCTGGAACACTGTCTTTCGTCACAGCAAATATCAGCTGAATGCTGTTAGCTTGAAGAACTCGTGAGAGATGGCCTATTGATGGATAATCCTGAAACACACACAATTCATTTCTATTTAGTGTGCCAATAGCTGAACAATAAACTTGACATTCAGTGGGTTATGTAAATGTAGTAATTTATGTGATACTCACAAAAACTGTGCCATCATAGAAACCATAACTACTAAGGTGACACTGTCCATCATGTGGCTGAAAGATGCCAGCGAGCCGTCCATCTCCTGCAATGTGGAACGTGTCATCAGATGTGTAGACCAGAATCCGTGTCACATCCCTCCATCCGATCTCTTTCTGTACACATACAGAAGGGAAAAGTGCTTAAAAAGAGTCTTAACAAAAATGCAGATGAATGAGACTTCTGTTAAATTCATCATATGAAACCGCCAAAAAAGTTTTGTGTTCCTTTTGAAGACTCTTTCAACTCAAACATGAAAAAATATGAGATTCATCTACTTAGGGAAGGGGTCCAAAGCACAACTGACGTTCCTTTCTTACTGTTGCACGCAATTATACATTTCCACCAGAGACGCCAAATCCCCAAAGCTTACATAGGATAGCTATAAACTTTAAAACTTTGAAAACTTGATGCAAGGTGCAATTAAGAAGAAATTTCATGATTAAAAAAATTAATTGGAGCACACTTTAGAAATGTTGCCTAGTTACATAAGATAAATTGATTCAGTATTTTTTTCAGGATTTTTCATGGAAATCCACAATGTGCCCGGACAGGCATTGGCCCGTATTGACACCAGTACTATTATTTTATTATTCTGCCTCCAATATATCAAATATAATATCAAATAGAATTTGTTAAATGGAAGCTAAGTATTATCTATTGTAGAATGCTCCTTACCTGGCATACAGCGGCCTGCATGATGGCGTCCAGGCCAGCTTCAGGTGAGTCCAGGTTACCAGATATCTTTTGCGCACTGACATTTTTCTTGAACTCTCTGGCATCGCCTGTCAGTGGAAGAACATTCTTGAAGGTGAAGGCAGGCTCGCAGGTGTCCAAGCGGTTGGGGCAGGGGTTCTGATGCCTTGACTTCACTTGGCTAACGTACGGCAACTTGTCCTTGTCCACGAACGAGCCAAAACCTAAAACATAGAGAAGGAATATAGAGAGGTACGTAGACGTTCATGTACAGTGTACTTCATAAGTAATTGGACAGAATATCAGCTTTCAATTTAGGGTCTGTATATGTGTATAAGGTGAATCATGTAGGAATTACAGCTGTTGTAAAATAGGCTCCCTCATTTCAGGTGAAAGTTGGCTGCTCAATTGTTTCCTGTGTAACGTTGCATCATTCTTGATCCATATAGTTGCAATGGTTGGTGTAAGTGTGTTACACACAAGAGGGGTTCGGTTCATCACCCAGGCAAGAACACCACGATACACCAATAAAAGTCTTTAAGCAAGACTCCTGTACATTCATCTATCTCTGTAACGTTATTGCAACCCTAATTCCAAAAAAAGTTGGGACGCTGTGTAAAATATAAATGAATGTAAATAAAACAGAATGCAACGATTAATCTAAAATCTAATAGATCCATATTTTATTCACTATAGAACATAGAACACATCAGATGTTGAAAGTGAGACATTTTACTATTTCATGAAATATATTAACTCGTTTAGAACTTGATGGCAGCAACGCATCTCAAAAAAGTTGGGACATGGCCATGTCTACCATTGTGTATCATCCCCTCTTCTTTTAACAACAGTCTGTAAACATCTGGAAGGTGAGGAGACCATTTGCTGGAGTTTTAGGAGAGGAATGTTGTCCCATTCTTTTCTGATGTAGGATTCTAGCTGCTCAACAGTACTGGCTCTTCTTTGCCAGATATTTTGTTTCATGATCCGCCAAACGTTTTCTATTGGTGAAAGGTTTAACTTGCATTTGTGGATTGCATGGCAAACTGTGTTCACAGACAATGATTTCTGGAAGTGTTCCTGAGCTCACGCAGTGATTTCCAGTACAGCATCATGCCTGTTTTTAAAGCAGTGCTGTCTGAGGGTCCAAAGATCATGAGCATCCAATATCGACCATTGGCCTTGTTCCTTGCGTACAGGGATTTCTTCAGATTCTCTAAATCTTTTGATGATATTCACTCACATGACTGGGTATAAAAAGAGCATTTTAGTGAGCAGAGTCTCTGAGAAGCAAATATGGGCAGAGGTTCATCAATCTGCGAAAAACGGCATCTAAAAATTGTAGAAAAATGTTCCTCAACATAAAATTGTGAAGATTTTGGATATCCCACCATATACAGTACATAATATCATCAAAAGATTCAGAGAATCTGGAGAAATCCCTGTACGCAAGGGACAAGGCTAACGGTCAATATTGGATGCTCATGATCTTCGGGCTCTCAGACGGCACTGCGTTAAAACCAGGCATGATTCTGTACTAGAAATGACTGCATGGGCTTCCAGAAACCATTGCCTGTGAACACAGCTCGATGTGAAATCCACTAATGCAAGTTAAAGCTGTATCATGCAAAGAAGAAGCCATATGTCAACACAATCAAGAAACACTGCCATCTTCTCTAGGCCAAAGCTCATTTAAAATGGTCTGAGGCAAAATAGAAAACTCTTCTGTGGCCAGATGAATCAAAATTTAAATAATTTTTGGAAACCATATGTCTTATGGACTCAAAGGAGAGGTACCATCCAGCTTGTAATCAGCAAACAGTTGAAAAGTCTGCACCTCTGTTGGTATGTGGTTGCATTAGTGCCTATGGTGTGGGCAGCTTACACATCTGGAAAGGCACTATTAATGCTGAACAGTATATAGAGGTTTTAGAACAACATATGCTCCCATCCAGGCAACGTCTGTTTCAGGCAAGGCCTTGCATATTTCAGCAAGACAATGTAAAACTACATACTGCATCCATCACAACAGCATGGCTTTGCAGAAGAAGAGTCCAGGTGCTGAACTGGCCTGCCTGCAGTCCAGACCTTTCACCAATAGAAAACATTTGGTGCATCGTGAAATTAAATATCTGGCAAAGAAGAGCCAGGACTGTTGAGCAGCTAGAATCCTACATCAGAAAAGAATGGGACAACATTCCTCTCCCAGCAACTCCAGCAAATGGTCTCCTCACTTGCCAGACATTCACAGACTGTTGTTAAAAGAAGAGGGGATGCTACACAATGGTAGACATGGCCATGTTCCCAACTTTGTTGAGGTGCGGTGCTGCCATCAAGTTCTAAATGAGTTAATATATTTCATGAAATAGTTAAATGTCTCACTTTCACCATCTGATGTGTTCTATGTTCTATAGTGAATAAAATATGGATCTATTAGATTTTAAAATTATTGCAATCTGTTTTATTTACATTTATTTATATTTTACACAGCGTCCCAACTTTTTTTGGAGTTGGGGTTGAACATTTTACACAGCATCCCAACTTTTTTGGAATTGGGGCTGTACAGTGTAAGTCTATCTGGTCTTCCAAATGTGTAAATGTAAATGCAGTTCATGCACAAGAAACTTTAAAAGTTTACAGTTGATTTCCGGTGTAGCACTAGCATATGAAGCTGGAAGATCATAATAGTGAAAGTCTCAAAAATACTTTGAATCATGAAGAAATAAAAGAAGACATGAAGAATCAAGATATATAGTGAAAGACTGGTGTAGGCAAAGATAGTGAAAGAGAATCACAGAATGACCTTAGTGCAGAGGTGCCCAATCCTGGTTTTAGAGACCTACCAGCTCCAACCCTAATCCAACACACTTGATCCAGCATCCAGGTCACTTAATGAAGGCTTTCAGGAGCTTCTGAATATTAGAGCCAGATGCTGTGGATCTAAGCTCTCCAGGGTGGTAGATCTCTAGGACTAAGACTGGGCACCCATGCTTTACAGGATTTATTACAAGATGCACAACACTCAAAAACAGAAAGGACAGGTTATACATTGCTGAAAAGCACCTAAAAAAGCATGTAAAGTTCTGAAGCAAATGAGAGCAAATGTATGGCTTACGGCTTTGGATATCACCAAGTCGACTAATCATTCAAGACTGATAATAGCTACTGTGTGTAGACAAAACAGCATGCATACTGAATTATTGCACTTGTTACATGAGCTTGTTTTTAAATGTTTGGATTTTAAAAGTTTGGATTCAAACATTGATGCAGTACATGCATACTATTCATTATACATGATGTCATTAATAATCTCACCAATACGGACACTCTGGGTGACCTTCTGCAGCTCTTTTAAAATGTCCTGGCCCAAATTTTTAATATTCTCTAGATCATCCTTCATGGAGTAGCTCAGGTCCATCAAGTAGTACAGGTCTATGGGGTAACCTTCAGCCCTCTGAAATTCCACCTTGAATTCCTGTGGCACACCTGCCCACAGGAAAAAGAAAATAAAACAGGGCAGATGAGGATGAATGCCAGGATAATGCTGTGTAATATATGTAGACCACACATTTGGGGCTCACCAATTCTGAGCTTGATTTCGATGCCCTGCGGTTTGAGTTGGACCACATCTTCTATTTTGCTGTTAAGGTTGTTGTTCTTCGTGATAAACACGCTTGCAACAGGGTTAACTACATCTCTGCATTCCCTGTTCTTCAGTGACTCAAAAGAGTCGCACCTGCGCTCAGTAGACTCTCCCTGCTTCAGGAAGTCCTACAACACCAAGAAATCTCTTTTAGAAAGTTTGAAGACATTAACCAGGTGGTTGCTGGCATTCCGGACGGTGATAAACATGTGTAGGTACTGTGTGGTGTGAAATATATTTCCTATTCTAACATTTCCACATGCATAAACACTTGCAAATTTATTTATATGAGATTTAGAACTGGGTGGAGGCATACAGTGAAAGTAATCTCCAATAGCAGTACTGTTTGAACTCGATGGCTGTTCTAGACTGCTTTTGGGACAAATGGTACAAAAAACTTGGGACAGTATGTGAAATGCATATAAAAACAGAAAGCAGTATTTAATAAATTCTCTTTAACATTTTTAAAATTTAAAATAGTTGAAAAATAAATATTTAATGTTTTGACCTTTCCTTTTCACAACTCTTAATAATCATTTGGAGACTGAAGACAAAAAAATGAGTCAGTTTTTACAAAATACAAGCCTTCAACTGGGCAACAACATGGCTCCTTCATTGCTGTGTTTTGCACATATTTTCATTGGGAGACAGGTCTGGACTACAGGCAGGCCAGTCTAGCACCTGCACTCTCTGATTAGGCAAACATGCTATTTAAACAAATGCAGAATGTGTGTTGGTGTTTTCATGTTGGAAAACGCATGGAAGTCTCTGAAAAACATGGCATCTAGAAAGCAGCATATGTTGCTCCAAAATGTGTTTAGCATTAATGGTGCTTCCTTTACAAATGTAAAAGCTACCCACTAATATGCCCCACAACCATGACAGACCCTGACTTTTAAACTTTACGCTGGTAACAATGTGAGTGGTCCTTTTCTTCTTTGGCCCAGATAACACAACATCCTTTATTTCTATAAACAATCTGAAAGGTTGACTCATCAGACCACAATACATGTTTCCACTGTGCATCAGTCCATTTTAGATGAACTCAAACCCAGAAAAGTCAGCAGCATTTCTGGATGTTGCCAACCTATGTTTTCCACTGTGGATAGTACAGTCGTAACTTGCATTTATGGATGCAGTGACAGACAATGATTAATGACAGCAGTTTGACAAAGTATTCCTGAGCATGTTCAGTGATATCCATCACAGAAGCATGCTGGTTTTTAATGCAGTACCATCTGAGGGATTGAAGGTCATGGCCATTCAGTTGTAGTTTTCGGTCTTGTCCTTTACAAACAGAGATTTCTCTAGATTCCCTGAATCTGTTGATGACATAATGCAGTGTAGAAGGTGCAGTGCCTAAAATCCATTATTTTTAAACTGTTGGATTTTATGCTGGTGCATTTTTGGCAAAGTGGCAAGCTTCAACCCATCCTTGCTCACGGACTAGGTCTTTTCTGGGTGCTCATTTTTTACACAAGCATGATTGCATAACCAATTTTTTAAACATTTTACAAAATTCCCAGTTTTAAATTGCCCCTGTCACAACTTTTCTGGAATGTGTTGCAGGCCTCAGTTTCAGAATGAGCTTACAAAAAACAATGAATTTGAAAAGGTAAAACATTACATAGCTTGTCTTTGAACTGTTTTTGTTCAAATACAGGTCACAGTAGATTTAGTAGACTTCTTTTTTTTTCAATAACGATTTTTATTTAATTTTCAATCATAGAAAAGAAAAGAGGAAAAAAAAAACCATAACACACACACACACAAAAAAAACAAAACCCACAATAAAAACCAAAAACAGAGGAGGGTAAGAATCTACTGAACCACCCCCCTACCCCATCCCACTAACAACAAGAGACAGCTTGCTAGACATAATGGTGGACATTCTAGACATTCCATTCAAAAACACACACATACAAATAAATGTAGCCATCTGCCTTAATAACATTGTCAAGTACAACATCTCGGCCAAACCTGAGCACATTCAATAATTTCACATATATGACGTGGGAGACGGGAAAGGAAGGGAGACCAAGTGCACTCAAATTCTGTATCATTACCTTTAATTCTAGCATATAAGCGCTCAAAGGGAAGAATTTTCATAATTTCTTTATGCCAAAGGTTAATTGTGGGTGGTCTGTCACCTAGCCACTTAATTAAGATACACTTACGAGCAATAAACAATAATTTGTAAGTGAGCTGGATTTTACAGGATGTAAGTTTAACCTCATCCTTAACCATACCTAGTACAAAAAACCAGGGGTCGCTCTCCATGGTGCAACTGAATATCCTTTCAAGCTTTAATTTGATCCTACTCCAGAGGGAGGTAATGATGGGGCAAGACCAAAACATATGTGAGTATGTACCCACCTCTTTTTTACATTTTGGGCAAACTGATGATTTTAGTGGGTCAATTTTATTTAGAATATAAGGTGTGCAGTGTAAACGATACACTATCTTAAACTCTGTTTCCAGGGTTTTATTGAAGGCTAGTACATTTCCCATGTTTCTTATCATTTCTGACGCATCTTTATCTATTTTTGGTTTACCAAAGTCCCTTTGCCAGCCTGATAGCTCTGTCTGCAAATTGCTTGGCAAGTTTGAAAGTATTATAGCATAAAATGAAGATATGACATTTTTTAAACATATAGCCTGTTTCAAAAAGGAGTCTGTGGGGGTGCATATGTCTTGAGTTTTATAGCATTCTGTATATGGTCTCTAATTTGAAGGTATGCAAATTGGCAAACTGAATTTTTCTTGTAGTTGTTGAAATGACATTAATATATTGCTCTGATACAGATCAGATAGAGACTGAATACCTACTTTGTGCCACTGATGAAAAACACTGTCTTGCAAACCAGAGGGAAAAGCTTTGTTCATAATAAGTGGAGTTAAAGCCCATGATAGATTATCCCTTCCAAAAAATTTTTTAATATCCCACCACACTTTTAAAGTACTGTGAATCAGGAAGTTGTTTCGGATTTCATGAGGTATAAATGTTTTGCCTGAAGTGAGAATACTTTGTAAAGAGATTGGATGAACAAGCCAAAATTCTAAGCCTGTTGCTGATTCTTGCAAAAGCCAGTCAACAATAGTTCTTAAATGACAAGCCCAATTATAAAAGCGTACATTAGGTACGGCTAATCCGCCTTTATCTTTTGGAAGCTGAAGCTTTGATAGCCTAAGTCTGGGTTTTTTATTATGCCAAATGAATCTGCTTATGTGTTTTTCAAAATCAATGGCAACTTTCTTTGTAATGTAAAGTGGGATCATGTGTAGAGGGTATAATATCCTAGGAAGAATATTCATTTAATTAAGTTTATCCTACCTATCCATGAAATCGGTAGGTCCATCCACCGAGCCATGTCCTCCTTAACTGTCCTAAGTATTGAAAAAAAATTTAGCGCACCAACCTTTTTTAAATTTCGGGAATATTGTATTCCCAAGTAATTAAATCCATCCAAAGACGATTTAAAAGGAAAAGATGGAATGGAGGTCAGATCTTTAAACTTCCCAAGTGGGATTGCTTCTGACTTGTCAAAGTTGATCTTGTTACCAGAAAAACAGCTGAATTCTCTTATCAAATCTATTAAAGCTGGGATAGATTTTTCCGGCTCTGAAAGAAACAGCAAAATGTCGTCTGCACACAGAGCTATAACACGAATTATCTGAGCTATTTTTATCCCTTTTATACTTGCATTTTCTCTGACGGATATTGCAAAGGGTTTGAGTGCCAAGGCAAACAACAAGGGAGACAAACAACAACCTTGCCTAGTGCCCCGTTTAAGATCAAACGGTGGGGAATGCATGCCGTTCGTTATGACTGAGGCCTGAGGTGAACGATGAAGAATCTCTATCCACTTTATAAACTCGTCCCCCAGTCCAAAGCGACGTAGTATACCAAACAGATATTCCCATTCTAGCTGATCAAATGCCTTCTCAGCATCCATAGAAATGATTTAGTAGATTTCTAAAACGTTTTTCTAGTAATTTCCAGTAGGTTTTTATTTACATTTTACATATGTTCCAACTTTTTGGAATTGGTTTTGTGCTTTCTTTCACCACTTCTTTTCAGGGCCCCAGCTGTGAGAGCATTTTCACCACCATGGTAAAGTACATTGTTTGTCTTGAGTTTATTTTTAAAACTGAAACAAGTGATTGATTCTTGAAATATACAGTATATGGCCTAGGAAATTTTGAGGAAACAAGAAACCGTTAGAAACAATAGCTATAATATGAAAAAACACTGTGGGCTTGAGAAACACAGTCATCAACCGGGAACTGATCCTTCGGGTTGCTGCATTTAGGTTACAAACAGCATCATCACCACTTCTCTTCTGCTTTCATCAGGCCAGTGACAAACAAGTGCAGCCTTTTTTCCTACAACCCTTTCTTGAGCTTGCGTACAAATGTCATAGTAACAATGGAAGATGTGAAAAGAGCCTGTCAGTCAGAAAAGAAACTCAATGTCCAGTTTAATTGTATGACTTGGGCATAATGAGGCTATGTCAAACCAAACAATGAAGCTTGGACAACAACTATCACAAAGTCATTCTAAACATGACATTACTGCCCAAGAATGGTCAAACTTCAAACTTGAGTACTACAGTGTAGTACTGTCTGTTTTATTTAATGAGGTAGATGAAAGCAACCAGATTACTAAACTCCACTTGATTCAGAGGTGATTTTGGAACTTATGACTTGTATATAAATTATACTAATGGCACTGAAACTCAAAATGAGACTTTAATTAAGAAATAATTAAGAAATGTTTTTTGTGCCAGCAAGTCTAAAGTCTACAGACTAACTCTCAGGTTTTTATGTGGGGTATTTCCCTTTCAGATAATGAGGACTAAACATGTCATGCACAAGAATATCAGAATGAGAAGCGGACTGGAACACTAAAGTTAGCTCACCACAGCCTTTGGTTTCAGTCCACATGCTTCCCTCTAGATTAACACTGCAGGGTCTTCTGTCTCTGTGATAATCTTGGTTTGTGCTGCAGAGCTAGTAGCACATGTAAGCAGGCCTAAACTGTAATTTGGAACAATGTGTACTCTCCATAATAACTGATTGACTCTTGAAATATACGGTATATAGCCTAGGAAATTTAGTATGTTTGTAGATGTTTGGAGAGACTTGAGGAGAGAAAGAAGCAAGGGAGAAAAAGAAAGAAAGAAAGAAAGAAAGAAAGAAAGAAAGAAAGAAAGAAAGAAAGAAAAAAAGAAAAAGATGGACCAAATTTTGTTTTCATGAAAAAACAGGAAACAGTTACAAACAATAGCTAGCTATAATATGAAAAAACACAATGGGCTTCAGAAACACAGCCATCAACTGGAAACTGATCCTTCAGGCTCGCTTTTTTGTACGGTTATTAACTAAAGCACTCATTGTTCCAAAATACAGTACAGGCCTACTTTAATATAAATATTTAACATCTCTGTGATCATCCTGTATGTGCTGCAGAGCACATTTAAGTAGGCCTATGCCAGGGGTCAGTAACCCAAATGGTAAGAAGAGCCATTTTGTCTTTTCAACAAAAATTCAATCCACCTTGGGAGCCATAATATTTTATGTCCATTTTGCCATCTTGGCTGTAAATATGTCTCAGTATGTGCTAATGTACTAGTATACTAAAAATATAATGTAAACAAAAACGCAGACTTACTTTGCTCTACTCTAAGCTCTAGCTCAGATATAGCCACATTTCTCACGTCTCCAGCAGGAAACTTTTCCTCAAAAGTAAAAAGCTTCTTGTAAAATTTCTCTCAACTTTCGACTGTTTTACGAGGCTGAAGTCAGCTTCACATTCGCCAGCTTCTTGTTCAAATTTTCCCGTTCCACCTTAAATGGTGACTGAGGTGCCAGAATGTGACTGCTGCGCCATTTAAGGTGGAATGGTACAATTCGAATGAGAAGCTGGCAAATGAGAAGCTGACTACAGCTTCGCAACTTTTCAGTCTGACAGCTTCTCATTGCAAATTAAACGTATCAGGAAACCAGCTGGAGTGATTATAAATGCAAATATGTTAATTTGTCTCCACATTATCGATGTTCATCTTAAATGTTTCTCTTTGCCTTTCTGTTAGCTACTAGCTAGGCGAGAGTGTGTTCTCATTGCTATGATGACCAGAATTCTGTGCGCCAACCTTCAGGGTTAAAGGGTGAATTAGCAGTTATACATTAACTCCAGTGTTTAAGAGAGTTTATAGTTAAAACTCTGTTAGAACGATCAGCAGAGCTTTATTTTACTGCAAAGGAGGATTATTTTATTTTTACCTAAAAATCTAATTCTGCTGTGGAGCCGCAACAGGGCAGTAAAAGAGCCGCCTGTGGCCAACCCCTGGCCAATGCTGTAATTTGAAACAGTGTTTACTTTCCTTAATAACCTTAGTTAATAACCTTACAACAACAAATGTTTTTAGGGTTCTCTTGCTTAGCAGACAGTATTTCAAATTACTAGAAAACAGAGCAGCAAATTTTGAACAGCAAAGAGAAAGGAGTCCTAATAGCCCCTTGTTTGGATGTGGACACTGTCAGTTCAGGTTACCCTGCAAATAGGTTATTTCCCCAGAAGAACTCTCAGTTGAAGAAGTAATACTTTATTCATTTGGCTAGTTGTGAGGTTTGGCTTAAAACAATGAATAAATGTGTTTACAATGTGTTGTATCTAAAATCTAGTTCTTAATCCCTCTTGCCTACCTGCTGTTTACACCACGCACACCCTGGACTACTCAAACATTCAGAGCATGAGGCCTGTGGCTGGCAAACTGGTGCTTGAACTGAAATCGACAGTAAGAAAGAGAGAGACAGAATCACATATCATTGTCAAAATCATGCTACAACAAATTTATGATTTATAGCATTATATGTACTTAGTAAAAACAAAAAACAGAATAGAACAAGGCATCATACTCTTCATTTTCCACATTATGTCTTCATCTGACGCAAAACTGAAGTTCATTACCTGCTGTACACAGCTGTCCCACAAACTGAAGAAGAACGACCACCACCGGAGCATAAGTCATGACCTGCTGGAGTTAAAGAGGTAAAGTTTTTGTAAGAAAGCATGAACTGTTATTGTTAGCAGTCCCACAAGTAGCTTGTTCAGGCCTGTTGTGGCCATCGTTTTAGATTTCTGAAATTGAAACTTCAAAGAAGCTAAGCCGTACGCAGTTCTTCATAGAGGATGAATTATAGCAAAGATATCCTTACTATTACAACAAAAAGGAAACATTTCAAAACTTTTAAAAGCTGTATTGAGGTATACAGGGAGGTTATACAGTTTTATGCAAATAAATTAAATAACCTCTACAGAGGACACACTTAAATATGACACTTTTCTGTAAAATTTAGAGCACAATTTCTATTTTTTTTTTTTGCTAAGATTAACATATTGCTAAAATAAAGCATGAAATAAAATGTATCACATGTTTTTTGGTGCTTGCCAGGCCACCATTGTAAATAAGAATTTTTGATGACCTGCCTGGTTAAATTAAAGATTAAGGAAAAATAAAAAAATGTTTTATATCTTTTTCCAATATGTTAAATTCAATAATAAAAAGTATAAACAGTAATTGTGCAAAGGTGTGCTCTCTGTACAATCTCAGAAATAAAGGTATGAAACTGTCACTGGGGCAGTAGCCCTCTTGTTACTGGGGTGGTACCCTCAAGGTACATCTCAGTACCTTTAGTCAGTAACATAATGGTACCATAATCCATTGAAATTATATTTTCTATAAATTGTATTGACCACACACACCCTGTCTCGTCTCCAGGCTTTTTATTTTATTGTTCTGTTTTAGAACATTAGATTATGAAAATATACAAATATGTCATTTTCACCTGGGGAAAAAAAACTTATTTAAGGTACACAGTTGGACCATAAAACCATTCTTGTACCTTTGAGGGTACATTTACAATGTTTGTACCTTGATGAATGAAAAATGTAATGTACTGTACCTTTATTTCTAACAATATGGAGGATGAAACATATTTTCACTAAGAAAATCAACAATACACATAATTTGAGCTCATTTGCTCAGTCCCTCATCCAGAAATGCGTAACAGTGCATGTTCTCTAACTGTAAGAATTCCTCTTGTGTTTTTTCATATTGATCACACTGCATGTTTGCCTTTGGTGGTGTACTTGTATGAGTTATGTCATTAGGACAGCATGGTTAAAATGAAATTACACTGAAAATGAATAATAGTTTAATACAAATCTCAATACAGGGTGTGTGATGCCTAAATTCTAAGGACAAAAGTGTGAAGTTTGTCCAACTTAAAAAATGCAGCAACTTTTTATCCTCTTGCTCAAGCTCACGCACACACATTTACACACTCACACAAAACCAGACTGCAGACGTTACAAGAAGGAAGTCGGTATCGGTCTGAAAAAGAGGCGACAGCTGTATCAGAAGTAAAACCACAGCTCTCTTTCTCTGCAGTGTAGTCCTGCTTACCCTCAAAACGTGCTAGACAGAGTGGCACTATGTTGTAGCAGAGTGAGGATGTTCTCACAGAATCACACTCTCTCACTCTCTCTCAGAGGAAGCTTCTGATCAGTTTTACAAAAGTGTTGCCTACAGTCCAGCCAAATTACAAGCTCAGTTAACCAGGCTATTCTTTTAGTAACAGGGATTTTTAAAGTGGGCTTAAAGTAGCATGGTAGCAAAGTCCAGTGTTAGAAGTCTTGGTTATTTTTTTAAATATAAAAAAGTTAGAGAGCTGAAATCACACCTCCACATCCGTGCTAGAAAAAACAGCATACACCAGCGTAGCTCTCACCAGCAAAACCAGCATATGTTATGTTTTGGATGCTGGTATGCTAAACAACCAGCATGACCATGATGGGTGACCAGCTAAACCATTAGCTAACATAAATTAAATGTTAACATACATCAAAACTGTTTCACACAGTTAAAGCTTATAAGTTTAATTATCGAATTATTGACTTTATAAACCGAAGCACTTCAATCGTTATCCATCTCTGCAGTTAGTCTGATGTTCTCCAGCAACCTACTGTAATTCGATCAGGGTTTTCTCTCCATATTCCACTGTGATTGAAATTTTCTTGCATATGTTCTTCACTTTCAGTCTTTTAAAAACAAACTCTTACACACTGTATGCTATTTTAGTTAAAAGATTAAAATTGAAAGGATTTTAATGGAGATTAATTAAGGCCTAGCATAACACAGACACCTTGGATGTTTCTGATAGTGTCGCATTCAAAGTGGAAACTCTTTCTGACTCCGCCCGTTCATTTTAACAGAGATATTATGGCAATATTGGGCACCACTGCTGTGTCTTTCCTACTCAGCAAATACATGAAGATTGTAGTACATAAAGAATGTTTATCTTAAATAGCTGAGTGTATGGACCCCATGCCATTCGCTTAGCAGGTGAATTGTGGCATAGATGGTGCTACTCTCACTCTCTTGGACTAAGTTGATTGACATCTTAACAAAGCCAATTCATATGGATCCTTTTTATGGAATTTTACTCAGGCTTTACCCACCTCCTCCTAAAGGGTCTGTGTTGTGTTTCTGAGCATCCCCAGCAAGTGGATATTAAATTAAACCCCTTTAAATCAGAGACTTAATACATACTAAGCCTTATTACTCAGTAACTACAAGGACTTTAATGCAATCTGGCTGAGCTATTCTTATGTTATAGAAGTGTGTAATAAAGCTTTGGGCCTGCCAGTGGGCCCTGGCCATTTAAGGAATTAAGTGCAGTGTAAAACCTTTCCTTTCTTACATAGGTGAAATGGCATCAAGTCTAGGAAGCTGTGTCAAGGAAGAGAGATAAAGTGGTCAACACACACCGCGCAAATAGGCTATCAGTATAAGTGTGCAGGAAGTGGAGCAGGTCACCCATTTCTAGGATTTGGGAGCAGTAATAGGTAATAAACTCACCTTTCGGATCAACGTGGATTATATCTATAAAAAAAGCAAGGCAATGCAATGTTCTCCTCAGGAAGTGGAGGGGCTTTAACACCAATACCCCAATCTTCTGGGGTCTACAGATCATAATTGAGAGTGTTCTCAAATTTTTTTTTTTTTTAAATGAGAGGTTTCCATGCTGCAAGATTGTCACACAAAAAAACAAACCATTAAGGCTGGCAAGAACATAGATTCATCTATAATAACTTTACAGCCTGTACAGTTGTTTAATAATTCCCGTCATCCCCTTCATTCAGGATTTCAAACACTACCTTCAGGCCACAGACTAATACGGCGCAATGACTAAAAGACAATAGCAAAATTTAAGTAATATTTAATCCTGTCACCTGTTACCTGAATAATACCAATTTATCACATAATTTGACTGACAATATTTGCTATACATGCCAGTGAAATAATAATGCAATAATAATGCTATGGCTTTTGTCCTTCATAAATTTTAATATTTAATTTACTATCACACTTTGATTTTATTTCATTTTTATTCAGTTTCAGTGTTTAGTGCTAAAGTTTTGTGCTAGTGCCTGTAAGTAAATGGACAAAACAGTAAAGTATTCTGATGATGAAATACCAAAATGAGTGCGTTTCTGATCATGGTACAGTACAAGATTGTACAAAGTTTTACAGCTAAGCACTGCATGTCCTGACAAATTTGTTGTTGTTGTTGAGTCAGTTCACTTTAAATACTTTTTTTACTTGTATTTTTTTTTTTACTTTACATTACTGAATTCTGAAATGAAAGTAATAATACTCCTATTTGGGATTGTTTTAGATTATTCTATCCACCTCCAGAGCTGCTGGCAATGCTTTTGATGAGTCTCAAGAAAAAGCTTAAAAAAAAGCTCTTGCTATATATATATTTTTACAAGACATTCTCCAATAGTTAGCAAAAGACTCATCAAAAGCATTCAGTTTTAATGGATGACTGGTCTACCTTAACTCTTTTTAATAATAATAAAAATAATAATAATAACAAAAAATGGTCCTGTTTCAGTTGTATTTGTCTTCAAATATATAAGTCAAAGAAGTTCAGAGTTTATTCCTGGATTTCCTGGATTTCTTTTGTGATTTTTCATGGTTATCCTTTTCTGTTTTGGTTAACATACTGCTTTAAATAAATACAACATAGACTTACTCAAATTAAGAAAAGATTAGTTACACTTACCATGGCTTTTCTATGAAGACGTTGTGTTTATTAAAATCTGCAGATCAGCTCTGAGCTCTTACAACAGCGTCTGATCGAGCCTAGCACACATGAGGAACTGCTGTTCCCACAACCACTGCAGCTTCACCCAGCGCACGTCTGAACTAGCCTAACGACAGTCATATCAAAACCTCTTAGCTGTATTTTTCCCTTTTTTGTCGCACTCACCTTTTATGTGTGTGGGAATTTTAAAATTGACAGACTAACAGAAACGGATCAAAAATGAATGGAATACATTTTACTTACATTAGCTTAAACTACAGTAATGCTAAAAAAGTGTTTTCCTTCTCTATAGAATCTTTGTTTATTCCATCTCTCTGACAAAAGAAGGACCTTAAAAAAGCTCACACGTTTCACAAGTGAAATGTAGTGCTTTTGTGGGGAGCCCCACAAGTTACAACATCCTTCACCCTGCAGGTGGGGGGGTTTCTGGGGCATCAAATGAACATGACCTACTTGTTTTTTTCCAACCTTTTTTTCAGTGTTTATATGAGAAAAGTTGGCACGTTGAAGTAAAATATTTCACTCTGACAGAGTTTCAGGGCCACGTTTTATTGCTTTAGTGTCTCAGTATAACGAGTGTCTCTGAATCCCACGTATTTATTTTTTTGCACATACAGGACCACAAGTGACAAATAAAGAAAATAAAGAAAGAAAGATGTAAGTGAAGGCATGTCAGGATGTAAAGATGGTGCGTAGGTCTGATAAGGTCTGATGGATGATAAGTTGAAAAATGGAGCAGAAGAAGGAAGTGGGTGAGCATGCATGCGAACACACACACGTACACTAAGTGTGCGGTTTTAGATGGAAACCATGCCTGGACTGACAAAATACTCGAGACGGCTTCATGGTAGAAACCCTGAACTACAGAAGCACCAGTGTGTGACTGTGTGAGGGAGTGTATTTAGACTGTTCCTCTCTTCTTGATCACACTTTCCATTGCTGCCTTCTCTGATATATCCAGACTGATCTTGTATTTGGCCAGAATCTTCAGAATTGGCCTCAGCTTTAGCCACCACTGAGTCTTGGGGATACGATGCCTAGAGAGAGGACGGGGAGACAGAGTCGTATGCACCAGTCAAATTACATGTTTTGCTGAAACGTGAAAGTAAGTTAACACATTATCTACAGAGAACACACTTAAATATGACATTTTTCTGAAAGTTTCAGTACACAATTTCCATTTGTTTGCTGAGTTTAACATATAAAAAAATATAAAACATTTTATTTTTTCCCAATATGTTTGATTCTGCAAATGAACAGTAATTGTGTATTAAAATGTGCAGAAGTGTGTCCCCTATAGAAGATGTGCACTTATTTTCACTTAGTTCAAAAACACATGTAAATTTGACTGGGTTGCACAAAAATTTGCATACTGTAATACATAAGACTGTAAGTTAGGACAATAAGAATTCATGACAAAGCGATTGCACATTGTCCTCCTAGGAATAAGAGAAAAAAATGACAGTCAGATGTGTGGCACATTCATCACTCACTCAAAGTCAGTATTGATTTTGAGCTCAGCAAGAGGCTGGAAGACCAAAGCTCTCTTCCTCATGCCCAGCACGCAGGCAGAGTCTGGCGTGTTGGCAAAGATACGACCTGCACAAGCAATCAAAGGCACATTTACTTATAATACACATTTATGGAGCACATATTCTACACTTTCTTGTCATTTACCCCTAAAGTCAGCTTATACTGTTTGTGTGGGTTTATGTACTGAAAATAGGCACAGTCTGTTTACATGACCATTTACGACCTCACTTCATTCCTTAAAATAAAACAGGCTGTTTTGGTTATTGAACCTTTGGGACAGATTTATGTAAATGGCTCGTACTCTGAGAGAGTGGCTGTCTCTTCACAAGGAAAATTAGGCGAACCACATTTAAAAAGCAGACCAGACTAACATATGCAAATCAAACTGAATCTAAAGCTGCACTATGTAAGTTTTGGGGATTGGTGCCTTCTCTGGTGGAAATGTGTAATTGTACACAACATGCGGAAGAACATTTTGTAATGTCGATTGTGCTTCAGACCCCGACAAGCAGATGAATCAGATGTTTGTGAGCGCGTTGAAAGAGTATTCAAAAAAACTCAGGCACTACATAAAACTAGGGAGGAGAGCCAGAGAGAAGCCAGATAATAGAAAATAAGGGCAACCAGGGGAAAAATACCCCCCTCCACCTCCCCCACGTAAGCCATCACTAACCGTGTCTGTAGCACTCCTTCAATTTATCAGTCAGCCACAATATGGCTTTAGCACCCATCTTAGTGCCAAAGTTCCTGTCGAACGGTGATGGAGTACCACCCTGGTAGAGAGAGAGAGAGAGAGAGATCAGGAGGTGTCAGACAGCCCATCAGATAGACCAGACAGACAGAATAGTTAGAGTACAGCAGCACTAGAACCTGTTGCATGTGCCCCAGCACATTTTTGCGGCAGTCAAATACTCCTTTGCCCTCCTCTGTGTACAGATTAAATATGAAGTCTGTGGTGTAGTTGGCATTACACTTCTCATTCCTGCAGAGAAATGAATTCATGTTAGTCATGTTACTCAAATCATCACTGTCAGAAAAAAAATAGTAAATTTATAGCAGAATGCAGAAACATTCTTAACATTTTGTGTGAGTAATGTAAAGACTTTTCTAAAGTGATTTTGGAGCATTTCTATTGGTTCATTCATCATGCATGCTTTGTCCAAATAATGTAGAAAAATTAAAAATGACAAAAATGTACATGCATGTTTTTTTTAGACAGCAATAAATGCAAAGTGCCTAATTTAACTATATGAAAGATATGAATAGAATAGAAAGGTAAACTCCTCTTCACTCTTCTTCTCAGTGTGATGGTACAATGAGAATTGTGACTAAATTTAGAAGAAAAATGATCAGAGACAAATTAAAAGTGCACAAAGTCAACCTGAGGATGAGGCCTCTTTTCACAGTGGTCTTCATCTTTTCCACCAAATGCTCAACGTTTGCCTGCCAATTAAACAATGCATCACTGATTAACCCACACAGTAAACACATATCTTTACCCTCAGATAACTGCTTTAGCTCTTTGTTTACTTTGTTTACCCCCCTCCTCCCCACTGTGCATCAGTATCTGTCCTCTTATTGGTTCACCCTCTTTTACCTCTAGGTCATGGATGCCAAAAGGTTCTTCATAGATGTAGGCAGCGTCAGCTCCTGCAGCGAGGCCTGCCATGGTTGCCAGATATCCACAATATCCCCCCATAGTCTCAATGATGAAAACCCTGCGCTTCGTTCCAGCCGCAGACTGCTTTATCCTGTCGCAGGTCTTTCACAACACAAAGATTACATTAAGAATGTGTGTGTCTGCATGTGTGACTGTGTGTGAGTGTGTGTATGTAATTCTTACTGTTGTGATGGTGTTGAGAGCAGTATCAGCTCCAATGCTGAAGTCAGATCCAGGAACGTTGTTGGACACGGTGGCTGGAATAACAACAATAGGAATACACAATTCCTCATACTTCTCTCTTCCAGTCACCATCTCCAAACCTGCAACAAATGCCTTAGATACAGAGTAAAAAGAGATATAAGGGCTTTAGTATTAACCCATTAACCCATTGATGGCCTGTCATTTGTAGCACAATCTGATAAGTGACAAGCAAAATATAAAACATAACGTAACACAAATGATTATATTGTTATTGTTCATAAAATATTTTGAGAGGTGCACTTCATAGGTTTACATTTACTGGCTGTAATACTTCTGTTACTGCACAATTTATTAGCCCCACTCTACCTCGTCCAGAAATGGACCTCCACTGACCAGACATTACTTGGGACAGGGTAGTGGGTGTACTAGCGTATCAGACACAACAGGGCTGCTGAGGTTTTTTCACACCTCAATGTCAATGCTGGGTTGAGAATAGTCCATCAATTAAAACCATCCATCCAACAGTGGTGGATTGTAAGTCACTCTGGATAAGAGCGTCTGCTAAATGCTGTAAATGTAAAAATGTAAAATGGTCCTGTGGCCAAAACTGACCACTGATGAAGGGCTAGAGCAGTGGTTCTCAAAACAGTCATCAATGCTGCCAAGGCAGTCCACATTTTTGATCCAACTTCACTTGTAACACATACCAATATAGCAACAATATGGGCCTTCTGAGGGCCCTGTGGACCTCTTTGAGAACCACTAGGCTAAATGATGACTGACACAAATTGTGCATGAAAAAAGATCAGCTATAGTTTCTGTGTTGTGGAGTAGTAACTATTATTTATGTGTGACAATTGAGAAGGCAGAACAGGGCTGTCCAGTGTTGCCACTGGCCTTAAGCAGGATTTGTTTTTTGACCAACTGATTACACAAGTGGAATCAGGTGTGCTTTTGCTTGTTTGGAATAAAAACCTGCAACCACACCAGCCCTTGGTGGATAAAACTGGATGCCCCTGAAGTAGCAGCATAGTAAATGTAAATGACTATAGTAGATAGCTAGATTGGTAGATGTAAATGACTGACTCTTGCTGATTTGTTTATTCAGCTTTTAGCACAGGGTATTCGGAATAAAAGAGGGGGAGTTTCTAGCACAACACAGAGGACCTGGAGGCACTTTTTGTTTGGTTCACATGTGGTTTGGTGTACATTTTTTTTTCCCTCTCATTGCTGGTATTGAATGTTGGTCCTTTTTCAATTAAAGAGTTTCATTTCAAAACGCTCTATATCCACATTTTCAACACATTTTCATTTCTCAAATAAAGGTGGTATAAATCATGTCACATTGTATGTAAGCCCACTCCTAACATAATTATATCATGAAAATTCTTGAAAATGGTCTATGATACATTTTACAATGAAACCCTTCAGTTTATGTCAAATAAACACCTCAATTTTTGTGGATTTCAGGATCCTCCTCCAGTGTCTTTTTGTTTCTCTGAAGAATTAAATAAACATCGGCACACCACCACCACATCACAACAATCAAACTGTACAGTGTACCTGTACAGGTGTATCAACAAGTGTACCAACCAGGTAGATGTATCTAATAAAGTGGACAGTAAGTGTACACGATGTTTAAAGACTCCAGGAACATCACTGTGCCTGATAGACTTGTACCAGTGCAATACACACTAATAGGGCTTTATGGTTCCACTGATGTGCAGAGAATCCACCTCTGAAATAATATCTGGTAGGTCGATGGTCATATCATGGTCATTTTTTTATTAATGGATAGGGTATAGGGAGGCTGATAATTGTGCACCAACAGATGGGCTAGAGTAATATTAATACAGTAATATTAAACCTAAAATGACCCCTAATAAAAGGTCAATGTGTATGAGTATTTCACATAGTGTTTCTGTTATTTTGTTCACCTCCACCCCTTTTTTGCACAGGTATCCATGCAGTTATAGGTTGAGATGTTTTGTGAATGCAAGCCCTGGAATTATTTCAGCTTAATATCTCACCTCAAATCCTCCAATGATGATCAGAGCATGGATATTAAACTTAGCTACATTCAGACTAATTTCTTCCATGACGCTTGCTGGCAGTGTCCTGCACATGAACACAGAAAGAGGGCGACAGAGAGCTACTGGCAACAGACATAACATAATAGGAGATTAAGTAAAGTGAGACAAAGTTATATGAAGAACCTAAATGTCTTTCTTTGGTGGTTAAGGGATTAACTCATTTTTCTTTGCATGATCGACAGATCTATAGTACCTCTTAGTTCCCAAATTAGAGCCACCCTGTCCGGTCCAGTTTCCAACAGCGGCCCAGGAAATTGGCTCAATCTGGACACAGAGAGCAGAGGGTGGGTTGATAAGTGCATTTACGCATTATATGTGCAGTGTCTACACTGTAATTTCCGGTTTACATGTGCTTAGTTACATTTCCATGCGCGAGTCCCTCAAAACCATCGTGTATGGCCAGCATGTGATGTCCCTGTAGGATGCCGATCCTGACTGCAGAACGTACTGCTGCATTCATACCAGCACACGGGGCACCCACATTCATTATGGCTATATTTATATTGCTCTACAGAAAGAGGACAAAGAGATACAAAACAGACAAACAGACATGATGTAAGCGGGAAAAGAAGACACAGATTGTCATTTTTCACTGTTGAAAGAAAAACATGTATTTCTGTTTTTCTCTACCATTTGAGCATGGCAGCTGTGCTTCATACTGTGTGAAATTTCATGATGAATGGACTGAGAGAAATGCTACAAAATTGCTTAGAAAAAATCTCTTTACATTAACTTGCATTGAAAAAAAAAAAAAACATTTCACCCCTCTCCTGTAAACTTACCATTCTGGAAGTACTTGTTTTTCTTTCACAGTGATGAATTGGCAGAAATGTAAATTTCTGTATAGCTGATTGACCAGCAGATGCAGCCACTTACCTTCACCTCAGCGGGGCTCACATGAGCCAGCAGCTTATATGTGTTCCAGTTGTTCTCAAAACTCCTGCAGAACAGAAGCAGTACAGACAGTAGATTCAGCTTCCTGATATTACAAAGCACGAGAGAAAGGCAGAAAGATGGACAGACACAAAACTCACTTTCCCCTGAGCTTCACGGCCTCTTCAAACTTGCCTTCTGCCATAGCTTTGGTCACATCTTTAGTCTGGCAGACAAAGACGAATATGTATGAATGTAGGATGAAATCTAATTCAGAACGGTATTGGCAGCTATTTGCTTAAAAACCGATATTTGATGACGCATTGTTTGTATTTTGGAAGAGTGGATCATGTACACTGACACTGAGCTATTGTGCTAAAATGTCTGCATTTCATTCACTGCATTTATAACCCTCTATAAATAAATGGTGCATTGGTAATCCGGTTGGATTTTGTCCTAATTTCCCAGATATCTACATAAGAAATTTTAGATATAGGCCAAAAATCCCATATAGGAATATCTCAGAAATGCATTACATATCAGCATAAATCCTTGTTACAAGAAAAATTATTTAGAGGCTTTGAAGCCTAAATTGTGGCTTTGCAAAATATTCCCAAACTGCAGACCAACAGCAAAACTTCAAAGAAAAGACAGAAAGTAATACCAGTTCTGATTTTTGTATTTAGAGGTCAAATCGTACCACTTGCACACATTCCATTAGAGGCAGTCTGACAGCCTGATTTCCAGACAGGCTGACCACACAGGCAGGTGTGTCAGGCGTGGCCTCCAGCAGAGCCATCACAGCCTCTACTCCCATCCTACTGCCCTGAAAGAGTGAGGGGAGCACTTCATCTCACATCAGTGATACATGCATGTTGTTTATGTGAATATGGAGACATGCCATAACATACCAGGATTCTGTCAAAGGCTGAAGGAGTTCCCCCTCTCTGCACATGGCCCAGGATGGTCGCTCGAGTGTCAAAGCCCAGCTTCTTAGTGACCAGCTAAACACAGCCAAAGCACAAACGTTAACACTCTCTGCTTACAGAATTAGCATTCATAATCATATTCTGTGTGCTGTTTTGAGGAGATTCTTACAATCTTGACCATGTCACAAGTGATGGGTTTTCCAAAGCGATCTGTAGCTCCTTCAGCCACAATGATAACATTCAGACGATAGCCCAGTCTTCTTTGCTGAAGAAATCAAACATACATGTTGAGATATGTGAGAAATGATGAGGAATCCCAATCATACCATCACATCATCATGATAATTCAGTGAGGGATTTTACACTGTAAGCCAAAGGTCTGGAAGCAAAACCAGCTTTGTGGGGTAATAATAAGTGTGATTTATTTTTCAAGAGATAGACATTATTTTTCTAATAACATACTACAAACAGATCTGCCGTCATAGTATCCAATTAATTGATTCTTAATTTGTTTTTCTCCGGGTGAGTTTAATCAAAGCCATCGTCATGTTCACCTGATTCACATATTCAGAAGCTCCTGAAATATTAATAAACTGCATCAGGTGTGTTGAAATAGAAGTTTGGGCATAATTAAAATTGGTCAATGTAAGAGACAGTTACCAACTAAAGATGTGAAGGGGCACAGG